AGTACAACCGAATCGAGAACCCCCTTTTGAAGTCGATTGAAAAGTAATTTAAACGCTGTTTTGAACTTTGCTAATGTTTGCCAATTTACGTTTGCTGAAATTTGTAAAGTTATTTATTTCAACCGTAACTTCGTCTACACGATCGGCATGTGTTCATTGACCTGGATAAAACGTAACCAATGTTTTTCCCCATCCCATATGGTACGTGTATACCAAATTTCATAGTGATTGGTTAAGCCGATAAGGCGCTATAACAAATAAATAAGCATCTCTCCTCTCCATCAAAAGGTTGCCTGGAAGAGATTTTCACTTTAGTGCCATTGATTTTTACTCATATTTACATAAAAATGCCAAAGAAATCTTTGTCGTGTTGATGTCATTTACCCTTGTCTCTAAAAAACTGTATCTCCTCCAAAAATTATCCAATTTTAATATTTTTTTTATAGCAAGCTAAACAGCGACTGATTTCACGTGCGCTATGACGCTCGTGGCACTTTTAGTTGCAACTTGCAATGCGCACGAGCGCGATAGCGCTCGTCGGCACTCAAAGGGTTAAGCGATAAGGCCGCCCATTGTTTTTTTCATTATGATTATTTCTTGTAATTGTTTATAATAAGTAAGAAAATACTATTGTTATCTTTTGGAGGAAACAATAAAGAGTATCTATCTATCTAAGCTCTGTGTAACATGTATAATATTCACCAGAAGGGGACTTTGTACAAAAGGCGTTTGCTTGGGTACCTCTGTCCCATTCGTGTTTCAACCGTAAAGCAGTTGTATTTGCAAGGCTGTGTTTCGATTTGAAGGGTGGGATATGGCGTGAATTTCCAGGGTACAGAGGAATAACACCTGAGTCTTCAGGAATTGCAACGCATGGGGGGTGTCATGGGCGAAACAGTATACTCTGTTATGTCCATGGTACTGCTCATGTCTATAGGCGACGGTTACCATTTTCCATCAGGTGGACCGTCAGCTTGTTTGCCATTCTAAATTGTATAAAAAAAAATTGTAAAGAAAATTTTCTTCTATTATTTTTATCCGTGATATCCTGGAATCCGTTGAATCCTTTGTTGATTTATTATTATTTATGTCACGTCCACTCACATATTAGCTTCCGGGTTGCCGGAATAATTTCGGCCTCGATAAGAGCCCTTATTTATGAGATCGGTTCTAGGTACGGCTCGGTTTTTGTGTGATTTTCATTTTAAAAAGGAGGAAGTATACTTTTAGTTTTGTCACTTCATAACTTCGTCATTTATAAACCCATTTGGGAAATTCTTTTTTTTTCAAAAAAAATATATTTTCAGATTTCGTTTCAGCTGTCCCTTGCCCCATAAGGGGAGTTTTGTGAGTAGTCGCCACGCTTGGCAGGCGGGTTGGCAACCACAGTTAGGCCTTTAGGATGTTTTAAGAGGGACGCTGCTGCCCATCCCTCGCCCTCCCTTAGTCGCCTCTTACAACACCTACAGGAAAGGAAGGGGTGGCCCATTCTATGCCGGGGCACACACGGCAATATTTTCAGATTGGTTCCATCGAAATTTTAACAATATAGATTCAGTGGTTTAGTTTTTAAATTGAAATATTTGGATTTGCCAACATTGAATTAGGTTTTTTTTTTGAAACAAAGTCTCAACACTTATGTCAATGCATCTTTCATAATTTTAATACCGAATGTTTTATTGTCGATCCGTTAATTCATCTAGCCCCTACGTAGGCGAGGGTGGGGGGAAGGATATTAGTAATAGAGACTAAGAGCCCCATTCCTAGCAATACACCTAACCAGGTCGACCTCCACGTGATCCCCCCTGGAAACCATCATGCTACGGGCCTATTCATCACGATGGGCTAACAGACTTGCCTTTTCATCATCACCTATCATCCCTCACTGGTGTCCCGTCGGTGTATACCGTTAGCGCAGATAGGGTTGCCATTCCTATATCACCCATTAAAAAAAAGCCCGCATCGCGTCAGACTCGCGTAATTGCTACAAATTACAATCAGAATAAAATTTTATTACTTGCCCATTGTTTGTACATTAATGTTGATTACATTAACATAATATTAACTGTATCTTAATAGCTGTTGATGTTCGCGAGTATCATTTTCTTATCATTGTCTTATCTATTTCAGATAGATAGATACTCTTTATTGTTTCCTCCAAAAGATTACAGTAGTAAACTTATAATAGATATAAACAATTACAAGAAATGATCACAGTGAGAAAACAATAGACAGCCCTATCGTTAGAAGCGATCTTTACATTACTTTTAATTTTAATGGACTTTTTTTTTTGTTAATGGGTGATAATGGAATGGTAACCCCACCCGTGCTAACGGTATACACCGACGGGACACCAGTGAAGGATGATAGGTGAGGATGAAGCAGGTCAGTTAGCCCATCGTGACGAATTCAACAGGAATTGTTCACGTTGTTTTCCAGGGGGAACCACGTGGAGGTCAACCTAACAGGGCATATTGCTAGCAATGGAGCTGTCAAACTCGTTTGCTAACAATCCCTTCCCCCCTGGTTTTAATCGACTTTACCACAAGAGAAAGTCCTCAATTCGATTATTTTTGTTTTATGTTTTCAAGTTCCATTCCTGGTTTTCTTTAGCGCCTGGAAACGTTAAGGTTATTAAGGTTCGAAAATAAGCCAATAGATAGCATGATGGGCAACCTGATGGAAAGCGAAACACTATGCCCAACAGAAAGTGGGATAATCGTAATGGTAATCACCATTACCGACTTTTACTGTTATAGTGAAGGTAACGCTCTTTTTTAGAGTGGGATTGACAAAAAGCTAGCGATTGCCTGAGGGAAAGCGGTAATGAAATTTGTATCGAAAGAAAGAAACAACAGATAGTACAGTTCAGTATATTATTATATAGAATCTATAGCATTTATTTATGTATCTTTTCTATTTCAAATCTACACTATTCTACGTCCGTCATTTTCGTTTAGTAATAAATATGTTTCGTTTTTAAATCATTTAGGGTTTTTTTTTTTTTGTTTTATACTACTATGAATGGTAAACAAGCTGACGGCCCACCTGATGGAAAGTGGTATCCGTCGCCTGTAGACATGAGCAGTACCATGGACTTAACAGAGTATACTGTTATGCCCATGATACCTCCCTGAGGACTCAAGTGTTATTCCTCTGTACCCTGTAAATTCACTGCCATATCCCACTCTTCAAACCGAAACACAGCCATGCAAACACAACTGCTTCACGGTAGAAACACGAATGGGACAGAGGTGGCCAAGCAAACGACTTTTATACAAGTCTCTCCCTGCTAAAAGAACGACGACTTCAAACGACTTGAATCGTTTCAAAAGCAGTTATTTTTAATTTCAAAATTAAACTACGTAATCTATTTTGGTATAATTTCTATAAAACTAGTCTGTAAGTATATCCTTTCAGATAAAAAAAAAAGAATTTTCCAAATCGTTTTATAACTGACAGTTTTTTTTTTTTTTTATGATGGGTGAAAATGGTATGGTAACTCCGCCTGCGCTAACGGGATACGCTGGCGGAGCGCCAGTGAAGGGTGATAGATGAGAATGAAAACAGGCCAGTTAGCCCATCATGATGAATTCATCAGGAATTAACCATGATAATTTCCAGGGAGAACCGCGAGGAGGTCGACCTGGTTGGGTATATTGCTAGCAATGGGATTCTCAGTCTCCATTACTTACAATCCCTTTCCCCCCAACTGACAGAGTTATGAGGTAACAAATATAAAAAAAATACAACCGAATTGAAAATGTCCTTCTTTTTGAAGTAGGCTGGAAACAATCCGGATGCTTAAGCCCAGCGCCAAGAGATAATAAACTCATTTACACATATCTCTAGTTCGAATGATATACCTACTAATTAGTAATATTCTTGCTTGAATGGTTACTAGTCATTAGTATGTCTTTATCTGTGTCTTTGTCAGTGTCTGCTAGATAAACTGCCATATCTGTCTGTTTACTGTATATCTATCTATTTACTGTATGGATAATCTGGTAGTATTGTTTTACTGTTACCCTATTCCCTTTGGCCGCAACAGAATATCAGTGCTTTGCTCTTTTGAGGGCGAAGCAATAAACTGAGTTGTGGCCATTTTGTATTGCTATGGCACACGCATACGAAAATTGTATTTAGCTTTATGTATTTTTTTTATCATTTATGTTATCTCGCTTTTTTTCTTGTGTATCTATGTTGTACTTTGTATGCTGTAAGTAATGCAAATAAATTATCTATCTATCTATCTAGTGATTATCTCTAACTGAACAGTGACTAATAACAATGAAAATTACAAGCAGATTTATTTCCATAAAAAAAAAACACCGTTTTCATGATGTCAAAAACAGTTATTTTGGTTTAAACCCGAACCATTGCATCGTTTTGGATAAAATTTCTGTGAAATCGATTTCAAAGTATAAATCATTTTGAGATAAAAAAAGAATTTTCCATTTTCAATTCAGTTTATATATAACGGAATTCTGAGATAAAAAAAAAAAACATATAAGAAAACATAAAAAAAGAAATACAATCGAATTAAGATTGTGATTTTGAAATTGGTTAAAATCTAAGCATGTTAGTAAGCATTTGCCATCCTAAGGTTGCCTAGAAGATAATAATAATAATAATTCTTTATTTGGAACAAAAAACATTGGCTACAATATTATTGAAAAACGATGATATCCGCAGAAGTATAAAACTGTGTCGCGAATATCGACGCCACCTCCTCATTGTAGGATTCCAGTACAGACATTTAAAACGTATGGTAGCTAGTTACTTCAATGAAGACATTTTTGTTATACCTAGCAACTAACTACAATAGTTAGTATAATAGGTGTTGATATTTAGCGATAGGACCCGCCCTTTGTCGCCTCTTTATCTTTTAAGTTTTTGTAATTTTTTTTTGTGTTCATATTGGTAATCTGTAATAATAATTTTTTGAAGGCAGCAATAAAGAGTTTTCATTCATTCATGTGATCGTATCTTTGTTACAGATCCTGCCGTACATCGACGGCTTCAACCACGTGTCCAAGATAGCATCGCTGACCGATGTGGAGATCAGCTTGGTGCGCGCATGCGTACAGAACCTCGTGTACTATGGTGTAGTGACCCTGGTGCCCATCTTCCAATATTGTGCAGTGAGTACATTGTTTTTCAGAAATAACATTTAGTTTAAACTGTTCATCTATACTTCCATAGTAATATTATAAATAGCCGTGTGGTCCCGGTATAGAATAGGCCACCCCTTCCTTTCCCGTGGGTGTCGTAAGAGGCGACTAAGGGAGGACGAGGGATGGGCAGCAGCGTCCCTCTTAAAACGTCCTCAAAGGCCTAGCTGCGGTTGCCAATCCGCCTGCTAAGCGTAGCAACTATTAGCAAAACTCTTATGGGGAAGGCTTATGTCCAGTAGTGGACAGTTAAAAGCTGAAATAAAATCTGAAAATTATATTATTTCGGATAAAAAATTCCCAAATGACGGAATTATGAAGTGATAAACCATAGGTGGTGGGATGGCCAGCATCGTCCCTCTTAAAACAGGCTTGGCAACTATTGGTAAAATCCCCCTTATGGGGAAGTTATGTTCAGCAGTGGTCAGTTAACAGCTGATACCCCCGATGATGATGGTAGCCCCGCCTGCGCTAACGGGATACGCTGACGGAGCACCAGTGAAGGGTGATCGATGAGAATGAAAACAGACCAGTTAGCCCATTATGATGAATTCATCAGGAATTAACCATGATAGTTTCCAGGGAGAACCGCGAGGAGGTCGACCTGGTTGGGTATATTGCTAGCAATGGGATTCTCAGTCTCCATTACTAACAATCCCTTTCCCCCCAAAAGAAAAGATTTGTTTGTTTGTGTAAACTACTCAATAGATTTAAAAAATTCTATCACCTGTTTTTTATAGGTAGCCAGTACAATGTAGTTCTTAACAAAAATATTTTAAGTAATAAAACATTACGTTACAGGTGTACAGTGCGACGCCCAAGTTGCGACAACTGACGCGGTGTGCCGGTCTCCAGCGGCAGTGCGTCGAGTTTTGCGCGAGATCTCGTAAGTTATACCCACGGTATCACTGCTACTAGATCGTCAGAAATTTGTTTTAAAAAAAAATATAACGCTGCCTTAACCTTTCTTACCCAAGTAGATACTATATTTTTTTATACATAAGATTTACTAGAGGGGGATTTTGTACAAAAGTCGTTTGCCTGGGTACCTCTATCCTATTCGTGTATCTACCGTAAAGCTGTGTTTGCGTAGCTGTGTTTCGGTTTGAAGTATGGAAAAACATAACATCTTAGTCCTCTGGAATGGCAACGCATGGGGGTATCTTGGGCGAAACAGTATACTCTGTTATGTCCATGGTACTGCTCATGTCTATAGACGACGGTTACCACTTTCCATTAGGTGGGCTGTTAGCTTGTTTACCATTCTAAGTTGCATAAAAAAACAACTATAATTTTGTTCATTCGATACTCTCTAAATTGACTGGAAGGTATTTCTTTCAGTTATAAGTCCACCGATAAAAATTTAAATCCCTTGACTTTTCTTTCTGTTTTTTTTTTTAACCAATTTCAAAAAGCTAGAGGTTCTCAATTCGTTTATATATATTTTTTTTTTATGTTTGTTACCTCATAACTCTGTCAGTTGCAAACCGATTTAGATAATTCTTTTTTTATCTAAAAGAAGATACTTACAAATTAGTCCCATAGATTTTTTTCAGTATTTTAGTTTTTAAATCAAAATAAATAAGGTTTTGTCGCAATTTAAGTCGGTTTTCTTTTGCACAATCTTTAATTATTTAAGTACAATAAAGATTTGTAAACAAAAAACCATTTCATAAATAGAATAGCTCTAGTTGTCTTTTGCATTATACGTTGTAATTATGTCACATATGCTTTCACTTCTACACCGGATCCTGGTTAATAAATTGATATTACTTGCAGCGCGCCAGCAGCCGAAAGTCAACGATCTATTCCGAATGTACGCTGGCATGACGTACGGTAGCACCGTGAGAGACCTCTGCCGCCGGTTGAAACCTCAGGACCTGGCCATCAACGAGCGGAAACTGGTGTTGTTTGGTGTACTAGAAGGTCTCATAAGGAGAGTTTATAAGGTTAGTTGATACGTCATCATCACATCAGCCATTCTGTCCACTGCTGAACATGCTCCTTTTTCTATTGAGAGATTTTGCCAATAGTTGCCATGCTTGGCAAACGGGTTGGCAACCGCAGTTAGGGTTTTGGTGATGTTTTAAAAAGGACTCTGATGCCTATTCCTCGACCATTAAGTTCTCTTAGTCGCCTCTTCCGGCATCTATGGGAAAAAAAGGGATGGTCCATTCTATGCCGGGAGCACACGGTTCTTTATAGTTTTCAAGAATGGCCTGTGTGGTACTGTGGCCACCATCACTTAATAATAATACCTGAGTCCTCAGAAATGGCAACGTATGAGGAGTATCATGGGTGAAACAGTATACTCTATTATGTCCATGGTACTGCTCATGTCTATAGGCGACGGTTACCACTTTCCATCAGGTGGGCCGTCAGCTTGTTTGCCATTCTAAGTTGTATAAAAAAAATCATTTGCCATTCTAAGTTGTATAAAAAAAATCATTTGCCACGATACTTTTTTTTTTGAATGTATGATAATGGAATGGTAACCTCTGTCTTATTCTTATAACTAGTGTGTACAATAAAGAATTAAATAAATAAATTAAGATCCAAATTACATAACATGAATTTATAAATGGCATTAACAATTATTGTACTGTGGAATATTTTCAGAACCTGCATTAATAATTAGTGAAATAATTAGTGAATGATAGTCAACTTAATGAAAAACAAGTAAACGTCGTAGACATGTACAGTACCGTGGCCAGGGGGGAAAGGGATTGTTAGCAATGCAGATTGACAGCCCCATTGCTAGCAATATGCTCTATTAGGTCGACTTCCACGTGGTTCCCCCTGGAAACCATCGTGAACAATTCTTGTTGAATTCGTCACGTTCGTGACCTACTTCATCCTCACCTATCATTCTTCACTGGTGCCCCGCCGGTGTATACCGATAACGCGGATAGGGTTACCATTCCATTATCATCCATTAAAAAAAAACACAAACGAACTCACTTTCACGTTTATAATACTAATAAGTGGGAAGGATAGTTCATACATATCTCTCTATACCTCACGATAATAATGCAAATTTCGCACCTCGAACGATGACGTCATCTAATGACCTCTCTTTACAGTACCCAATAACAGTGAACAACGAGGACTCGTCGTCAGTACACAGCGAGCACAGCCAATCCATGGTGCGCACGTACAACGGACTCGTGTGCCTGGACGAGCTGTGCTGCCAGGGCGGCCTCTCCACCGTCCAACTGGAGGAGCAGTTGGAGCGAGACAGCAACGTCGTGTTCATAGTCAAGTGATAGCCCGTCAAATGGTACAAACAGTGGTGAGCTTGAACTAAAATAGAAATCACTTTTTCGCATGTAACCGAGGCTGTTGACGTTATAATCCTACTGTACAGTTCGGACCACGAAAATGAATTACAATTTTCCATACACATTAACTACCTGTAAGGAAAATTGTACAGTCTTCTAATATAGCTGTTAAGTTAGGTAAATAACTGTGCAGACTATGGGCTGTTTGTCCATAGACAATTCTCTCATTTATCTCAAAGACAACGATTCGCTCATTACGAAGCTACATTCACACTATAATATCAATATCATAATAATTTTGGCGTTTATCTGTCCACTGTTGGACATAGGCCTCCCCCATAGACTGTCAAAAAGAGGACTATTCTTTGCCATCTACATCCACTAACTGTCTGCAATGCATTTGAGGTCGTTATTGCATCAGTTGTCTGTTCTTCGAGCTTTGTGACCAACTCATTGTCAATTCAGCTTGCTTATCCTTATGCCCATCTCATTCTGGTAAAATCTTATCACGTAAGAAACAAGGTATTCATACTATCTGTAATAATCAAGTGAATTTCATTCCAGTCACGATCATCTCAAAGTGTTGCCACTTTTTCTACCGGACCAAAAACGTACCTTGATTGTTATTATAATATGAATCTAGCTTTAAGGTTTACGCAAACAATGCAGTATGCTGCATACTGCATTGTTGCAACTGGGTTTTTGTACAAAAGCAGTGCAAGGTATGCACGCATGATCCCCTTAGTCATAAAAACTAAAATCTTCTACAATCCTATTTAAAATTTTGTTACTCTCTTTAAAATTAAGAATTTAGGACAAAAGAAAGAGACAAATCTATAGGTTTACGAGAGATTTAACGTTTTCATGAAGAAGGTGATTCTTTTAATTCCGATGAGAGACAATGCTCGAGGAAATGTTGAATTATGCAGTACCCAAAATGACCGTTTATGTATACCTAAAACGTTTTGTTGAGTGATTTGTGCGTGGTCACGGTTTACACAAAGATATTTTGTTAATAGACAAATTCTCCATCGTCTGCGCAGATCTTTATCGAGACAATTCGAACTGTACAAATGATTTTTATATTTGCATTAAACCTAAGAGTGTGTGCAGTTAACCTCAAACCTCAATATGATGTACAGGGTGAGTCGCGATACCGAACTAATCCAGTGATTCGTGAAATTGAATAATTTTCACCAAAGGGCATAGTTGAAGACTCAAAATAGCTTTTGAATCGATCTCTGAATGTGATCAATTTCTGAATCGATCGCGTTCGAAATTTGAAGATTTTCACTTTGGTCCTTGGGTAATGTTGTTCAATTCACGAGTACCGTCGGGTTTCGGTTTATTACATACATTGTGACTAACTCTAAAAACTCATATATTTTATTAATTATGTATTATTGTGTAAAATATATATGCGTTTTGATATGAAAATCATGTTTAAAACAACGAATTAACTCTAAAACTTTTTAAGGTTACTATACACTTTAAAACGTATAAAAAAACGTAATTTTCTATTTAGAATAAACATGGGCACATCACTGCGATACGAGGGCCAGTCCTTTAAGATTAAGATATAATAATTAGTCATAAATAAACAGTCAAAATATGTTTATAGGAGGGCAATTCCAAATCATTAGCGCATATCCGATTCTATTGGTCCCTAAGAGTCCGGATGGTCTATGACCACCCCAAAGTTTTCCGGTGTCCACACCATAATGCGAGAGAAGCTTTCAGTTATGCGCGGACATGTCTTAAAGTACATAGATGTGCATCTTCTTTAAGGGGGAAAGCCTCCACTGGAAAGTTTTAATTTATAGGTTCATTCTTGTAAGACACGTTTCGATAAACAAAAGACAATTAAACCTTATTTCAATAATCTTAAAACTCTATTTTGAATACGAGCAATTGTAAAGGTTTAAGACAGTTAAACCTTATTTCAATGATCTTAAGACTCTATTTTGAATGCAATCTATATCTGCTCTCCTCCTGGGCCGGTTTTTATAAACGGATAGTAAGTGGTAATGATTTTGAAATTACCTTCTGATGATCTAGACCTGCAATATATTATACTTTGTTAATATATTAGAGATCTCAATTAGGCGCACATAATATATTGCAGTTGGCTAGTTTTTTTTTTTTTTTTATTATATACAGGTGATTTTTGTAAATGTTTATACCGGTTTTACTAACGTTTTATATTCGACGATGCTCGACTAGTTTCGAACTGAATGGGAGACCTGACTCCTATTGAGTTTAACTTTTTAAAAGATAATTATTTGGTCTAATAATAAATGCATCTAATAATTGCTGTATTAAACAAAAAAGTGAAAATTAATATTCTTGATAAAGGAATTCGTTGCGCTTACTGCAATGGTACCATTTTGTCTGTGTAAAAAAATCACCCTGTATAAATAATAAATGTAACAATCTATTATATTATTTTTCTAAATCCGCTATTAATAATGAATATATTATAATAATTGATAATTATTTAGTCGTTAGTTTAAGTTTATTTTAAGTATCGACGGTTAAGAAATATTAGAATAGTCAAACGTACCAAATTTCTATAATTATAATGGATGGCCGCGTCTGAGGCGTCATTTCTCTATATCTATGTCTTAAATAGAAATTTGAGTTTAATTTCACAGATTTTTTTAAAAATATAATAAAATATATAATAAATTTAATTTAATGTAATAACTACCCATTTGACTTACGTGTAATTAGATCGAGAAAGTTCAACTAGTTTCGGGATCAATCCGTGACCCTTAATCATGAACGGCAGTAATGTGAGCGCGAGGCTGACTGCGCGCCTCTCTCCGCTCGAACGCAAATTAAACTGGTAGTTATTGCATTAAAATATAACGTGTGCATACAAAACTTAATAATAAAAATAGAAATTTAGTTTATGGTTACCCATAAAACACTAATTACGCGACATTATCAAATTAAAATATTAGAATAACAAAAAAGTTTAAAGAAAGATCGCCTTAGAATCGAGCTCAATGTCTAAACACCTAAATTAATGTTATACAAAGTGTAACATACATGTTTTTAATTAAATAACTGATTAATTTGTATAATCTATTGATGGTGTTGAGTTTTATCAGTAAGGAACTAGTAACTTTGCATACACGACGCGTCCAATGCGCAGCGTATCTGATATTTTATAAATACAAATATGTTAATTCAGTAGCATAAGAATGAATATCGTGGTAGACCGGACATTCGTGGATTTTATAACAATACCTGTTGAATAAAAAGAAAGGCAAAGGACAAACCTGGTTCACTTAGTCCCCGCGTGTAGGTCTTTTGTGTTCTCGTTCTCACTTAAAATTATCCAACACTTTTGTTGATTTGCATACGGCAGTGATTCTCGACCACTGTGCCGCGGCACTTTTGTGTGCCGCCAAATTTTAAAAGTGTGCCGCCAAATTTTTCAAATTTTTAAAATTTTGTCATAAATTATTTACGCAGTGTGTTGTAGTAAGTAAATAATTTTTATCTTTCTCTTTGTGTGCCGCCAAATTTTGAAATCGTTAAATATGTGCCGCAACAAAAAAAAGGTTGAGAATCACTGGCGTAAGGTATCACTGCATATTGCGCGGAGATCGCGGCTGATTGAATAATTCGCAACTGGCGGAGAATTTGCGTGATCTTGGCGGAACTTGATCAGCTCGACACGCAGTTGGATTATAGACTCATTTTGTCCATCTACCCCCCAATGTGATCCCAGATTTGATAGGAAATATGGATAAGTAAGGAAGGTAGAAGGATATTGCGTTCGGAAATGTTTAATGCATATACAAATGATGAGATTATATTTACCAATAACTCTATTGGCGCCTGGAACGGATGTTGTGTGATCGCTTTTATATATTTTTTTTTGATGGGTGAAAATGGTATGGTAACCTCGCCTGCGCTAACGGGATACGCTGGCGGAGCACCAGTGAAGGGTGATAGATGAGAATGAAAACAGGCCAGCTAGCCCATCATGATGAATTCATCAGGAATTAACAATGATAGTTTCCAGGGAGAACCGCGAAGAGGACCTGGTTGGGTATATTGCTAGCAATAGGATTTTCAGTCTCCATTACTAATAATACCTTTCCCTCAGCGCTTTTATATTTGGTGTTGGATTGTTTTATGCCGTTTTGAATGGCAAAAGAGTTCACAATTCACCATAGGCGTATGGGAGTGGGAGGTTAAGTAGGGTAGCATTATATACATTTAGCGTCTCGATATAACAGGAGAGCATAATGTGACCCTTTTAATTTTCCGCGACGACGCCGCGTGCGTGCGCGGCATATGTTACCTACATACATATTAGTGGACGTGCTCGGAATTTGAAAGCTTGGGGTCTACTATGATATGAAATTCCGAATTTTCGGACTCAAATTTGTGTTTTCATTCATACCGAAATCAGCCAAATCAGTAACCGAATTTACTGGGTACAGAGGAATAACACCCGAGTCTTCAGGAATGGTAACGCAAGGGGGGTATCATGGGCGAAACAGTATACTCTGTTATGTCCATGGTACTGGTCATGTCTATAGGCGACCATTATCACTTTCCATCAGATGGACCGTCAGCTTGTTTGCCATTCTAAGTTGTATAAAAAAAAACCCGGAATCAGTAATTGTAATTAAACGTTTTGTTCTTCATAAATCATACCATAAAAGTCTGAAGCAACGATTTTAGAACACTTTTAAACGGTATGTATTATATAATTTTAACATCTTATTTTTGTTTCGCTCGGCCTCGAAATTTCGGAAGACTTTTCATAGTAGGTCCTCTTCTTCGTACAATTGCTTATATTTATTGCTCTCCCTAGTATATCATTGGTAGGTCAACCAGATTAATAACAGATACTGAGTTAATATAAACGTGGTTTTTTAGAGACAACAGAGCTGATTTCAAAATTCCCGTAAAATGTTTGAAAGATAATAGTGTAGTTCGAAAATGCGCATTGGACGTTCGTTATGACTAGTTCCTTACGTTGATTTTATATTATGACGTAATAAATTAGTGTCATATATACATATATTATTTGTTAATTATATATATATGTAAGAACTCGCCAACGAGTGAGTACTGGATAATTATATATATAAAGAATTCAATTCTTTGTTAGAACATAAAAGTTATTTTTCATCGAACATAGGATACTCATTAAGTTGTATAGTTCGTAATACGTTCAGAAATATCAAGGTCTTTGTGGGGTATGTATAAATATAGCATTTCTGGATAAAAGTACTCTAACTATAGGAAGACGAATCCGCTTTCAGATCAGGAATACAAAAATTTATGAAGGTTTAAAAATTAATCATTAGTTATGTTTTAACCAAGTTATCCTAATATTAAGGTAATGTATAACAAATGCCTATCTAATAGGTAATAATACAATATCCTTTTCTTTTTGTCTGTGCGTAAATAAAATTTCGGTTCGATTTTCGATTGGGTAAATTTAAAAATATAACTTTTCTAAATTCACTCGTCGTATTTTAATGCTAGTGTATAACAAGATGGCGCATATTGTAATTTGCAATTGGCAACATCAGTTACTTGTCAAATTTCAAAGATAATAAAACTATTTTTATATTTCAAATAGTGTTATAACCGAGCGCTTATCTACAGTTGACTTTGACAATTGACACAAATGAAAGCGAAATACTAATTTTCTCCACTTGTACCTACAATGATACTATTTATGTGTCTATCTATATAATTTATAATGCCATTTAAACACTACCTTATATAAATTAATATAATTGTTAATTTTAAAATGTTGCCACATTGTATCTTTTGCGTTGTCATAGAGTACCTATATCTACAGTGTAATACATGTTAGGAAGCTAGAATTTATTACAATGTCACTATTTTATACGTGTTTGTCAAATTTTATAAGAAATATACCTACCATAATGTAAGAGCTTCCCCACAGTTTATTGTTAATAAATAAAAACTGCTCAAAGCGATTTTTTACATAATTCTTGTATTTTTAATAGAAATGTCGATGGCTAAAATCATATAAGTGCGAGAGAGTGCGCAATATGACCTGTTCTACTCACACATTGTTCTAATCACGCATGGGGGTATCATGAGCGAAACAGTATACTCTGTTATGTCCATGGTACTGCTCATGTCTATAGGCGGCGGTTACCACTTTCCATCAGGTGGACCGTCAGCTTGTTTGCCATTCTAAGTTGTATAAAAAAAAAACACATTATTATTCCGACTCTAGTAATGAATTGTGACTATAATTATCCAAACTTTCAGTTCATTAGAGAGGCTAATTTGAGGTTCAAGTAGGAACACTGAAGAAAGAGATAGCTTTACAGCATTTGTTTGAAATAGAACGGTGAGAAGTTAAGTACATTTGGCACCAAAAAAAGATAATTTTGTATTTAGGGGCTGATTGTGAAGTAGCCATCGGTATGTTGACGAACTTAAAGGTGCTATATAAGTTTTAACTTTGTGTAGAATGATTTATATTTATGGAAGCCACAGTAGTCTCCCACAATATGGATATATCTTTTTTGTGACTTGATTGGGTGAACGTGGGAAGACGAAATGTACCTAATATAAGTCTATTATTTATGTGTATGTGTGTACAGTGTGAAATAGAAATCACTACCATGCTTTAAAAAAAAATAACATAATATTTTTTTTCCCAAGAAAAAAGAAGGGATTAAGAATGGAAAAAAATAGAGATTACATACTAACTATGCTGTGTTAATATTTTTTTTTTTATTTTCCATTTATACTTTGTTTTAGAAAATTGTTCAATTTCACTGTTATAACAATCCCATAAAAGTATGCCAATGATTTCGAGATTTCGTTCTGTATGATATTCTTATTAATTTTAAATCGTATTACTGTTCATTTAAATATTGTATATTTGTTAATTGTTCCATTTCAGTCAAAAATACTCGATAATTCCAATCCTTCCATCGACAATATTCTCAATGGTTGATCGAAGTATCTAGTGTTTACTTTTTTTTTCATTTTATTTTTAAATATGTAGTCGTTTATAATGTATATCTTTTTATATGCATAACAGTAATTTGGAATCGATATCTTGATTTGAGGTAGTTGTTTGGGACGAATTTTTTTTTTATACTGACATGGAATAATTGCCACTTTACTAAGATCTAGTCTGTTGTTACTTTATCGACGTTTTGTATTGTTTAATTTGTTATATCTCTATAATTATGATTGTTTGTATTGACTAGTCAGTAAAAACCTTGTTTTGCTTACCATTATATAGCTGTAATATTATAAATTTAAGTTAATTATGCGAAAGAAATATACGCTGCCCTTTAGAAAGCAAGCGCATTTATTTGTAGATACGTGTACGCTACCGCAGCTATGATGGAATGTGACGTCAAACGTCGCCGTTTTGTTCCATCTCATCCTTACGGTAGGTTAATTGTATCTGCATATAGATTTGTACGCCACTTATCTAGAATGTAGTACATATATTAATTACCGAAAAGATTGTATGGAAATCTAAGTTTCCAAAACTATCCGCTAGAGATGCAGCTATGTATACAGTTATCGACGTAAATAAATGTGAAGGCGATTGTAACGTAACTCTTTGTAGAACTCGCACTATAACTACCTTAGACAAAGTAACATTTCATTTGGCGATTTAACTCTTAAATTGTATGAGGTAATATTCCCATACAATTGGATTTATTATTTACGATATTTTTACTTTGTCTAAGGGATTAGCGGTTAAAATAATAGTATTTGCTTTGTATAACCTAAGGGTGGGTAATATATAACAAAAACTTAGCGATGCGCGAATTTAAATGATTTTGTTATTAGAATAATTAGTAATTACTAGTTTTATAATTTGACTACTAAATTAGTAATATAGTAATATCTATATTCGAATTATTTTACTAATTAATAACTAATTACAACAAAGTCCTTTCTCTGAATCTGTTTACTACTAGAATACGATGACAAAAAAACTTGCCATAGAGTACTGAAATATCATTTTTTTAATACGTGATGTAGTTCTTTCGCAATTTCATATAAAAACTGTACTTACTTATCGATTCGGCTATGTTCGTGTCGACTCGGCTATGTTCGTGTCGACTCGTCCATTAACGACTACTAATTAATGACATAAGTAGTCGAATTAGTAGTCGCGCATCGCTACAATATTTATATATTAGCCAAATAACGGATATATTAAATATCGCTTTAAAAATTCAATCGTATTGAATATATCAGCCTGGTATCGGCGATATCGAAATAATGAATTCTTTTCCGGCCTCGATATCCAAAGGAATGTATTATATATAGACAATATATGTATCAATGTATAGATATCAAATCGATACAGATATTACAAATGCCTAGACTATAACCCATGGAATTTAATAGTTCATTCACGTTAAAGGAGTAATATTAATGGGCTAGTACATTTACATTGGCAAGTTATACAAAGCGAATCCTATTATGATTCGTGTACAAAGGGTTTTTAGGTCTCGAAATGAAAAAAAAAACCGTTTTTATCACTAATCATGCCGACGAACCACTCAATTTGTAAAGTGGTGACTGAATTGTTGATTTAATAACATAATTATTATTTTTTGAGAGATTATCTACGAAATGTGTTGTTCTAGTTTATTGAATAAAAATATTTTTTATTGAGATAATTTTAAAATTAACATGAATAAGTTTTTGATTTTTTTTTTTTTGTATCCATAATGTCATTTTGTTTTTGTGTTAACGAGGAAAAACTCAATAAAACTATTTTTGATAATTTTTGTTGTTTTCTCTCCATAATTAATAATATCCTATATACAGAGTACACACATTAATTCTAAAGTAAATTAAACCGACACCATATAAAAATATGGTGTCGTTTAATTCCTCATAATATATGCATATTATGGGAAACTAGACTTAATTTTTAAAACGCAATGAATTTTGATTTATAAATTCATCTCAAATTTCTGTTTGATGATTAAAAAATCATACATATTTACCTAAGGGAGACTACAAAAGTCGATTGCTTGGGTGCCTCTGTACCATTCGTGTTTCTACCGTGAAGCAGTTGTGTTTGCATGGCTGTGTTTCAGTTTGATGGGTGGGATATGGCGTGAATTTACAGGGTACAGAGGAATAACATCAGAGTCCTCAGGAATGGCAACGTATGGGGGGTATCATGGTAGAAACAGTATACTCTGTTATATCCATGGTACTGCTCATGTCTATAGGCGACGGTTACCATTTTCCATCAGGTGGACCGTCAGCTTGTTTGCCATTCTAAGTTGTATAAAAAAAATATTGTTATTATAAAAGGGATAGTTTTGATCGACCATAATGATACCAGCGGAAAAAAATAAAAGTACTAAAAAGTTTTTTGACTTTACTGCTTTAATACATTCTTATATAACATTATATAAGTTACAAAATACATAAACAGTTATATAGGTAACAAAACACGTGACTAGCGTTTCAGAGACAAAATACAGTCGTGGCGAACGTAATTATAAACACAACCTACCCCTTGAGGGCACAGCGTGAGGCTATGGACCACAGATACAGATTGAGTCTGAATTGCAAACTCTAAATAGGAAATACATAATCAAATTCCAAACATGATTTGTTTGACATAAATCTTGTTAAAACTAGTTCTGGAACCAATATGTCCTTATACCATTAAAAGACAATTAAAAATCAGTTCACAAAGAAGTTATCACGTAACATATAAAAATACAGTCGAATCAATAACCTCTATTCGAAATCGGTTGTAAAGTAAAGAAATATATTTGGTCAATTATGTAAAATGTCAATTTATATAAAAAAAATCAAAATATGATTTAATGAAATAGATACAACATAACGTCCATATGAAAAGTTGACAAATTGATACAAAAAAAAAAAGAATCCATGGATAGTTTTACACCTTGGAAGATTTCAAATAATATAAACAAAGTGGAAAAATTTACCGCTAACAAATATACTTAATTACTGTTTCTCATGATTATTTTTGTAACGTTTATGTACAGTTAAATTTTTGTGAGAAAACAATATTTACGTAAGAAAACGTAACTTCAAAAGAACTGAAATCTGATCACATATTTGGCACGGTGTGTAAGAAATGCAGAACGCTCCATAAATATAATACTATACTTACCATTTGTTATTGTATAAAATAAATAACCTTATTTTATTGTTAATAAAGGTGATCGAGTATCAATATCAATACACGCGTCCCAATTTTTTTTAACAACACGGGGTAAACTGTCGTACGGCTCACCTGATGGTAAGTGACTACCACCGCCCATGATCACCCACAACACCAGCGGCATTGCAGGTGTGCTGCCGGCCTTTTAAAGAGGAATATACTCTTTCCTTGAAGCTTATTATTATTACATTACAATTAATAGTAAATTGATATTGTTCGTAGTTTCTGTAAAGGATAATAAATCTAGTCGGGAGATATGTTTAGAGAAATGGCCCCAATATCGATTATATATATATATATATATATATATATATATATATATATATATATATATATATATATATATATAATATTGAATAATAGACTTTGAACATATTCGAAAATAGATATCCGACCGATATGGGCGATATCGAAATGGATGATGACCTTTCTTACATCATCAATGCTCAAAGGAACTCAATGTATTGATATCGATTCGGTATTCATACTACCCATGGCTAATATTGATTAAATTACTCCGTTTGTTTTTTATACCAATAATCCCAAAATTAGACCACTGCTTTGTTTATAATTTTCATCTCAAGTACGAGCCTCTTACACATAACGCTGGCAGAAATGATCATAAAAATCATGACTGAATGCTATTGATGAAAAAAAAAAATAGAAAATAAAAAAAAAATTATAACGCGCCTACCGATATATTAACTCGATCACAATTTACTTTACTCGATCACTGTAGTCAATCACTATTAGGGTGGCCATATTCACCACGTATTCATAAAAAGTAAAACCTAAAAACCTATTTTACTATTATATTGTTTTGCCATTTTCAAATTCGGAATTTAGCGTGAAAGAATGAGACAAAACAGTTCAATAGCTATACTAGGTTTACGAGAGGTCTGACGTTTTTACGAATAAGGGAGGGGGGGGGGGGTGAAGTGTAAATTAATAAATAATCAAAATACTACCTGAGCATCTAGTACATATTAAAAAAAAAAGAAAACATATTATGTGACTCTGACATAGACGTTCGATTACAGTGATTGAACCCACTCTGTATTACAAAATAATTTGATTTCGGTACATAATTGTTATTGTATATAATTTATGTATATCATTTAACCTAACTTAACCTATTCAGCATTTATAATACACTCAGGCACACCGTTCTGAATTATACCGCATTTTCTAAGTGCACAATTAACAAATTAAACATTCAAAGAAAGGCACACAATATTTGGGATAGCGTAAAGGAATACTGCAATTATACAATGACACTTTACTATATAAGTGTATACCATAATTATATGGCTTCAAGGATCTTTAACCCTTAAACACCTGAAGTTTCAAATTTGATACCGAAGTTTGCATTGTTTCATTGTTAAATAAATTTAAATATTTTGATTACCGTAATGCCTAAAGTATTATATCAAAAATGATACCAAATGTTTTTTTTTCAAAATAAATATATAACAATATCGTTTTGATTTTTTTTTTTTTACTATTTTTCCCCATTAGTAAACACAGTAAAGGGTACACTTATATATATTTTTTAATTTGATTTAAAAAATCAGGCTTTTAAGCGTTAAGAGAGTTAGGGTTTTATCCTACATTATGAATTTCGAAATTTTCTGTCAAAATTTTTCACTGTCGCCATTTTAAAGAGGACATTCCAAATCTTTTGTTCTTCTAATCTTTTACTCACATTTGCAATAATTATACCGATCAGGTTAATTTAAAAACAATATGACAACTGTAAACAACTTTTAATTTTTTTTTTTTTTTAGAATTTGAAACATGTCTTAGACAATGACAAACTACAAAATTAGATAGGGGATCACGACAATGCAATGTGAACCGAAAACTTCAAGAATTTGAACATCATATTGCCTCTTCGAACACCTATCACTAAACACGCTATCTTAGGCGCTGTCGAATGGTGTATACATTTATTATCAATACAATTTACATACATTTTTATACAAAAAAAACAAGTGATTTGCTATATCGAAACGCCATACAAATTCGATGTACATTAGACAAAGCAAAAACGCTACGTATTTGTAATATATGAACTGAAATTAATTAAGCCCATACTCAGAAGCGTCAAGCGTGAGCGATCCACCTGCCACAATAGCAGCTCTCACAGTCAGTCGAACAGTCTTAACGCCACTATATTGTCAATATTATGTACATATTAATAATAAAATTATATAATGAGATATTTATTCTAATACTACAAAAAAAAAAAAATAGTCTATGCTATTTGAGACTTTGAAAACTGACTCCTCGTGCTGTCTCATAAAAGACATGTCACTGGTGACGTGTATTATCTGTCAAATTTCAAATATAAACCCATACGTACAACAATCTTATGAAAATTAACTCTAATTATCATAATATGTATTTTTTTTTAATATTTTTTAATTCAATTCACTCATAATCGTATTTTCTGATATTGCTCACAACTTGGGTTACATGTTTGTTTTTATTATTTACTTAATTTTCTCGCACCGTATAATTGTGTTAAAGTGAATGCTGTGAATACCTATAATAGGCGTGTGCATTAATATTGTATTGTATTTAATGTTTGTTATACCTATATGTTATAATGCAATATGTTGTTGGTGTTCCTTAAATAAATAAATAAATATATTATGAGTTGTACATGAATTTATATTTACCAGTTAATTTTAAATTCTAACTACACAAACAAATCACAAATAAATTGAACGTTTACGGTACACTAACATACATTGCGATAGATCGAGACAGCAATGTGTGGCCTCTTTTTTACCGCATATGTTGTAGCGTAAACGTATCTATAATAAATACTTATTTACCATTTTTGCGACAGGGCAGATAGGAACAAAAATAAGAATATAAGATAATAAAAATTACCATTTGAAATTTGACAGAAAATGTAGACTTTACCACTATTATAATAAAGGTACCCTCTCTTAAATTAAAAACATTATGCGTCTCATTCACATAGGTGCGAGTTAGACCCTTGTTAAAACTAGGCATAATTCAGAACCCTCGTATTTAATATTATAGCTTATTAATAAATACATAGTTATTACTGTTATGCTAACAGTTCGCTACGTCATAGCTTATCATACATTATAACATTCGACAATAAAGGAATGACCTAATCATAATGGGTATTTAAGATTAAAAAAAAAAACGAAAACAAAATTCAAATTTGGAATAAATAAATTAAAAAAAAAAATTCGAGTCGATACATTATTTGAGACTAAAAAAACTATTACCATAAATACAGTTCGTATTTTAAATTTTAATCTATTTTATAGTTCGCTTGCGTGCAGGTATTTTTTATTAGTCTTTATACCTTTTTTTTTTATAAATTTAATACAAAATAATAACGTCCACTTCTCATGTATAAGCACAACCATTTGCTATTATGCTAAAATCACTTTTATGACTTGCCTTATTGAGTCCAGAATGACAACGAAAAGGTGGCGAAGTTTATAAAATTTAATTATGGTACACGAACATTATGCAATGAAAAACACAATATTTTTAAATTTGAGAATCCGTATAACATACTTTAAGAGTTTACATGATGCATAAAATTTTTTATACTTAACATATTTAATAAATTACCTCGGTATATTTTTTTTTTCATTAAAAAAAAAACTTTATAATAATAAAAAACCAGGTTTATGTTTAAATTAAATTCAGTAATTAATGTGTTATTGTCTAAGATTGTTCTTTTGTCCGTTACATTTTTAATTGAACAATTTCAATAAAAAAGACATGTCAAGATTTTACCAAATGAGTATTAAAAAAAAATTACAATAATTTCAACATTATAACACTGAAAATATTTACAGAAAATAATAGAATATTTATAATATTATATAAAAGCCAGTAAAAATATTTATTTACGCTTGGAGCGGCGTATTCTTGATAATGAATTTACTGGGTACAGAGGAATAACATCTGAGTCCTCAGGAATGACAACGCATGGGGGGTATCATGGGCGAAACAGTATACACTGTTATGTCCATGGTACTGGTCATGTCTATAGGCGACGGTTACCACTTTCCATCAGGTGGGCCGTCAGCTTGTTTGCCATTCTAAGTTGCATAAAAAAAAAATATTACATTACTCCATGTTGCAACGTTCAATTATATTTTCTATATTAATTGAAAACATGTATTTTAGTTGAGAAAGCTTCACTAGTTTCTGGATCATCCGGAACCCTTGCTTATGAGTGGCTGTGATACGCGCACGAGCCTGGCTGCCTGACTTACGTGTATTTTAGTCGAGGAAGCTCGATAATTAATTAATCGGATCATTATTACATTCAAATATAATGTGTACTTACGAACCTTTTAATATAAAAATTACATTTTCTGTTATTCCTTTAGTCTCTGGTATTTTCTATTATTAGTCTAGTTAGAAATGATTCAAGAGGGACGCTGCTGCCCATCCCTCTCCCTCCCTTAGTCGGCTCTTACGACACCCACGTGAAAGGAAGGGGTGGCCTATTCTATGCCGGGACCACACGGCCACGAATCTATTATCGCAAATTATAAATCCCATTATCCTACATCATTACTTTCGAAACCATCCCGGACACTTAATCATGAGTGGTCATGACGCGAGCGAGAATCTGACTGTGTGTTTCGGGGGAGGGGCTCCCACGTGGTACCCCTGGAAACCATCGTGCTGAATTCCAGATGTATTTTTTTAATGGGTGATAATGGAATGGTAACCCCGTCTGCGCTATTGGTATACACTGGCGGGGCACCAGTGAGTGATGATAGATGAGAATGAAAGTAGGTCAGCTAGCCCATCCTGACGAATTAAACTAGAATTAGTCACGATGGTTTCCAGGGGGAACCACGTGGAGGTCGACCTGACAGGGTATATCGCTAGTAATAGGGCTATTTTGACCCCATTACTAACAATCCCTTTCCCCCCGGTTTGTAGGTGTTAGTTTTTATTAATGAGGTGGTAAATTTGTAATATATTTAACCCAAAATTACTATAACTTTAGTTTAATTTACTTATTTAGTTTTAGAGAAATAACACCTCAGAAACGACCTCATTGCTTAATAAGCGAGCAAATTGAAGTCAATAAATATAATAATAACGATAACTTTACTAATAAAAGTTGAACTTTGTGAACCTAATAATCGATTGGTCTATTAACAGTGGTTCTCAAACGGTGGTATGCAACCACCGAGAGCCAAGTTTAAAGGTATTATGAAAAATTCACGAAGTATCAGCCCAAGATTTTTCTAAAGTGTGTTAACGGTGCCCGCACAAAGTCCACATTGATTTCCTATTAAAAGTTGGTCATTATTTTTTTTTTACAACACAGGGAGCAAACGAGCATGCGGCTCACCTGGTGGTAAGTGACTACCGTCGCCCATGATCACCCACAACACCAGCGGCATTGCAGGTGTGCTGCCGGACTTTTAAAAAGGAACATACTCTTTTCTTGAAGGTTATGTTGTCGTATCGGTTCGGAAATACTGCTGCTGCAAGTTGATTCCAAAGAATGGTTGTGCGTGGAAGAAAGTGCAGATGATTGGGATGAAACTTTTGTTTGTGGCGGGTTGTACGGTATAAAAAAACAATACCAATTTGCAATCAATAGACTGTTTGACTGATTTATAGTCAATATGTAGTCAATTCTGTCTTGGAAACATGACGTGAGTACACGTAATTTTTGGCCAACAGTGCAGAAGTCATGCTAATATTTTATTAGTGAAAGGAATTTCAATAAATCGTCTTTTATTTCTTCAATATGCCGATTTCGAATACATTTTCCTAACAATGTATACCTCAAATATATCAAACATTAATTTTAAAGTTTTTGTTCGCCTGCAAAGTAAGACTTTTTTACTTATGTACTGTTAAAAATTCACTGACGATATATTTTTATTTACGTAAATTTACAAGTATGTAGTGTAGTTTTTATAAATTTACAAATGAAATTTATTCAAATTTGAAAAGGTCCAGACGTTCTCGAGTTTGTTGCTCTAACAAACACATTTAGCGATACATTTTTTATTTACACAAGTACTTTGTCATAAATTAAAAAGCGGTTAGCGACCCCTAGTAACAAGAAGTTGAGAACCACTGGCTTTATACAAAATCTTGAATGTTATCAATTATGTTATATATTAAATATATATATATATATATATATATATATATATATATATATATATATATATATATATATATATATATATATATATATATATATATATATATATATATTAGAAGCTGTAATTAAATATTTTTACTGGCATATTATTGTATCGAAACAACAAATATAATGTGTCGAAAATTTTAAAAGTGGTACATTATTAATTTTACACAAACGTACTTAAATCTAGAATTTCCAAAACGTAAGTATACTTTATGAGACAGCTTGATTTTAGGAATATATTCTGGAAATTTCGATTTAAAGTCAAGCAAAAATAGGCTATTTGACGACTATTTTTCTATACGCATACATTATCGTCAACGTTTCATTCAGCTTATTTCAAAATAAAAAATAAATAAATAAAAAAAAAAACTTCGCTCCATTTTTTTTTAATTCTCCCAATAAATATGAAATAATAATATAAACATAAAAAACTAACAATATTATAATTATATTTAATGATTGAATCATCAGACAAGCGGTATCAACGCTAAAATTAAAAATCATCTCTAATTCAATGGAAATAAAACACAAAATCGATTCTACGGTCATATTATTAAATATAATTCTCTAAAATTCATTATTTTTAGAGACAAGTGTATTTCTATCATAGTCCATACACTTTTCAGTCCAATATTTAAAAAAAAAGACACTAAAATAGCTGTCAAATATCCCATTTTCTGTACACCATAAATTTGAAAGAACAGAAACATTTCAACTTTGTGAACATTTCGTAGGAACATGTTGGTAGCATTGGTAATAATAAATTACAGGAGAGAAAAACCCACAAACTCACCAGAGAGATTCGCTTACGCATACTATATATATATATATATATATATGTTTATAAGGCAAATGACATTAGAGCGATGTTGCGACGTCCACTTGTGATACATTAGCCCGAACACATTTCTGAATGTTCGTCCCACGCCGCCACCTATGAACAATATGTTGATTTTATTGTATTTATTTTATTTTATTTATTTAACACTTTATTGCACCAACATAACAGGATTTGTTGAACAATTATCAATATGTATAGTTTAGTACAAAAGGCGGTCTTATTATTATTGTAATACGGATACAGCTGAAGAAGAGCCAGTCAACCTAACACAGTGGCAAAGGAAGTGTATTATTTATTTTGTTATGCAATTTAGAACAAGCTGACGGCCCACCTGGTGGAAAGTGGTAACCGTCGCCTATAGACATGAGCAGTAGCATGGACATAACAGAGTAGACTGTTTCGTCCATGATATCCCCTATGCGTTGCCATTCCTGAGGACTCAGGTGTTATTCCTCTGTACCTATTAAATTCACTGCCATATCTCACCCTTCAAACAGTGTATACGCAAAATTGTAATATGTGTACCACAGTGATGCAAAGAGGTAATATCCTAATGTTTTTTTTTTTAAGCAAACCACTGCCAACAAACAAACACTGCCTGAAAAATACTTCACTAATACACGCGCAATAATACCGTTGTGTCTGACACATTTTGATAAATACAAAACTGAAGATAAAAATACAATTTATTCAATAACATTAGGGTACAAAATATTTAACAAACAGATCAACATGCAGTGGTCTCAGAGATAACCGATGTTCAGTGTTATAAAATAGATACCGTTAATCATATAAAGACAATGGCGAAGAATTCCATTAACATATCGTCATAGTCGTAGAATACTGACGGATCTGACAAATATTACATATATATATATATATATATATATATATATATATATATATATATATAGCGTGAATTTACTAGGTACAGAGGAATAACACCTGAGTCCTCAGGAATGGCAACGCATGGGGGGTATCATGGGCGAAACAGTCTAATCTGTTATGTCCATGGTACTGCTCATGTCTATAGGCGACGGTTACCACTTTCCATCAGGTGGGCCATCAGCTTGTTTGCTATTCTAAGTTGTATAAAAAAAAAACCGTCAGTATACTACGACTATGACGATATCAAGTGGCTCTCGGTCAATAAACATGATGTAATTGTATTCGAGATCTCACCTGACAGTCCCGGCTGCAGTACCACTGGTTCGCGCAGCCCGCGCACACGAACTGTGCGTCGCGGCGGCGGCAGCCCTGGCACAGCGGCGCCTCCGCCCCGTCCTCGCCGTCGGCCCCCTCCGCGCCGCCCTCGCCCCCCTCGGCGTGCCCCTCGCCCCCCTCGTCGATCACGAGCCGCCCGGAGCCCGAACCGGACGGCGAGCCCGGCCCCGACGGGGATGACGTTGCACTCTCTTCGTCATCCTAAACGAATTATATACATATATTTAAAAAAAAAAAGTCATCCACCCGGATTTTAAACGATCGAATCAATTTCAGGGCTATTAGTGTTAAAATTGTCCACGTAATATTTTAGGGGGAAAGGGATTGTTTTTTTTAATGAGTGAAAATGGAATGGTAACCCCGTCCGCGCTATTGGTATACACCGACGAGGCACCAGTGGAAGATGATGGGTGAAAATGAATGCAAATCAGTTGGCTCACCGTGATGAATTCGACGAGAATCAAACATAATGGTTTCCAGGGGAAACCGCGTGGAGGTTGACCTGAGAGGGTAATTGCTAGCAATGGGGCTATTAGACTCTATTACTAACAATCCCTTTCCCTCCAAAGGGATTATTTAGACCCTCCCCCCATTGCTTGTAATATATCCACCTCTACGCGGTACCACCTGGAAACCATCCTGGTTAATTATTAATGAATACGTGGGCCAACTGACCTGCTTTCATTCTCACCATCAATCATTAGTGCCCCGGTAGGCCATACATATAGCAGCGACGGCGTTACCATTTCATGTTATAATATTAATATATTTTTTATTGCACTAAAACATACAGTAACATAATAACAATTAGAAAAAATGCAAGCAAAGGTGAGAACTTATCTCTGAAAGAGATCTCTTCCAGCCAGCCCAATATAGTGAGAAAGCATATAGTTAGCTAGCAGTCAAGGTGCACGAGTGCAGTACAAAACAAATGTAATAAAATGTATGTAAATGTAATATAAACACCCTACAACGCGATTCATATATAAGGTATGTATATCATTACATAGTATAAAACAAAGTCGCTGTCGCTATCTCTCCGTCCATATGTATGCTTAAATCTTTAAAACTACGCAACGGATTTAGAAGCGGTTTTTTTTTAATAGATAGAGTGATTCAAGAGGAAGGTTTATATATATAATACATGCATAATATTGTAGAGAAACACTGATAAATTTAGAGGTTTCTAATGTGATGTCGCAAATACATTTTTGCGCTTACATAGCAAACGCTGTCTGAACCCCACGAGATAAATCAAAATAATGTACTACAGTATTGTACACCTTAAAAAGGTCAATAAAAAAGTCCGCGATGGCATATGTCATCTCTTAAGGATAACCCACAATTACCATTTTTTATCCTTTACATGTTACGGGAAAAAATGGCTTATTTACGAAGTGATTTTAAGGAATACAGCATTAATTTTTGTCCAATTAAGTATCTTCAATACATTGTCCATTTTATATAGATAATATATCCCTTTACAGCATGTAGTTTAAATGAATATTTCTTTAGATATTATAGATTTAAAATGCAGGGACATAGCGGTGCGGCGGCGCGTGATGGATGACAAAAAAGCTGTAAACGTTGTTTATAAGGACATTCTGTAGTAGGTAGGTATATTTAGTATCAGCATTGCACCCGTGCGAAGCCGGGGCGGGTCGCTAGTTGTATATATTTTCGCTTCGTAAGTTTTTTTACTCTACAAAGAAAACAATCAGTAGAATCAAACGATAAATAAATAAATGAGAACAATACGAGAGTAAACTACATTGATTGCAAGAAAAATTATGTAAATAGGTTCAGAATTGGCGATGTAACCGCATAACGCAGTTGCAAAAAATGCAAACAAATTGAGCAGCTGCTTTTTTTCATTTTTATTTATTTTTTTTAATAATAATAATTAAATACACTAGACAAACTCACCAGTTGCACAACCTCCTCAGCCTTCTCCGGCTGAGGGTCCGGCGGCGCTGGCTGTACCGGCGTGATCGTGATCTCGCCGCAGTTCTGTAACATTGACACGTAGTGGCGTTACGTTGCACGTTACATTACATGTTACAAACGCTCCTCTACACGTTCGCCCATAGTGGCAGAAACAAGTATATACATAATACAGGCGTCCACACGTGTGTATATATCGCACCATCGGTAAGACAAGGGCACAACTGCACTTTTGTGATTTTACAGGAAAGCCATTTTTTACATTCAATGACGTGTTGTTCGCCAAATTCATCCAAAATTTTTTTTTTCTTTATATATACTACGATCTGTCTCCTTGCTGGGACAATAAATAGTATGTTTAAGGTATACATACTTTAATGGCGTGCTCAGTATGCGACCTGAGTCGCATCCTACTTTATTTTATAGCATCATGTCTTGGGGCATTTTGCGTTTCAGTATGTGAGTTGTGTGATTTACGTCCATAAGGTCTCTTGCCAGTCTGTTAGGGTGTTTTGTTATCCTCTCCTTGTAGGATTGTGTGTTGTAGTATTTCCTGTCTAACAGTTTCAATTTTTAGGTCATGATGCAGTTGCTCGTTTGTGACAAACCAAGGAGCTTTGGTTATTATTCTCAGCATTTTATTTTGGAATCCAAAATGACAAAAACACTAATGCTGTCTAGTGGCGAATAACCCGTATTTATTTCGAGTCTTTGTTCGATTTTTGATAAATGCGATTTTTTTGTATGTTATGCCCATGTCTTACCGAAGGTGCGAAATATTAATTTAGTAGGTTAGGAAAAAAAAAGTATCCGAATCTAATGTTTAATATTTTTTATACACAATCCTAAACGTGCTTGTCAAAAAGGTCTGAGACTCCATAGTAAGTTATGTAAATTGTTAGTACTGCGTTCATGTTTACACCGATAAGTATGTATGAAAATCTCAGTTTCCGAAGCCATCCGGGACAGTAATTTAATTCAGTGTAAAATTACACTACACGCTGAAGTGTCAGACCTTTTTGAAGATCTATTTATGAAAGTATTGCGTATAAAATAATTAAAATTAGATTTAATTTTAATATTTATGGAATTTATTTTATTTATAAAAATCTTTTAACTGTAAAAGTGAACGTGTAGCAACCGTTCATAGGCGATTGTCTTCTATATAATACTGCACACAATACTGGCCAACGTGTAGAGTCCATAGCAAGCACAACTTAAAACATATACAGCTGAGGGTCGATCCTCGGAGTCGAAGTGTTTTTTCACACTTAGTAGAATATTTTTATTTATAGGTTAATGTGCATTGACACCGTATCATTATGAAGTATGGCAACATCGATATTATCTTTTATTTTTAATTTTTTAATATTTTTTTTTAATTCACGAATAATTTCTATCCAGTTTAGTAACGAAAAGTTACGAATGCTCTATCTTAAACTTAAAATTAACGGCTATGTTCAGCAAAAAAAAAAGTTGTATAGATTAAGGTGCAATAACACCGTATCATTATGAAGTATGGCAACATCGATATTATTTTTTATTTTTTTATAAAGTTTTTTTTTAATTAACAAATTATTTTTGTGGAGTTTGGTAACCAAAAGTTACGAATGCTTTATCTCAAACTCAAAATTAACGACTTCGATCAACAAAAAAAAATTGTTTTATAGGTTAAGGTGCAGTAACACCTTAACATTACGAAGTATGGCAATACCGATATTATCTGTTAACTTTAAAAAACAATTGAACGTTTTTCAATGTTTCTAATTGATTATTTAAAAAGTGCTCTGCTACCGAACTAAAAGGTTAATCATGCAATAATATTCTTATTAGGGTGTTACTAAAAATTTGTATTTTGAAGGCTAAAACGTATTTTATCAAAATTCCGGCGCTAAATAAGATGTAAGTAAAAAGTTTGTAATGGTACATTTATATGCTATTCTATATGCTATTCTATATTTAAAATGCGCTAGCAAAGCACTTTTTAAATAATCAGACAGAAACGTTGGAAAACGTTACTTTTATTTTTTTAAATCTCAGATAATTGCTATGTTTCTCGGTAAACAAGTTATAATCGTTCTAACGCAAACTCAAAACTAACGGATTCGTTCAACAAAAAAAAAATCAGTAGGCGAGTCGTAGTTTTTAAATATCAACCGTAAATTGCTTTAATATACTTAAACGGACTTTCATGTTACTACACAAACTACGTGATACTTTTAATTCCTCTTTGGTCGCGCGTTCCACATTACGATTCGGTGTTCTGTTATGAAAAAAACAAATTACCCCAAGGATTCGCCCTCCTTACGCAAAATCGTTTAAAAGGGATTCAATTTAGAGAAGTAATATTAAAGTAAGGTATTTCGCTATTATTTCGAATTATTAAATCTATTTTTTTTTATTAAATATATATATAGCGTCACAGAATACACTGTGACGCCCATCACACTCATTATGTATATATATGGTTGGATTGGAGCATAATGAAGGTGAGACGAAACACTATGACGTAAGCACTATACTCGATCTGAAGACTTCAAGACGAAGTGGAAACAGATGCAAAAAAAAAAAATTATACTTTATTTGAACTACATAGACTCTACATGTGAAATCTTTATAATCGGTGGTAATACAAAATCTTCGCCTAGCATATTAGAATATTACATAGAAGTGGTAGAGTTGAGGTTATAAGAAATCAATAAAAAAAAAAATACAACGGAATTGAGGACCTCCTTTTTGAAGTCGGTTGAAAACAGCTCAAGATTATCAACAACTTCGACTTAAATGTTACATATTCTGATAGTCCCATTCTCGTTACACAGATGTCTAATTGCAGCTTAATATTGCCATGTCATATAAAAAGATTTATACACTAGTAATAACCCACACGGAATAGTTTGTATGCAAAATATGGACAACAATATACCTTACTTTAATAATACACTGTATTGTGATGTGTAATTATGAATATGAAGTGGCATTTAATATTTCAATGAGTATTGCCATTCTCTGATTATTAAAAACAATTACGTATTATTATTCATATTATCAAATAGAGGGCTCAACAATTTGCTTTGTAAATAGTTGAAGCTTGACATTATTGCACAAGTGGTAAATAAATAATTTATTAAAATAAAGCTTGCAAAAAAAAAAATATATTGGCCATTCAAACCGCAATATACTGGCAGTATAATGCAGGCTGAATGCAAACATTCGGCTCCAACTTTTTAAAAAACAAAAAACTTAGAAACTAAATTTTGAATTTGGAATGATCAAGGCCAATCAGCACACCAATTGAGTATTTTCATGTACACATTGAAGTGGTACCTTGGCCTGACCGAAAGTTGGCAACGTTGGCGCGCTCTGTTTCCGTTCCGGCGAAGTGAGCAGTTTAGCCAACGTCGGCGAGTAACTCTGAGTCGCAGGGGACGCCTGCTGGAAGGTTGGCAACACCCATTCAAGCTAATTCAAAATTTGGAATGAAGTTGGCAGTTGTCCTACGTAAGCGAGCTTTGCGATGCAAAGCAATAAAATAGGCCAGCATCTCAGTTTATGATATAAACAAAAGATTATACACAATAAATTAGGCTTAACTGGTATTTACGAATGCATAGATATAAGCAGGCCTATGAAAATATATTTATTAGAGATGCATGTTATTATTCTTGACAATATTTTTCTTTTTTTAACATATCCTCTCTTATTCATTGTTCATTATGTGATAATGTCAGAATAGTTTATTGTTTTTTTTTTTCATTAGTATTGCAATATTACTTTGCTTTCAATAAGAACATGTATCTCTAAAAACTAAATATTTTCTGTCAATAATTGTAATACTAAAGAACGTCGCTTCGCTCACGTAGGACAGTAGTCGTTCAAGCTCAATATTTCGCATTGATAGACACAATATATAATCAAATGCGACTGTGAAAAATATTAATGAAAAAAAAAATGATTCTAGAAGCCCTTGTTGAATATTTTTTAAAAAAAGAATTACCTTCGTTAGTATTCCATGAAGCAAGGAGTTCTGCGTTTGACTCGTCTCCTGGCTGGTTGTAACTGGTAATAACGAGATTTCTGGATAAGGAGGCGGCGGCGGCAACCTGGGATTGGGTGACGCGAGTCTCTCGGCTTGTTTAACTGGCATATGGACCTCTTCGTGGTTTCTCTCCTGCCTCCGCCGGGGTGCACCCTCCGGCCTGATATGGTGATCAGGCCGGGGCATCTCGACCGGCCTGTTTGGTATTAAACCTGTAGTCGCTTGCTGCATATTAGCGAATTGGACTAGAACGTCTTTGAACGAGAGGCCATTCGGCATACCACCAGCTTGCATCTGTTGCAGACGTTCTAGCATAGCTTTTTGGTTCTGAAATAGAAAAAAAATTCATGGTCACAGAAAAATCTTTTTTTTTAACCGACTTCAAAGAGGTTCTCAAACCTATTGTATTTTATGTTTGTTACTTCATAACTCCATCAATTGTAAACCGATTTGAACAATTTTTTTTTAAATTTTTATCTGAAAGGATATATTTATAGGTTGGTACTATAGAAGTTTTATAAAAATCGGTACAATAGTTTCCGAATCCTGTTACTGCAAGGATTAAAAACATGGCAATATATTGTAAAGTCTATTTAAATAAAAATAATTTGAATTAGATTATGGACTATTTTTTTACATCACAACAAAACCACGAAAAATAGCTAGTTAAATATACAATAACTAGCTGACCCCGTAAACGTTGTTTTACCACTTATTGCAAAATATAAAAATCACGATTAAAATACAGGGGTAGATCGTAAAACAATGAAAATTTTAAGTTGTATGTATTTTTCAATGCTAAATCATATTAAAATAAAAATAAAAAAAATTGACAAAAAAATAAAAAATAAATTTTTTAGGGGTGGGTCACCCTTATTATTGAGGGGTATTAAAAATAGATGTTGGCCGATTCTCAGGCCTACCCAATATGCACACAAAATTTCATGAAAATCGGTAAAGCCGTTTCGGAGGAGTTTGATAACAAACACCGCGACAAGAGAATTTTATATATTAGATATACAGCTATATTATAAACCTAAATTAATTATTTAATAAATATACCAGATACTGTTGTCGACTTGTTAGTCGCGATAATGTTTTTCTTTAAAGCAAAAAAAAAAACTGTATGACCTTCATTAGTATGTTTTCGGCCAACATAAATATCCATTAACACTTCAAGTGATACAATAGGTAAACTGTTTAATTACGACCTTATATAATAAAAATAAAGTCTGCATACACGAGCGACAATTGGCTCTCTGGCAAATTTTCAAATTTTTTTGCCATTCTTTACGTGCGTGAATTAACAGGGTACAGAGGAATAACACCTGAGTCGTCAGGAATGGCAACGCATTGGGGGTATCATGGGCGAAACAGTATACTCTGTTATGTCCATGGTACTGCTCATGTCTATAGGAGACGGTTACCACTTTCCATCAGGTGGGCCGTCAGCTTGTTTGCCATTCTAAGTTGTATAAAAAAATAAAACCTATTGTCTGCCATACGGATACTGCAGAATGTATTTATTAATTAACTAGCGGCCCGTCCCGACGTCGCACGGGTGGACATTTTTACATTTTAAAAAGTGGCCATTAAGGCTGCACACGTGACGGAAGCTTAAAACCATAAGTACCATGAACATAACAGAGTATACTGTTTCACCCATGATACCCCCCATACGTTGCCATTCCTGAGGACTCGGGTGTTATTCCTCTGTACCCAGTAGTTTGTGTACTTCTTTTTTTATGAAACCTAATATAGCAGTTAAGCTTACGTTACGCCCTACCTAATGGATAAGGGAATCATTATGAGCATGAGCAATAGTATGGATATCACAGAATACACTGTGACGCTTATAGCGTAACCTTCATGAGTTGCCATTTTTGAAGACTACTTGCAAAATATTTGTGTTGCAATTTTGAATGTTTTTCTAAAATTTTAATATGATATCACAGCAAGATCATTTCACATTCATTCTAAGAACGGCTATGAACTAAACAAATTTTAATAAATTTAAGTGAAAATTATTATAAATTTCTTATAATAAATACTAATCATCTTAAATTTTAAATTAAAGCTTATCCTTTAAAATATTTTATTTAAACTATAATAAATAAATAAATAAATTTATTAAAGTATCTCTTAAAATATAAAATATTTTTTTTTGTTTTAAAAAACTAGATATCTTTAAAAACGAATAACATTTCATTTCAAATTAATTATAAAAAATATTTAAATTTATCTTAAAGATAGGCCATAAAATAGTAATTTCAGTACCAAAAATTTAAGTTATTCTTTCTACCTATCCGTGCAAAGCCAAGGTGGATTGCGAATGGGCTCTGACTAAATAAAATAAAATAAATTTAATTATATTCCTTAACATTTTAATTAATGTTATTTTATTATTATGTAATTTTGGAAGGGTTTTTTTTTTTAATAATTGACTTTTTAATGCTACAAAAAATTTAAAAACCAATTATTATAACTTTGTTTTCAATATTTGTATGCCTGATCTAGAGTAGATTTTGTAAAATACTTTTAATTTATAAAATCTAATATTTTATATCCAAAATTATAGCAAATATAATAATAATAATTATTATTAATTAATATTAATTAACACTTACCATATCCAAACTATTGAAGAGCATATTGAGGTTATTCAAATTGTTCATACCGTCCATTTTCGGCGCAATCGGTCTCGGGGCGTTCATCATATTCGGGTTCAGGATAGACTTCATTCTCCTGCCCCTTCTCGGAGTCACATCAGGATTCCGTTGCCTGTAGTCAGCTATTATCGACTTGACATCTTTCGTGGGGCCCTGACGACCCATTGGCAAACTGAAACTGGACGGCAGCTGCCCATTCATGTCCCTAGGAAATCCCGGCATAGGTCCTGGCATCATCATCTGTTGTGGGAACACCGGCTTTGGCATCGACTGCATATGAGCTGCCTTATCATAGGGGGGTGGCAACCCTGCCATTGGGTTGAAATGACTTGTCACCGGCATCACTTGGGCTTGAGCCAACAACGGATTAATGGTGGAGCCTGGTTGCTTAATCGCCAACCCTGAGATCTCATCACTTTTATCTATCGCTAAATTCTTGGCTTGATTTAAGTAGTCGAAAGGATCAGTTCTATCCGACCCGTTAATTTCAGCCGACTTCTCGAAGGACAGCACCTGCTTTCGCCTCAGCAATCTTAATAAAATCTCTTCTTTAACTTTTTTCAAATGCAAAATATTATTCCATTCGTGTTCTTTTTTTTGTGCCAGTTCCCTTAATGTTTGGATTTCAGATAAAAGCTGTTCCGTATGGCGTTGGATTTCGTCTATATTGTTCTTCGTGGCTGTTTGTATGTAATCATTAATCATTGTATCATGCTGCGGGAAAGTCTTCTCAACTTCTTGGCAAAGTCTCTTTAATGGGGATTCAGTCTCTATCTCTTGGCTTGAACGTCTTTTCGTCGCTTGCTCCTCCTGAAAGAATTAAATCCGATTAGCAAACCCATATTTATGGAGGAAGCCTATATTTAGCAATAGATAATTAATGACCGATATGATGAGTAACACACAACTATACTTTTTATTAATGAGTTAGGTAATTTTACGGCTATGAGGAAATTATTATATAATAATTTTTTTTTTTATAATTTCCAATAAATTTTACCATCAAATCAGCTGTTAATTGTCCACTGCTGAACATAGGCCTTCCCAATAAAGGAGAATTTTTCCCGTAGTTGTCACGCTTGGCAGGCGGATTGACAACCGCAGTTAGGTTTTAGGTGATGTTTTAATAGGATATTCCTCTACCATTAATTCACTGTTATTATTATTATTACCACTAGTGCACTCTTACGACGCCCACGGGAAAGGAAGGGGGTGACCTATTCTACGCTGGTGTCACACGGCAATTAATATTTTAAATTACTTATTATTACAGATTAAATGAGAAACAACACAAATAATCACGACCATTCTTGTGAAACGAAATGTCAGACAATTGTTTAGTACCCTACATAATAACAGCTTTTTCAGTAAAAAGTTTAAAAGTGAGGGTAGTTCTAGAAAATACTGACACATAGAATTATTGACATACAACACTTATGTAAACAATTTTTTTTTATAAAAATTTCTTGCCTATATCACAGGGCCTACCATGAAATGTTTTCCGAAATTTCGGAGCCAAACGAAACAGAAATTTGATGTTAAAATTACATAATACATGCCGTTTGGAAATATTAAAAATGTTAAAATATTGTTCCCTTGCACTTTTATGATAGGACGTATGACGAACAAAATGTTAAACTCCATTTATTGGTCCGAATTTGGTATAAACAAAAACACGAAATTGAGTCCGAAATTTCGGAATTTCACTTCATGACAGAGATGCAGAGCCTAAAATGTTAAATGTTATGTGAAAAATAATCTAAAATAAATCCATAAATACACAGAATGATCTAACTGATAGACATTGTTAGATTTAATGATCACCATTTTCTTTCATTATGTAAAAGTGATTTGCATACACTGATAACCTATTAGTTTATATGCATAATTTACTAATTATGTTTTGGAATCATTATTTTATTTGTTGTTAATGTTGGGTGCAACTATAATTGGATTGCAAATATATATATATTATAATGCTTTTGTCATATTTTACTAATGTAAAAGTTTTGTATGTAGATAGATAATTTATTTACATTACTTACAGCACACAAATTACAATAAAAAAACATATATATATATATATATATATATATATATATATATATATATATATATATATATATATATATATATATATATATATATATATATATATATATATAGCATATATATAGCATATATATACTTCTAGATGGCGCGTCAAAATAAAACATACACCAGATTTTAAGTAAGACTTTCAGAAACACAAATGTGAAAGCCGCATCCAATTTGATGCAGTAGTTTTTGCATGGTGCTGGATAAAGATATGGATAGATAGACAAAAATCTAAAAATTATTGTTTTAATTTTTATTAATCTCTTTAATTAATAATTGTCTTTAACTAAAAAAAATACTGGTTTTGTCGGGATTGAAGCGAATCATTTGTGGCACAATCTTTAATTAAAGAATTTATTTATTTATTTATACTCTAATTAAATTATATTAGTGTTCTTACTTATATTATAAATGTGAAAGTGAATTTGTTTGTTATCTCCTGATGCTTATTAACTAAATATTGTCAAATTTGGTATACAGGTACTGTATGGTATGGAGAAGGACAAAGGCTACTCTTTATCCCAATCAGTAAACACACAAGTCAAGTGTAAAAACTTGTAAATGAATAAATATTACCTTAGCTAAGTCACCATTGACGGGTGGTAATGGCTTAGATTCCACCTTCTCAACCTTTTCTTCAGTCACCTTGGCTTGGCTTGGTTTAGGGATCTCCTTTGGAGCCTCTAACATCTCAACATCAGTCACTACAAGCTCTTTTTCCGGGGCTTTAACCTCTTCCTTTGGTTCAGAGGGTGCCTCTGTTTCGGGACTTGGTACCTTTATTTGCATCTCAGGGGTAACTGCCTAAAAACAGAAAATACGAAAAAATATCAATTAGCTTATTCAGGTGTAAACTTCATTTAAGATCTTGCTAAAAAAAAACTTGTAAAGAATGAGAGAGTCTACTATGAAATGAAAATCCTAACTTTTGGACCCAATTACATGCTTTCGTTCATACTGAAAATGACCGTACAAATAAAACTTAATGTTTTGTTTGTCATAAATTGTACTTTAAAATGCAAAAGGCTGATATTTTAACAGTGTTTATTATGTGACTTTAACATGACACTCATGTTGTTTTCGACCCCAAAATCTCGAAAGAATCTTACTAATAGGCCCTCAGAACTCTTGTTAACCAAGAGATTATTTCAAAATCTATTGAACAAGGTTTACCAATTATTATATTTCATATATATTATGCTAGATTTTGTGATATTTTATATTGAAAAAAAAAAAAACAAAAACTAGCATAATGATTTGCACATAAAGATTGAGAGTTGAATCCTTGAACCAACTTCTTTTTTATATAATTTGTAATGTAATGTAATAAATTATATAAAAAAGATAACCAGGCATTGCATTGGATTAATATTAAAAAATAAAAATTGCCAATAAGAAATATAAAAGTTAAATTTTAGTGTAAGTTTCCACTGATAGTCAATAAAATTTTTTCAAGTAATTGCATGTCATAAACTTAAAGATATAAGGACAACATAGTCAAGCAATTCTTGACTGAACTTCTACATTTTCAATTTTTTGCTTCTCATACTAAAGCATGAAGCAACTGTTAAAAGTCAAGTATGGTAGAGTTTATGTATAAGTGGGCCTAGAAACTATTGACATCATAGGGAGCCACTAGTTTCTATGCCAGGGTCAGTATAGCATTTTTTTATTGTCAATAATGCAAACAAGCAGACAGCCAAATTGATGGAAAGTGGCTACTGTCACATATTTGCCATATATCGCATATTTGTCATATTTGCTACATTATAGTCACTTGTGCATTGCTGGTCTTTTAATTGTTTATAGGTATTTCTTTTTTTAATTCCCCATGCCATATTGTAAAAGAAAAACTGGAGAAGGAGGCAAATTGTTATTGCATGTTGTATAGATAACCCAAGAATTAAACAATACCATCCATACTTTTGGGACTATGGTTTCTTTCACATCTGGTACAATTGGTTCAGGAACTTCAACTTGTACTGGAGGCATCTCAGCTTCCTCTGGGACCACTTCAGGCTCATTGTGAGTGGGTCCTGTTTGTTGTATGTTCTCTTCAACAATACTGGTCTGAGGATTGCTATCTTCTTTCAACACATCTTCTGGAAGAAATACAGATAAGATAACAAAATTGTTTCTAGCTGGAATGAACCAATTATTTTTATAATCAATATATACTAAAAATGTTTATATAGTTACAACATAAAAATAGTTATAAAGCAGCATGGTCTTATTGTTTGAATCATTTTAATATTATAGGATGAAAGTAGGTTGATGTTTATCACTCAATTATGTTTAAAAGGCTGGACAGAAATGATCCACATTTAGTATACACACAGAACAATTACTGGACTAACATATAAAAAACTTTTTTACTGAAATTCATAAAAGCAAAGCCATAAGTAATAGTTAAAATACAGTTAATAAAGGATTCCAATGTTATCTAGTTGATTTCTAAAGTAGGAATTATCCAAATTCTTTGAAAAATACCTTCTAGAGACTACTTTGAAAACTCATGTTTATGACATAACATGTATGACAATGTTTAGGATATATATGTATTAAAGGGCTGAGAAACTATTTACATATAAAATATCTCGCATTATGCAGGGACAATTAAGTACATAAAATAATAGTATATACTTACTAATATTAGAAAATGAACAATACCTTTGACTACCTCTGAATTTGAGGCAGTACAATTTTCTTCATTTATCTCACTTGACTTCTCTTCTTTGGCATTATCATCACAGATATCAACGTTTCCCGCCTTTTCACTCTTTTCTTCTGTTATTGGATCCACGAGTGGGTCTTTTGTGCCCACTGTGGCGTCATCTATTGCCAACGGATCCACTTCATTCTCACTATTCTGCTCCGTTTTTGGAGACACTTCAACAACGGCCTGGTCCTTCAGAGATTCCCCTACTGTCACTCTTATATCGTTCATGTTTATTTACATATTTACGATTCACGAGTCACTGTGTCAGCACGCCGCGCGCAGCTTGAACGGTTCCCAAACTACCATTATAACCACAGCAAACCGATAAGCACGACATTGAACCGGATACTGTTTATAACTACTCGTATGAACCTTATCTAGACACAATCAACGACAATTAACTAAAACGTTTAGAATTTCTATCCCAAATTGGGTAATATCACAATGCGCAAGCAACTGCAGCCGTGAACTCAGGGGTCATTGTGACTAATTGAATCACAATAAATATTTTCAGGAATGTCCCAAACTAATGTAACGTATCACACTATATTATTAATTATAGTAATAATGTGAAATCATTACTATGGTATTGGTTAAATTAATAAAATAATTAAATATAAATTTCACAGGGACGCAAATCGGAAGCAAACTGTTAGGATTGCCATAAAATAAAATTAATGCCCAAATTAAAAGTGCCAAAATATTAAAATATTAATAAGGTAAAATTTCATTGAGCTAATATTTGGGTGAGTTCTTACATCAAATAAGTTTTTTATTCCTTTAAATATTTTTATAAAAAAATAGCTCATGTCAAAAGAATATTCACAAAATTAAATTACTGCCGACCTAAAGTAAATAATTGTTTTATAAACTAGCAATTTTTGTGATAACTTTCGTATTAAGCAGAAAGTGATTTATATATGCATAACTCGTAAAGAAATTTATATTAATATTTATTATATTCCATCCTACGTAAAATAAAATTTTCAGTATATTATTTACAGTAGTTTGATTTTAATATAAAAATACTTGGTTATGCATATTCTTCAGGTACAAAAGCAATTTTAATTGCATTTGACAATAGATTGCTACGGTATAATGGAAAAACATTAAGAAAATTCAGATACTCTTTCTTCCGGCGGAAATTGTCACATGGACCATTATTCAAAATTTTTGTTTATAAAGTATTTTTTTTAATAAATATTGCAACGAATCAATATTTACAAAATGCAATAATTTAGTATTTACAATATTTGGATCTTCTAATATTTTTTTTCTATAATATGTATACTTTTAGAGCCAAATACTAAACATTATTCAAATTGCGCGCGATCAAAACTTGGTACGGATATTAAATAAATTTATAGTGCAAATCTAATAGATTTAAAAGTATCGATAATTTATATAAACTGATACTATACTTTTTGTGATAAGCGTTAAAGTACATAAAAAGTTAATTAAAGTCATTTTGCAGTCTTTTGCTATTTTAACTAGATTTCAAGGAACTCTTTAGGAATATTCCATTAATGTTATATTTAAAACGTAAATAGTTTTAATAATTCACGTTCATAAAATAATACAAAATTATTGAAAAACTTTTCTTTTATATATTGTTTTATTTAGTTCATTCGGTTTTCCAACAAACACTTTATCGATATTAGTGTATGATTTCCTGTTTGGTTTACTTTTCGTACTGCTAGGAGTTAAGGAACTAAGGACAACTCTAACAGTACCAAGGAAATATTCATCATCATCTTCATATTAATCGTTAACTATCCTCTGGTTCCTTCCAAAAGGGGAATTTTGCCAGTAGTTGCTCCTTTTGACAGGCAAGTTGGCAACCGCTATTAGCAAATGGCAGATGTTTCAAGAGGGATGCTACTGTCCATCCCTCGCTCTTCCTTAGTCGCCTTTTACGACACCCACAGAAAAAGATGTGGCCTAATCTATATCGGTACGGACATGACGTTCAGGAAACATTGTCTTACTAATTCCAGTTTGAACATCTGGCTGCATTTATATTATTTAAATTTTTAAGTATTCTTTTTTTTTTTTTTTTTTTACAACACAGGGGGCAAACGAGCATGCGGCTCACCTGATGGTAAGTGACTACCGCCGCCCATGATCACCCACAACACCAGCGGCATTGCAGGTATGCTGCCGGCCTTTTAAAAAGGAATATACTCTTTTCTTGAAGGTTATGTTGTCGTATCGGTTCGGAAATACTGCTGCTGGAAGTTGATTCCAAAGAATGGTTGTGCGTGGAAGAAAGTGCCTTGAAAAACGCACGGTGGAAGACCGCCACTCGTCCAGATGATTGGGATGAAACTTTAGTTTGTGGCGGGTTGTACGGTGGTGAAAATCAGCAGCAGGTATCAATCCGAACAATTCCTCAGAACACTCCCCATGATAAATTCGGTAGAAGATGCACAGAGACGCAACATCTCTGCGCAGTTTCAATGGGTCAAGTCGGACAGTAAGGCGTTGACTATCGATAATTCGAGCCGCCCGACTTTGAATGCGGTCTAACGGAAGGAGTTGGTACTGTGGCGCTCCTGCCCACAGGTGAGAACAGTATTCCATATGCGGCCTGACTTGGGCTTTATATAATTTCAGGCGGTGTTCTGGCATGAAATATCGTCTCACCCTATTGAGCACTCCTAACTTTTTGGAAGCTATCTTAGCCTTCTCCTCCAGATGACCGCAAAACTGGACGTCGCAAGATATATCAACGCCCAGAATTCCTAGACTTGACTTTTTATCAAGGGAAGTGCCCTGAAAGTGAGGAGATACGACAAACGGCGTCTTTTTTGCGGTAAACGCGCAGACTTGTGTCTTTTTGGGGTTAAATTGGACAAGATTTTGTTCACCCCAGATCGAAACTTGATGGAGTGAAGTTTCGATTTCAGACACAAGTCTATTCCGGCACTCATCGGTATGTGCCCGCGAGATCTTTGCATGACCGGTATATAATGTATCTCCTGTACTGTCGTCCGCATAGCAATGAATATTACTTATCTGTAACATATCATTGATATGCAGAAGAAACAGAGTCGGAGATAGTACACAGCCTTGCGGGACACCAGCATTCAAAGGTTTTAAATCAGAGCATGCACCGTCGACTACGACCTTAATGCTACGTTCCTTGAGAAAACTGGCGACCCAAATGCACAGTCTCGCAGGCAACCCAAATGAAGGTAGCTTTGAAAGCAGCGCTCTATGCCACACCCGATCAAAGGCCTTCGCAATATCCAGACTAACTGCTAAGGCCTCTCCCTTACTCTCGATTGCCACTGCCCATCGGTGTGTTAAGTAAGCTAAAAGATCACCGGCCGAACGTCCCTGTCGAAAGCCATACTGGCGATCACAGATCAGCCGGTGCTCTTCTAGGTACCGGAGCAGTTGACGGTTAATGATGGATTCCATAACCTTCGAGAATAAGGAAGTGATAGCTATGGGCCTATAGTTAGCTGGATCTGAGCGATCTCCCTTTTTAGGGATCAGATGCACCAGAGCAGTCTTCCAAAACTTTGGGACTATGCCCGATGAGTAGCTAAGCCGAAAAAGACGCGTAAGAACCGGAGCCGACTCTGGTGCGCACGTCCTAAGCACAATTGGAGGAATACCATCAGGCCCACTCGACTTATGGATTTCGAGAGAGAAAAGTGCTCTACGCACTGAGCTATGCGTGAATTTAATGTCAGGCATAGAGCTCCTACAACACGTGATGGTCGGTGGTGGTTTCTCCCCGTCATCCAATGTCGAGTTTGACGCAAAGATGGATCCAAGAAGATCGGCCTTTTCTTTAGCGTTCTGGGCCAACGAGTCATCCTCCCTGCGCAAAGGTGGAAAAGATGACTTACAGAAATTCCCTTGTGCAGCTTTGGCAAGAGACCAGAAAGCTCGAGTCCCAGAGGGCAAACTAGCCAGTCTCTTGCCAATTCTACTAATATGCTCTGACTTCGCTGTGGCTATAACTCTTTTGAAAGACCTAGAGGCAGAGTTATACTTCTTTTTAAGAGCACTGGTGTTAGGATCTCGCGACGCATATTCAAATGCAGATATTATTTTATTATATGATTATTCATCTTTTCGCTTTTTATGATCGATAATAGTATATTTACAATTTACGAGCATAAAATGTGGATATTGTATTTTTATTTTCTATTTATTTTTCGTATTTTTTAATGATATATGCTACGACAGGTCTGTTGTTGTTGTATAAGCTTTATTATACACTCAGTGAGGCTAATTCTAAAGCGTCATTTGTCTAAAACTCTCTTTTAATAGTTAGTTTGATAATTTCGCAAAATTACTGTTTTATGGACCATCATAAAAGAGAGATAAAAGATTATAATAATTTTGACTTAAAATCTATTAGAAAATTAGTTCACATTAATCTTAACAATAAAGATTTTTCTGTGATAACAAATCAAAATTTTAACTGTTTTGTTATACATTGATGTCATATAAATAAATGTAAGTTATCGATATAATATTTTATAGTAACAAGGCAACACTAGTAGAATGATGAAAAAGCAAATGGCTGACCACTAAGACTACGTTCTAGAAATCCTTACAAAGAGAATCCTATGTAATTACATGAAACATGCGATCTTTATGAGAATGATTAGCAAAATAAGATTCTAAAAGATACAAAGAACTAAAATATTCATATATTAATGGCAGACATACTGCCTAAAATCTGAAAATTGTTGAATGAACCTAAACCTAAGCTACAATTCATTATTTTGCAAAGCCATTACATATATAGTGTGTGTTGGAGGCACGTCCGTCGTTATTTGTGGTAAGTCCTTTCTCTATTTTAATATTTACGTAGTTAACTGTGTAACATTTTTAATTATAGTTATTATTGGTTATTTTGTTCTGTCAACTAGAAAAGTGTAAAAATTGTCTCGTGTGATTTATTTTTAGATTTTGTTGTCTAATTTTACTACTTTGGAAACTATTTGTTTTTAGACAAGACACATCAATGTAAAATTTAATGAAATTATAGTATGTACATAAGTACTTGTTCCTACTCGTTGTATAGGTACAGTCAGCAAAAAAATTTTAAATGTCGTTACATGATAAATATAATAAATTAAGTGTATAATTATTTATTTGTTCTAGTTGATGTAATGTGAAGTTTTCGACTTAGGGCGGTGGACCCCGCCCTCCTGTCGACCATGGAAAGAGGCTACGATAAGCGACATAGTAAGCACCATAAAGAGAAGCATAAGAAACGTGCTCACAAGAAATATAGGAGTCACAGTGGTAGCCATGAACAGTCTTATGCAACTGTTAACTCTGTTAAACCTTTAGTGGAATATTCCGATGTTAGCTCAGAAGCACTGTCTGCCCCAGAGGCAGGGGAGATTGAGAGTGAAGCCAGCTCAATCGGCCGGCACATTGCCGATGATCTGGATAGGACAAGGAAGTCTCATTCAATACGGACTTTTGTAGATAATAAAACGATATCAGTCACAACTACGAGTCGCAGGGTGGCTGAAGAGTATGCTCTAGCACGTGACTCGTCAGTGTCAAGGAAACGACGCGCAATAGATTATGTGGAAGCAGACCCCGAATTTGATGAGCATAGGTACAAAAAGAAGAAAGAGAAACGGAAGAAGGAGAAAAAGAAGAGAAAAAAGAAGTCAAAGCATCATTCAAGGTCGGCTAGTCTGGAGAGCTTGTCACCTGATGACAATGTGCCAATAGAGACTCCAGTGAGGCCGACGACTCCTCAAAGGTACCAAGTGGTACCTCCGCTGTGTGAGTGGGAAAAGGGATCATCACCATTACCGAATGGATCGTGCTCGCCAGTTTCACCGTCGACGCCACCGCCACGGGAGCGTCTCGAGATGTCTCCGCGACACCGTTTGCCTGTACATCAAGATCCACCAACCATACATCGGACTCAGATGAACTTCTCTCCACATCGGGATAGATCTCCTCATAGGTGAGTTTCATCTTTTTCTATTTATTCTAGTTAATAAATTAAGTTTTTTTTATAATACAATTATTGACAATTGACTTAGTGTCAATTGTCTATGATAAGTAGACAAAGCGCCCATTCCTAAATAGGTAACTCATCTAAAAACCTTTTTAAATATCTGAATAATATGAAAGTAATATTTTTTAATAATTTTATTCAGTAAATATTTTTTTAAAAGCATAACAAGATACTTTGGTTTGCTATTCTGGTTGCTTGGGAACATGTTAATATTTTATCAATTACTATAATAAAAAATTGTAATGGAATAGTAACCTTGCTGCTGCTAATAGTATGTGCTAGTTACGAATTTATGAAAAAATCAAGAAATAAGCACCATGGTTTTAAGGCGAGAATGTGAGTTCCTCCTGACCAGATATAATTCTATCAATAGCACTACTAGTCCTCCTTTATCAACCCTTTATACCTACCTCTGAATGGTTGATATGTATAGTTCATTTTTCTGAGGGGAAAGGGATTGCTAATAATGGGGACTAATGGCCCTATTGCTAGTAAGCTCTGTCAGATCTGCCTCCACACGGTTTTTCTTGGAAACCCCTGGTGCCCCGCCAGTGTATACCGATAGTGCAGGTGGGGTTACCATTCCATTATCATCCATTCCATTAAAAAAAAAAAACATTTTACTGTGTTTTTTTGTGTTTCTGTTTCTCCGAAGAGGTTATGTAAATATTGCAAGAGAGAGTTTTGCTATTTATTATTTGTTCATATTTTAATCCTTTATTTTGTCAACCCTGAAATTGAATAATACTATGAATAATGTTAAAATAGTACAAACTTACTATTATATATCAAATAAGGAACAACACAAATTAATCATGGTTTTTTTTTTTATTGTGCCTGGCGTATAACAACTGATGATAGGTTGTGTGTTAGTACCCTACATAATAAAAGCTTTTTCCATAAAACGTTATAACAGTGAGGGTGGTTCTAAAAAAACACTGACACATTGAATTATTGATATACAACACTTACAAAACGGAGGTTCCACATATAAATATAACATAGAAGTATGTCTAAAAAATTTGCAACTTTGTATCATACATACATACATATCTGTCACGCCTGTCTCCCATTAGGGTAGGCAGAAACAATGGAACGCCAAATGCTTTTCAAACAAACCTCTTTCGCTTCTTCACTTGCCAACACTTATTGCCTTGCAACTTTGTATGGTGTTATTATTGTATTGTGTAGAATTCACTGGGTGTTAGGGGAATATTAGTGGATATCCGCCCTTTATTTTATTTATATATTAGAACTGCTACCATGAGTTTGTACAGGCTATTTATTACAGTAGATTACTATCAAGTTTGTACAGCATAGGATAGTTATGCAACTATGAGTTTTGATTTATTTATTTATTTAACACTTAATTGCACCAATATGACAGGACTTTCTGAAGGATTTTCAATAAGTATAGAGTAGTACAAAAGGCAGTCTTATTGCTAAGCATCTCTCTCAGAGATTTTTTAAGTTTTTTATCATGGAATTAAAGATAAAGAATAACCCTTCTTTGTATGATTTTTTTTTATCGGTGAAATAAATAAAGGTGATTAAAAGCATGTTCAAAATTAAAAGAAAAATGGTTAAAAAATAAATTTGACAGCTATGTTTTTTTTTCTACAATGGACATTAAAAAGGTATCCAGACAGGATAAATTTAAAGTGAATTTGATCTTTTATATAATTTTTGGGCATTCAATGTTATGATGGAAATTTCCACTATTATGCAAAGAAGGGATAAATGAGTAAGGTGGCATGACAATTATATATATGGGGTATATTGTATTAAATTGTCTTTACAAATTCATGGTTTTTTATCTTTATAATAAACTTTTTCGCTTGTCCCAGTAGAAAGTTTTCCCTTTTATCCTAAGCAGACTAATTATGCTTATGGCTTATTATTTAATAAGCCAATTCAATCATAAGGCTGAACAGTCAAAGGACAAATTGCCGAGGCAAGTGACAGTTCCCACTGAATGTGCTTAACGATGCATTCAAGACTTTGTGGATAACAATACTCTGTTATTATAGGAAATTCTTTAATGATTTTTTTTTTCATTTTTATTGATATAAACAGTCATTAAAAATTATAGTTACATTTATTTTATGGTATACAAAAATAGACGAGTGTCTTAGCGTATATATAATAGTAGAAGTTTATGTTTAGTTGATATAATGGACCATACACTTAGATACAGAGATGAAAATATAAAGAAAACCTACAATAACATACACTAAAAAATAATATTCTCTTCCTTACTTTATCATTTATTATAATATAATCATATATAATTATGATTATTAATATTTTTTTTTATACAACTTAGAATGGCAAACCAGCTTACTGCACACCTGATGGAAAGTGGTAACCGTCGCCTATAGACATGAGCAGCACCATGGACATAACAGAGTATACTGTTTCGCCCATGATACCCCCATGCGTTGCTTGTCCTGAGGACTCAGATGTTATTCCTCTGTATCCAGTAAATTCACGCCATATCCCACCCTACAAACCGAAACACAGCCATGCAAACACAACTGCTTCACGGTAGATAAATTTAATGTTACAACAAATTAATTTGATTTGTTTATTTGCGACTGCGTTGTTTTAGGGCAGTGTACATTGCTAGCAATGAGGCCTAGTATACGTAGTAACAAGTGATTGAATATAAACAACATTCATCATCGGCATCAAACAATTAGTTTTCGTCATTAATGTCCATCCAAGACGCCTATCTATACTGGCATTATAAATGTCGAAATGAGTTTGTTTTTGTCTTTGTAGCGCCTTAACGGCTTAACCAATCACTATGAAATTTGGTATACATATACTATATGGAATGGACAAGGATACAGCTTGCCTTTTATCCCGTTCAGTAAACATATCCCGGACACGCAGTCGGGATTAAAAGCTATTAAGCTAAATACTATAAAGCAGACCTGGGCAAATGGCGGTAGAATTTTGTCTGGCCCCTGAAGCATTGTATAAACTATTAATTTGACGTTCTGTCAATTTAATAGTTTATGTATATCACCACAGTGTTGCCAGCATTTGTTTTTCATGTTTTCTGTGACTCAATTTATTAAGCATAGATGATAGTGGTAATATTTTTAATAACACCTTTGTATGATAATTGTTCAGTTTGATAATCATCGGATTAACATAAAATCTGATGTTTACAGAAAATTTTTAAGCATTAATATGCTTAAAAATTTTCTTTTCAATTTTTTTATTAAATGACTTGATAAATAAATATTTTGATTCAAAAATGTTGGTTTTAAAATTCATTAATAGGCATCCTTAGCAAAAAATAAACTTAAAATTAGAAAAAAACTATTTGGCCCTGGGTCAAATTTTCATCTGCAATGTGGCCCGACTATCAAAATATTTGCCCACCTCTGCTATAAAGAAATAGCTCTTGTTGGTATTCAGTTATTAGTAACTGATAATATTGTTAGATTATTCATTAAAATTAAAACTTCCTACATACCAATTTTAAATATTAGTTTATTTTTTTGCAAATTAATAATATAGCTTAAAAAATAAAATAATCAGAACTCTAATAAGTAACATAACTTTATTGGGCAATTGTTGTTTTTACGAATAAGGCAAACCAAGGGTTTAATCTGTTTTTTTTATCTTCTTCTAACTAAATAGTAAACTCATCTCACATATCTTATATACTCATAGATCTGCTAACTTTATTATGTATCTTCTCATAACTTCCAATACTGAGCTGGTCAGTCAATTTAATACATTGTTTTATTTATTTATTTATTTTGTGCTTTCTTCCTCTTAAACTGACCTAGTCTATTATGTTTTGTTTCTCTAGTCAAATCCGTTGTCATGCTGGAGATATATAAATATTATTTTAACTTATTTGGTGATAGATCTATTGTAATATATAGGTCATGCAAGTCACTTAAAAAAATATTCCTATTCCACTATCTTATCTAGTGCAGTTTGTTTGTTAATGTTACAATGAAACTTTTATAATGTGCGTCTTGTTATAGTTGACAGTTTATAAGATTTATAAATGATTGTACACTGCCAGTAGTGCAATAATAATAATTTCTTAAATAATTAAAGTTCCCATCAAAAAAAAAAAAAAAAAAACCACACAGATACACTATATATAGTGTATAGGTACCTTATCTTAAAATATTATCATATAATTTATTTTTGTTCTAATATGTATAGACTACCATATACTATTTGCTCACAATTATATTTCTGATGTCACTCTAATAAATTGTTATTGATTTATTACTTACTATCTTTTACTCGTTATTTCGTTTTGTGACCGAGATATGTTTACAGATCGGTATAAATACTCACCAAAAATATGTATATAAATAAATAAATAAAAAGTAATCTTTATCCCATATAGTATCCCATATACAAAATTTTATAGCAATTAAAGTAAAAAAAAAGTCCCATTTTCGCATTTATAATATTAGTAAGGATAGAATAATTATAAATTTTATTCAAGTAAACTTAATAATAAGGACTTTTAAATAGTCATTTTATTTGTGAATATACCACCCAGTTCGGAACGCAATCTCAGTTGAGAAGAACGGGCAAGAAACACAGCTGTTTTTTTTTTTTCAAATAAAAATTAAGTTTATCAAAAAAAAAATATGAATTATAAAAATGACTATCACAAACTTTGTTTTTATAAAAAAAAAGTAAATAAAAAGCTACAAAGCTATAATAAATCACAATATTCTTGAATAGACTAGTCGCTACTAGAAGCACTTGTTCACGAGTATATAAGTAGATATATTATTATTTTATCCACTATAACACCTAAACTTATGTGAAATACTAGTACTATATGTGTTTTTTTTTTGCTGGGTGAAAATGGTATGATAACCCCGCCTGCGCTAACGGGATACGCTGGCGGAGCACCAGTGAAGGGTGATAGATGAGAATGAAAACAGGCCAGTTAGCCCATCATGATGAGTTCATCAGGAATTAAACCATGATAGTTTCCAGAGGGAACCGCGAGGAGGTCGACCTGGTTGGGTATATTGCTACTCGTAGCAATAGGATTCTCAGTCTTCATTACTAGCAATCCATTTTCCCCCGTACTATATGTGTTGTAATGTTTGTAAAGATGTTTTTTTGAATGTTTGTTACTCAATAATGCATGAATGGTTGAATGGATTTGAATAATTGTATTTGAGTATACATAGAGGTATCATTCAAGATTCACAAGAATAAAGTTAATATTTATTTTATTGGCAACTAAATTTTTTTTTATGCAACTTAGAATGGCAAACAAGCTGACGGCCCACCTGATGGAATGTGATAACCGTCGCCTATAGACATGAGCAGTAACATGGACATAACAGAGTATACTGTTTCGCCCATGATACCCCTATGCGTTGCCATTCCTGAGGACTCGGGTGTTATTCCTCTGTACCCAGTAAATTCACGCCATATCCCACCCTTCAAACCGAAACGCAGCCATGCAAACACAACTGCTTCACGGTTGAAACATGAATGGGACAGAGGTACCCAAGCAATCGACTTTTGTACAAAGTCTCCCTCTGGTATAAATTCCTTTATTTAGGTTAATATAATATAATTAATTAAATAAAACTTTAATGTTTTTCATGCTCAACTTAAAGTGGATTGGGGTAAATCGATTTTAAATATAAATATTACTTTAATAGATTCTTTGCTCATAAGGAACCCTTTTTAGAGTTCATTTAAGAGGTATTTTTAATTGGTAATAATGGAATGGTATCCCCGCCCGCGCTATCGGTATACACCGGTGGGCACCAGTGAAGGATGATAGGTGAGGATGAAGCAGGTCAGTTAGCCCATCGTGACGAATTCAACAAGAATTGTTCACGATGATTTCTGTGGAGGTCGACCTAATAGGGCATATTGCTAGCAATGGGGCTGTCAAACTCCATTGCTAACAATCCCTTTCCCCCCAACTTAAGAGGTGGAAACGTAGAATGGCAAACAAGCTGATAGCCCTCTTGATTGATAGCGGGAATTTCCACCTGTACATATGGATATCACTTGGCATTACAGATCCTCCATGGTATGGTTCATGCATTTGCAACTCCTGAGAATTAAATATGATCGCCTATCTAATGTTTGTCCATAGACTTAGCCTTGCTCTTGCTTAGAGAGGAAATTAAATTAGTAAAATTAAACATTCATAATTAAATTATAATATTTAATTTACTTTTAAAGCAGGAGACGACAGAAGTCGACTACGCCGCATACACCATCCGTCCCCCCGTACCACGACACGGTCACGATTGACTCCGACAATGACCAGGACTACGAGCGCGGTAGGAGGGAGTACTGGCACGAGCAAAGGATTCAGTCGCCAATTATGGTGCCAGGTATAATTAATATATAGTGTTTTTTTTTTTTTTTTTATATGACGGTGATAATTAAGCATGTTTGATGGTAAATGGGAGCCTATGAATGCTTGTACCAACACAGGTTTCAACATCTTGAGTGAGCGCTCAAAATATTGTTACTGCCCTTTTAACTGGATCCCAACATATGATTAAAGTATTATTTTACATGAGTTATTTTTTTTTAAACAACTGTGGCAAGTAAACAATGATTCTTATGACGGGTATGTCGTTACTGAACCCCATGGAATTAGGGCATTTATATAATTAATCTTTTTTATGATGACATTTTATACCATGACAATTCATTTGTATCACTTATAGTGTCCTCAGACACTCTTTAGAGATAGACTCACAATTAATTTCTTGAAAAAATAACTATTTTTAGTTTTATAACAATGGCCACTTTTATTACATTGTAATTATTTTTGATAAAATATATATGACATAATGCATATGTTTTAGACATGCAGGTTTGCTAAATATACATATGTGAATTGATTAGATTCACCAATCCACGACACACGGTCACGGGACTATAGTCCGCGGCGGGCGCATCGCCGCCGCAGCCGCAGCCGGCGGCATCGCAGTAGGGAGAAGGAACGGTACAGGGAAGTCCGGGGATCGCACAGGTATGTATCCTGGCTCGAAGGATCAAATTTGTCTCATAAACATATTTTTTTTTATGGGTGAAAATGGTATGGTAACCCCGCCTGCGCTAACGGGATACGCTGGCGGAGCACCAGTGAAGGGTGATAGATGAGAATGAAAACAGGCCAGTTAGCCTATCATGATGAATTCATCAGGAATTATCCATGATAGTTTCCAGGGAGAACCGCGAGGAGGTTGGCCTGGTTGGGTATATTGCTAGCAATGGGATTCTCAGTCTCCATTACTAACAATCCCTTTTCCCCCTATATCCTCATAAACATATTGACTAGTTTAAATGTAAAAATAAACAGTTAAAGTAACATGTATTCTTGTTCGAAATGCTTGATTGGTTTTACGACCATCCGGGACACTTAAATAACGTGTGCTTAGTGTGATGATACAGTCTTTGTTTTATGAATGATAATGAAATATTAAGCCCCGCCTGCGCTAACGGTATACGCTGGCGGGGCACCAGTAAGCGATGATAGGTGAGAATGAAAAGGCAGGTCAGTTAACCTATCGTGATATATATACCTGGAATTCAGCACGATGGTTTCCAAGGGTACCACGTGGGAGCCCCTCCCCCGAAACACACAGTCAGGTTCTCGCTCGAGTCATGACCACTCATGATTAAGTGTCCGGGATGGTTTCGAAAGTAATGATGTATCGTGTGTGCGTAGGTCGCACAGCCGCAGCTCGCTGAAGCGGCGGCGGTCGGTCTCGCGACCGCGGCGGCGTGGCTCCACGGCGTCCCCGCCGCGGCACCGGCCGCGCCACCGCGACGGCCGCGATGACCGCGACGGCCGCGACCGGCACAGGTACTTTAGACAATCGATACAAAAAAAAATTAATGTAAACATACGAGTAATAACAATGTATATTAAATCTTTTAATGTGTATGTACAATGTAAACTAAGGACAATAAAAATTTTACAACATTTTACCATTTTCCATCAGGTGGGCCGTCAGCTTGTTTTCTAATTTAAGTTGTATAAAAAAAACAACAACAATTACCTGTAATTCTAATTGTTGATATTTACGAATAAATCATTAAACTTTCAGGAATACAACTGTTAAAGTAGTATCCAGTAGTAGGTTTTGTGTTATGTCTAAACAGAAATACAGAAATAGAGATTTTTTTAAAATGATTGTTTTGGCTTCTATTGCCTTTATTTATTTATTTAAATATTCCCATGTACAGACATTGTCTAGTTACTATTCTAATAGTAAGATATAAAATAGTGGGATGTTATATTTTAAAACAGACTACCATTTTCAGTTACATGGGCATTGTAAACGCGCTAACGGCCCACCTGTGGGGTTACTCTTGAAGTAAATCCCAATAAATCGATATGGAAATTGAGACGTTTCGAGCTCTCGAATTGTAGTACTAGCGGCATACATAATGGTTCCATACTGTTCTGAAAGATGCATTCCTGCACATACATGCAACACCAGTATGTATGCATGTATGTATATCGTGTGTGTTTCAGAACGTTATTTATTTAAACTTTATTGACAAATGGCTCTATATCTGTGTGTAAAGGTGTCCCTGACGGACTGACAGACTGACTTTCAGACAATCCCTATGAGGCTGGCATAGTCACTTAGGTGTACTAAAGTCTCAACAAAAATTTGATTAAAAAAATACCTATTGACCAATAAAATATAGTACAAAAGGCAAACTTAATGCTATAGACGTTCTCTACCAGTTAACCTTTAGGATGAGCAGAGATACTTGATTGTGTTTTAAATAATATTTTATATTTTAATGAACCTTAATATATTCTTTTTGAAGAATCCCATACTGTAGTCTCTAGGTGTTGTATATACTTTTTGAATGTTTATATTTAGAAGTAATTTAGAAGCAAATTAAGGTTTTTTTTTGATGGATGAAAATGGTATGGTAATCCCGCCTGCGCTAACGGGATACGCTGGCGGAGCACCAGTGAAGGGTGATAGATGAGAATGAAAACAGGCCAGTTAGCCCATCATGATGAATTCATCAGGAATTAACCATGATAGTTTCCAGGGGTAACCGCGAGGAGGCCGACCTGGTTGGGTATATTGCTAGCAATGGGATTCTCAGTTTCCATTACTAACAATCCCTTTTCCCCCTAGTAAATTAAGGTTGTCTGTAAGAGATTGCTTTTAGCGAGAAGGCCGCCTTTTGTATATGCACATTCTGTATAAATATTCCTTGTATACATCGCTACTGTGCGCAATAAAGAGTTTATTATTATTATTATTGCAGGACTAAGCACGAGTCGCCTAGCCCCCCAACTACGATGTTACAACGAAAGATTGACTTTAAAGAGAAAATCAGCGACACTAGTCTGTTTGCTGAACTAGTGAAAGACAAACACAAAAGAGCTAAGGTAACATTAGTTATTTGTATATTATAGTTATTTATATTAATTATATTACCAGAGGGAGACTGTACAAAATTTGATTTTTTCGATTGCTTGGGTACCTCTGTCCCATTCGTGTTTCTACCGTAAAGCAGTTGTGTTTGCACGGCTGTGTTTCGGTTTGAAGGGTGGGATATGGCGTGAATTTACAGGGTACAGAGGAATAACACCTGAGTCCTCAGGAATGGCAACGCATGGGCGGTATCATGGGCGAAACAGTATACTCTGTTATGTCCATGGTACTGTTCATGTCTATAGGCGACGGTTAACACTTTCCATCAGGTGGTCCGTCAGCTTGTTTGCCATTCTAAGTTGTATAAAAAAAAAAATATAATTTAAAATACTTGTGCCTATAACCGAAATAATAAAGTCCCATCAAGTCACAGTGAGTTTTAGTAATTATCTATATGCACTTTGTAGCATAGTGTTACGGCTTTGTGTTGTGCATCTCGCTCACACATTCCAGCGCGTTGTCTGTGATAGCTGCCACCTTTTATAGTTTTAATTGTCAGTACAACTACGATCGTCCCAACGTATACCCATCCAGGCAAAAATAAGTATCTTACTGCCCATTTGGTCCTTCGAGCCGGATGACAGCTGAATTTTCGGCAATTGAACTTAACCTAATAATTATTGATACTTACAGTATTTTTTTCTATTCTACGGTTTTGGTTAACTGTTACCCAAATCATAAGAATAAATTTAGTAATCTTCATGTTTTGGGTAATTGTTACATAAAGAAAAAATAAATAAATGTAATTTCCGTATTATTATGTCGAAACTATGCTATGCAAAGTATAATGTAATGGATAAACTAGAACCAATTGTTTGTTATTGACAGAAATAAATAGTAAATTTGTAATGGCTCTAGTATTGATGTACTGTCAAATCTTGCAAAGACAGTAGTCTCTTATTAACTTAATAGAAGAGAAAAAAATTACAAAACACATATTTTTATTTTCATACTCTTTTTACAGAAGTTGCAAGAGATCTTAAACCAGAAGGAGGAGGAGTCTCTGGGCGCCATTTCCAGTAGTACATCAATCAATAACCCTGAAGTGCTCACCATCGATGAACTGTCCAACGCCACCGGCGACAGTTCCACGCAGGTCACTATCGTAACATTATAAATAACACTGTCAAGACTGGTCAAAATTAACATAGTAACTTTTGATAGCTACTAGCTTCTTAAGTTATAACTTAAACACATGTTGTAGGACAATAATTTAACCCTTCTTTGTGTAATGGTGGAAATTTCCATCATAACATTATATGTCCAAAAATTATATATAAGTAAAAGAACAAGTTCACTTTAAGTTGATCATGTCTCGTTACCTTTTTAATGTCCATTACAGAAAAACATAGCTGTCAAATTTATTTTTTAATCATTTAATCATCTTTAATCATTTAATCAATCATTTTTCCTTTAATTTTGAACATGAATTATTTCACCTTGATTTATTATACCAATAAAAAAAAATCATGCAATTCATTGCATGATTTTTTCAGGGTCAAGATTTTGTTCTACGAAAAATACCGACTTCATTTATGATAAAATTTACTGAATTGCGTGAATTTACTGGGTATAGAGGAATAACACCTGAGTCCTCAGGTATGGCAACGCATGGGGGGTATCATGGGCGAAACTGTATACTCTGTTACGTCCATGGTACTGCCCATGTCTATAGGCGACGGTTACCACTTTCCATGAGGTGGGCCGTCAACTTGCTTGTCATTCTAAGTTGTATAAAAAAAAGTTATTTTGATTTAAAAATACACTACAGAACTGATTTTGATAAAATTCCTTTTAGAAAAATTCCAAGTCGGTTAACAAAATACAATTGACGGTGTTATTAGATAACAAACATAAAATAATGCAACCAAATTGAAAACATCATTCTCTTTTAAAGTCGGTTGAAAACTACATTGACAATGCATCAATACCATCATACCTTCATTATATTACGGTTTAACACGAGCTTTTTCGACTTGATCGGTTTGATCCCTGAATAAAACAAACATTAGTAATTATAAGTATAATGTATGACTATTATCTGTTGTACAAATTGCTTAGTATGGAACTAGATGGCGTTGTGTTCCAGCGATATTTATTTAGTTTTACAATTGACAATAAATGTTACCTTTTAACTTCATATCTATGATGCTATTTATGTCTATGAGCAACAAGTACCGTTTTCCATATGCATAAGAAAAAAGTATTAATTGTAAAAAGTTTATAAAATTTTCAGGCGTCAAAAGAGAACGGCGATAACAAGGAGGGCCAGGACGTGGTCGATATCCCGATGCCGATGCAGCACGAGTCCGATGGCACGCCGCAACAGCCTCCGCAACCGCAGCCGCAACAGTCGACGCAACCGCTACAGCCGCCGCCGGAGTTCGACCGTCTGGCGCTCGAGCCGCCGCCCGATGCCAACGGGGACGCAAGCAGTAACGGCGCTGAGGTAAGAACGTCTCTATTTTCTTATCATCTCCATTTTTCTATAAAGTTTTTACAAATGAATTGATTATTATATTCTTTAATGACCTCTCTACCTCTGTCCCGTTCGTGTTTCAACCGTGAAGCAGTTGTGTTTGCATGGCTGTTTCGGTTTGAAGGGTGGGATATGGCGTGAATTTACTGGGTACAGAGGAATAACACCTGAGTCCTCAGGAGTGGCAACGCATGGAGGGCATCATGGGCGAAACAGTATACTCTGTTATATCCATGGTACTGCTCATGCCTATAGGCAATGGTTACCACTTTTTATCAGGTAGGCCGTCAGCATGTTTGCCATTCTAAGTTGTATAAAAAAAAAAGAAAAATAAAAAAAAATATATTAAATATATATGTTTATAACTATATTATATTAAAATCATAAATAGAAATTTAAAAACTAATTAACTCTATCAAGTTATTTCTAAATCATTAAAATCATTGTTTAACTTTAGAATCATTATAAAACTGCATAAAAGTTTATAAATTAATCTCGCTATAAAATTATTACTATAAGTGTATATATCCATAGACTGTGACACGCTTTAGTTTCAAAGAAACTTAAAAATTATATCATCGCAGGCCCCGGAGTCAGCGCAGCAGATAGCGGCAGGCGGGCAACCACAGGTGCAGCCGTCGAAGCTGGGCGGTAGCGTGGTGGAGGGCGTGTACGCCAACAGCCAGCAGCCGCCTCCGCCCAAGCACCGCAGCCTCACCAAGCTGCCCATGCCGCCCAACACACAGGTACTGCACTTATAGCTTATTTATATCCGGACTCGCAGATTATAAAGACACAAGTAGAGATCATTGGTATCCTATAGTGTCCTCTAGACTCTAGTGTGTGAAATTGAACTCTTGTTCCAAAGATATGTCAGTCTAAAATTGAAAAAAAAAAGCATTTGCTATAGCTGGGTGTGCTAGGAATACTGTTACAACCCTGGCATATATTATTACCGAATTGCATAATGCAATGCCTGTATAAACTAATACAAGTCCTAAATTAGTCATAATTCAGCAATCTGAATTGCTGCCCAGCTGCAGACCTGGCCCTTTAGATAAGTGGCAAGCGAATTCGTCGATGAAATAGCAACGTCGAGTCTCTTATTCCAACCCTCGCTATCGATGTCGATTCTATAGACGAATTCGCTTGCCACTTGTCTAGAAAGCCAGATTTCTTTTTACTGGTCTGGCCAATAAATTTAATTAGTTGACCATACATACTCAATAACTGAGAGTCTCACGTGTCGAGAGTCAAGTGAACCAGTTATAGTGTAGTAAATTTTTTTTGTTGTGTGGTAAAAATTTGATTACCGTTTTTTATATTAAACAAGTGCCTCACACTTGTTAGTATGTATTCTCTCTTATCTCTATTATATACATAATATATATTGTTTGTACGAGAGATTCAGGATTCTTTGTCGTTTATCAAGCCATATTTCTTTTTAACCGACTTCAAAAAAGGATGTTCTAAATTTGGTTACATTTGTTCATAACCTTATAACTTAGTCAATTTTAAACAGATTTGGAAAATTCTATTTCTATCTGAAAGCCTAAATATACCTTACAGATTGGTGCCATAGAAGTTTCAACAAAATCCTTTCGATAGTTTAGTATGTAAATCATAATAACTGGTCTTACCATAATTGAAGTTAGTTTTTTTTTTGGAACACAACCTAATGTCTTTAAAAATAGGTACAATACTATCATAATAATAATTGTAGTAATCAATTGATTTATTTTAAAACTAATAAAATTGTTTTCATTTTGTCCTTATAATGCTGAATTTCTTCTGGCCAATTTGTGTTTATAATAAAAAATGTTTTCAGGTGGAGGACCTTAAAACATTGGCGAATGACAGTCCGTTGAGTACGCCTTCGCCGAGTCCCGTGAAAAAACCCGATAAGCCCAAGAAGACGGGCATCATGAACTTGCCTATGCCTCCAGGTAATATTTTTTCAGAATTTTATATGTTAGCGATAACCTGCATATTGGTCGCTACCTGTATGTAGCCATAATAGCTACATTGGAATTATGTGTTGATTTTCAAAAACAAATTGACTTATTGTTATTGTATGAAGTGTGTACATCTTAAGAAATTATATTGGTAAGCCTCTCTCTTAATATTATTTTATTATTGTCGCTGCCCTCCTCTCCTACCAGCGCCGTTTTTAGCTACTAAAATAAAATATTCACATTGCAATAATGTTCTTATTAGCTGGTACTGAAAATTGGATTGTGATGGCAAAAATGTATTTGAAACAACTTAGTCTATGATTAATCTATACATATATGATTAACTATTTATATCTTTTTGTGTCGCCAGTGATACCAGGGTCGGAGGAGTTATCAGGAGAGGAATTAGAAGCCGTGACGCCGCCTCATTCGCATACATACTCACACGTGTTCAGTGGACGCAAGCCGCCGCAGCACAACGTATGTATTATTATCCGGTTGCAAGTAACTTGACCGCCATTTTTATGCTATATGACCGACCTATAGTATCAATTATATATGTATATATATATATATATATATATATATATATATATATATATATATATATATATATATATATATATATATATATATATATATATATATATATATATATATTAGTCTATGGTTCAAGTTGTTGATTGTTACTTGACCTTTAAACTATGATACGTTATATCATGAACAATTGAATAAACTGGAAAATGTGGAAGCTCTGTGTTCTGACTACCCAAACTTGAGGTAAATTTTACATATTCGTAAAACTTTATATCTATGTAAATATGGTAGTAAATTACAGGGTACAGTGGCATAACACCATACTCCTTAGGGATGCATGAGGAGTCCATGGCCATCATAATGTATTCTGTGATGTTGGTGTGGCCATGTGTTCCATGGGACAATGTGCTGTTTATGTTTGAGTGACCATTACCACTTTCCATAAAGTGGTCTATAATAAGCTTGTTTGTCATTTTAAGGTAAAAAGATTAGGAAGACCTGGCCAGGAATGGAACTTGAGACCCAATCTTATACTTCTTGTATTTGCATTTTACAAGCTTATACAAATTTTACAGTTACGGTAGCGAAAACGTGCTGTTACATAAGCTTGACACGTATCTACGGGGACATTCTCTTTTGTGCACGATGCTTTCTGTTGTTAGCCCATCGTTTTAGTTCAGTATTTGTATCGCCGTTTTCTTCACCGTAGGACGCGAACCGAGTCGACTCGGATAGGACGGCGTCGTCCGAGGGAGGTCGGGTTACCGGTTGCCACGATACGAGTAACGCCCGTGTAAGTAATCGTTCCGAGCTTACTCTGATCGTGTCAACGCGAGAATCGTCTGTATTAATCTGCATCTTGTCCCTAAACGCAAATTGCGCTTTTTATATCGATGTTTGTTATATGCAAATAATTGCTTGGTTGCTTTTTCACGGCTGAACGACTGAACCAATTGTAATACATTTTTAACCCCTGAATGAATGAAGTGGGATGAACATCGTTGCGGCGGGAAGCTAGCCATAAATTATTCATCTAGTGTAAACTGATTGCTGATGCAATAGCAGTAGGGAATAAAAGAATAATTATTAACTTTTACTTTTTAATTTCCAGACGGGAACGAAGTTGAAAAGGCCGAGGATATTGAAACGACGCGGCTCCAAAGTAGTCCCGGTAGCGACTCCCACTCACCACGCCAAGGACTGGGGCGAGAAATGCGTCGATGGCTTCCAGGTTATAAATTTTACTATCTAATATTCTAGTGAAAAATAATATATTATTCTAGTGTTAACAGCCCAGTTAAACAATTTTTAATTATAGTCTAGTCATTCTAAGATCAAATTATAACTTAAAACTTATTTTTTTGAATTCATATTTGTATCATTAAAAATGACTTTTTTGATTCGTCGGTAAAACCCCATCAGACGCCCCGTATAACCAAAACGACCAATACTAACAAAAACCGATAATGAAGTTATTCACAGTTTGGATGCTCAATGTGTACAAGGCTTTGAGTAGTGATCTATTAATTGCCTGATGATGCCTCGTTTAGAGATGAAACATGTCGTCATAGTCGTAGAATACTGACGGATCTTTATATGTAATATTCGTCAGATCCGTCAGTATTCTACGACTATGACGATGTGTTGCAACATGTGCGTAGACTGCATAACGGTCGGAGATTGATGACTAATATGGAAGGTCGTTAAACTTTTACTAATAATTATAGTAGGCATCCTCAAATACTGGCAGACGTACGCATATTAATGGTAACGATGTAAAAACAATTCTAATTTACTAACCAGACCAAAAACTTTTGACTTCAAACTGCGCCATTCTCTTTGTCATTTCACATTAATTAAATTTGAAGATAAACAGTTTTTAAATAGAGAAATACTTATTTCAGGTGATCACGCAAATTGGCGAAGGTACATACGGCCAAGTGTATAAAGCTCGTGATAAGAACACCAACCAGCTAGTCGCCCTGAAGAAGGTTCGATTGGAGAACGAGAAGGAGGGCTTCCCCATCACGGCCGTGAGGGAAATCAAGATATTGAGACAACTTAATCACAAGAATATAGTTAATTTAAGGGAAATAGTCACAGATAAGCAGGACGCTATGGACTTTAGAAAGGTGAGTTTAATTTGAGCATATTTTTTAAAAAGTAATTGTATTTTTAACTTTGAAACTTTAGTTTTGTTGTATATTAATTCATACTAAGTCACCTATTACCTTCTGCTTATGTATGTATAATGAGAAACAGCTTTGTGTTTTAATAAATTTATTTAATGCAATGGATAAATTCTACTAAAATAGTTGTTAAATTCAGTTTATATATTATTATTAATTTAGCATACATGATAAATCTTAATTTGTCACTTTCTGGTCCTTCGAGCCAGATATAAGGCTGGCGAAAACACCCATCATATTTATGCTATTTGGAATGCCAGATAGCCTTCCAGATGGAAAATAATATCTGTTGTATTGACATAAATAGCATCATAGATATCATAACATTCACCGTAACATTAGAAATTGCCATAACTGAGGACTTCATATGCTGTAATACTATCCTTCAACAGTCGCTTGACAAAAACAAAGTACGACAGGAGGAACCTTTTAGGCAGCTTTTTGTACAAATTCTCCCTTTTGTAAAGTTTTATGAAAATAACACATGAATGATATATTTTAATTTCTTTTCCAGGACAAAGGCTCTTTCTACCTAGTGTTTGAATACATGGACCACGATCTCATGGGCCTCTTGGAGTCCAAAATGGTCGACTTCACGGAGTCCCACAACGCGTCCATTATGCGACAATTGCTCGACGGCTTGGCGTACTGTCACAGGAAGAACTTCCTACATAGAGATATAAAGTGTAGTAATATACTCATGAATAACAAGTAAGTTGTTTCCCATAATTTTAATTGTCCGGAATACAAACTTTATTAAATGTACACACATTTGAATGTGGGTGGTGAAAAGAAATTATTTTTAAAATACAGTTGAATTGAATTTCTTCTGAATTTTAAAATTTTCAAAATTGAATTTTCTTTTTTAATTTAACTTTGAGTTTTTTTTTTATGGATGGTAATGGAATGGTAGCTCTGCTTGCGCTAACGGTATACGCTGGCGGGGCACCAGTGAGGGATGGTAGGTGAGAATGTAAAGGCATGCCAGTTAGCCCATCGTGATGAATTCACCTGGAATTCAGCACAATAGTTTCCATGGGGGACCACGTGGAGGTCGACCTGGTTGAGCATATTGCTAGCAATGGAACTGGTAATCCGCATTACTAACAATCCCATCCCCCCGTTAACTTTGAGTTATTAGTAACTTGACACATTATAAAATGTGTAAAGATCATTTTTTTTTAAATTAAGTTTCAAATTGTAGTTACATTCTTGGTCAACGTACATACGTGTTCGTTGCAGAGGCGAGGTGAAGCTGGGCGACTTTGGTCTAGCGCGGCTGTGGTCGGCGGAGGACCGGCAACGGCCCTACACGAACAAAGTGATCACGCTGTGGTACCGGCCGCCTGAGCTGCTGCTTGGCGAGGAGCGCTACGGGCCCGCTGTCGACGTCTGGTCCATGGGTTGCATCCTCGGCGAGCTGTTCCTCAAACATCCGCTCTTCCAGGTCACTACATGTTACTGTATACAAAACATCCAGGTCTGACAATAAATGTGGCCTCACAATCCCCAGATTGAATCTGTAAATAAATGTATCCGTACTTATTTATAATATTTTATAAATATGAAAGTGACTGTATGTTACTTTACAGCGCCTTAACAACTTAAGCAATCCCTATCAAATTTGTTATACACGTACTATACGGGATACGCAGCATGGAGTTCTTCAAAAGGGGGGTAAAGGGTCGGCACCGTGCGCGTAATACCCCTGGTATTGCAGGCGTTCATAGGCTACGATAACCACTTACCATCAGGTGGACCATATGATTGATTGCCACCTCATTGGTATAAAAAAAATACTTTTTATCCATCCGGTTACGCGAACCACGATGCGGGTTAAAGTTAGTATGTATATATATTTCTAATATTTCTTTAAATCGTATCTGTTTAAATTTTTTTATTACATATTATTTGAATATGTGGTCTTTGTTGCAGGCGAGCGTAGAGATGATGCAGCTAGAGATGATATCCCGTGTGTGCGGCACTCCAGTCCCTGGCGTGTGGCCGGGCGTGGTCCGTCTGCCTCTATGGCACACACTACGCCCGAAACGTTTCCACAAGCGCTGCCTCCGCGACCAGTTCGCCTTCATGCCGACACCGGCGCTACATTTGCTGGATCGTATGCTTGAACTGGACCCCGAGCGCCGGATTACAGCTGAGGACGCACTCAAGAGCGCCTGGCTCAAGAATGTTGTGCCTGACCAGTTAGTAAAACTTTTTTTTTATCATCAATTTTTATATTTCATATTTGTTACAAATATAGTTTGTCAAATTCAGCTTTAGTGCTGTTATACGAGGTTTGTCCGGAAAGTACGTATAAAAGTTTTTTAAAAATTTTATTTTACAATTATTCAGGTAAATCAATTTTATCCCCTTCAAAGTACTCCCCCTGTGACATAATGCACTTGTGCCAACGCCGTTTCCACTGTGAGAAGGCTCCTTGAAAGTCCTCTGGTTGTAGGTTTCTCAGCTGCCCCGTCGTAGCTTTTTTTATCTCATTTATGTCCCCCAAATGCCGCCCCCGAAGTACCAATTTGGTTTTTGGAAACAAGAAGAAGTCACACGGGGCCAAATCCGGTGAATAGGGGGGGTGTTCGGTCACCGTAATGGAATTTTTACTCAAAAACTCACGGACAACAAGAGAGGTGTGGGCAGGGGCATTGTCGTGGTGAAGAATCCAACGCCCCTCTCGCGCCAATTCTGGACGAACTCGTGCCACACGAGCTTTGAGGCGTCTGAGCACATCGACGTAGAATTTTCCATCAACTGTCTGGCCTGGAGGGACGAATTCTTGATGGACAATCCCCCGAACATCGAAAAAAACAATCAACATTGTCTTGACATTTGAGCGGGATTTTCTTGATTTTTTTGTTCGTGGTTCCCCGGATGTCTTCCACTCTTTGCTTTCACGGCCATTCTTGCCGAGTTTCGAGAGAAACTTGATTACGACGCGCTGCTCTTCAACGGAAGCGGGCTCCATGCCGACGGGGTTTCGTTAAGAGGTAACTTCACAGATGGCGTGACAAGCCAGTTCGCACCGCACGGCGGTCAGACCAGAACTGAAGCATTGTTAGGGACATAAGGAAGGGGTCCTGCGCTTACCTGGCCTCCCCACTCCTCTTTCTCGCATTCCAGAACACTTTTATATGAACTTTCCGGACAGACCTCGTATGTACAATAGTGTATCAGTAGACAGATATCTTACTGAGCATCATGTACAAACTTGACAGGCAATAAATATTCTTATAACAAAGACTAGTTTGTTACTTAAATTGAATATTATTATTAAACTGCAGGATGCCACCACCGGAGTTACCCACATGGCAAGACTGCCACGAGCTGTGGTCGAAGCAGCGCCGCAGGCAGCAACGCGAGCAGCAGGACCAACAAGCGAAACCCAAGTCGTACTTCGACAATGCCGAGAAGGACCCCAACTTCAAGCCTAACGAGCCAGATTTCAAAAGTGAACCGTTCAAAGCGGAAAGTGGCTTCAAACCAACAGAACCCAATCCAGAAACTGTGGGGCAAGTGAAATAGTATATGGATTACTATCCATACTAGGAGTGACAATGTTAAAGGTGCTTCAGTGATAGACCAATTGACTTTATGGTTGTATTTATAGGAGACGGTGGGCTGTAGAAAGTGGTGGTTGGAGATGGCTATTGGTTTAGTACCTCATCTTGGAGTTTATGGGGTTTTTGTGGTATGAAAATTGAATGGTAAACTTGCCTAATAGTTTACATAGGCGCTTTACCAGTGAAGGAAGGATAGGTGAGGATGAAATGAAGTCGGTTGGTTGTTTGTGATGAATCCACGAGGAATTAACCATGATGGTTAACATGTGGTTGTCGACTTGACGGGGGTATATTGTTAGCAATAGGTATAATATTGTCTATTACTAACAATCTCCTGTTCCTAGGTTCGTTTGTAAGTTCCTAAAATTAGTAACAATTTTATTAATAAATTAGATGAGATGTCGAGAAATAGAGAATTATGTTGTGGTGACTGAGCCTTAGTGTTAATTTAAAAAATTAGCAAACTGCCACCATTTTCTACAGCGTATATAATCATCGTTTAATAACGGGGCCATATTAGCCTCAACGGCGATGCTTCCGTGTTTAAGTCCCAATTAAATTGGCCACAAGTGTAAATAATTAGGTTACGAAAACATTCATGAATCACAAGTATTTTGTATAATACATTTACACTGTCGGCCAATTTGATTGGCTCAAATATTGGCGTTTTAGGAACGCGTACCAAAATTATATATTGATAACCAAAGTGTCTCATAGCGCTAGTTTCCTGCGAACCGTTGCAGAATAAATTGTATAAAGAGATGTCAACTTGTAAATATTTTAGTGTAGTTTAATTCGCAATTAGAACAATATTGTTTCCTTTTATTTTTATAGTGAACTGACTTGTGTATTATGTTATAGTTGTTATAATATGCATAAAATTGAAAATTTTGAATAAATTTTGTGTCCTGTTGAGGAGAAAAGCCTAGTTGGACTGATTTAGCAATTTAGTCCAGTGGCGAGTGATTTAGTAAAAAATACTCGGCTCGTTTAAATTTGTATTATTTCAATACTAAATGACTTGGCTAAATTACTGAAACAGCGTGGAATTGCGAACAAGGCATTAAGAAAATTTTAATTTGAATATTGACTGTAATGTCCCGTTAGCAAATGCAATCATGAATTTAATATGCTCCTTTTTGTATATGATAATGAAAGTATAGATCAGTTTATCTAGTCGTATGTGTACTCGAAAGGTACATTGTAAAATGTATGGTCTAATATTTGACATTAATGTGAACAACATTCCAAATCCAGCGGAGGAACTGTATTATAATACAATAATTTAATTTGATAAGTATGAGATCGTAAAAGTAAATAGTATATTACTGCAGCGGCCAGCAACTGAGGCATTGATGGACGAACGTGCAAATGTGGGCCAAGGCGTAGCCGAGGCACACATACGTGAGTCCATCAATGCCTAGTTGTGGCCAAGACTTGTATAGTACTTTTCTCAAACAATGCGCGGAAATCAAAAACACAATTTTACTTTTTAAGTTCAATGACGAATAACGAACAATAATAATTTTCCACGCGCCTTAATGTTCTGTTGTTTTTTTTTTTCAATAAACAGCTTTCTATTTGCAAGCCAGTTCGAAACTTAAATAAAACCTTTTATTAGTTACCTCCTTGGTAGCCATGTTTCGAACTAAAAGGTCATCCAATTTTTAAATTACAGGACAAATATGAGTTTACATAGTAATTTATCTGGCCGCAAAACACGACAGATATGGATTTTCATACAACTTTTGCGGGCCGCTGCCCGCATGTATCTGGCCAGTACGCCAATTTTTATTTATCTCTAAGAAGATTGTCAAAATAATGCTCACATTTCCAAGCATGTTTGAAAATACACTATCTGTACTTAACGCTGTACCTACATACCTGTTTTTTTTATTGGTTACGATTCGACGTGGATTTCACCGCGTCGTGCTCACGACAGGACTGATTGACTGACCTTAGGTGTGTAGGTACTATTTACCTTGAACTCGTCATCAACATATCAGCCTTTAACTGTCCACTGCTGAACATAATCCCACTAACAGGGAGAGATTCTCTGTTATTGGGATTTGTCAGTAGTTGCCACTTGCGCTTCTATATAGGTTTTTTTTTAATGGGTGAAAATGGATTGGTAACCCCGCCCGAGCTATTGGTATACACCGACGAGGCACCAGTGGAAGATGATAGGTGAGAATGAATGCGGGTTACTTGGCCCACCATGATGAATTCGACAAGAATTAAACATGATGGTTTCCAAGGGGAACCGCGTGGAGGTCAACCTGAGAGGGTATATTGCCAGTAATGGGGCTATTAGACCCCATTACTAACAATCCCTTTCCCCCCTTCCATATAGGTTGGCAACTGCATTTAGGCTTTGGTGATGTTTTAAAAGGGACGCCGCAGCCCATAAATCGACCGTTAAGTACCTGAAATTGCGTCGCGTTTTTTGTTGGATGAAAATGGATTGGTAACTCTGCCTGCGCTAACGGGATACGCTGGCGGAGCACCAGTGAAGGGTGATAGATGAGAATGAAAACAGGCCAGTTAGCCTATCATAATGAATTAATTCATCAGGAATTAACCATGATAGTTTCCAGGGGGAACCGCGTGGAGGTCGACCTGGTTAGGTATATTGCTAGCAATGGGATTTTTAGTCTCTATTACTAACAATCCCTTTCCCCCCCAATTGCGTCGCGTTAAGTCTTGATAGTGTATTTAAAATATGTGTTAACAAAGCGAAAGTTTAAATTAATTATCGTAAAAGTAGACTGATAAAAATTCTTTCAAAATTGACTAAGAAATCACGTAAAATACGGATTCAAACTACAGTTTAATATAAAAATGTCCAATAGAAATGAATTATGAGTGAAGAATTAAGTTTGTGGAACTCAAATGAGGTAACATTCTAAAAAAAAAAATTAGGGCTTTTTAATACCATAAGAATGAAATGGTGGTCCCCGCCTGTGTTATTGGTATACACTGAGGGGCCAGTGAGGGATGGTAAGTGAGGATGAAGCAGGTCAGTTGACTCATCATGGCGAATTCAACAAGAATTACGATGGTCTGTGGAAGTCGATAGAGTATATTGTCAGTAACATAGCTGTTAGACCCCAGTGCTAACAGTCCTCTTCCCCCAGTTTAGAGGTTATGTAAAGTTCTATTTTTTTTATGCAACTTATAATGGCAAACAAGCTGATGGTCCACCTGATGGTAAGCAGTAACCGTCGCTTATAGGCATGAATAGTACCATGGACATAACAGAGTGTGTTGTTTCGCCCATGACACCCCCCATGCGTTGCCATTCCTGAGGAGTAAACTGTTTTGCCTGTGTACTCTACAAGTTCAATAGTCCTTTACAGTAGCCCACTAAACATTTTAGAACGCAATCCTTTTAATCTGCGGGTTTACCATGAAATGAAATTCCGAAATTTCGGACTCAATATCGTGTTTTTGTTTATACCAAAATCGGACCAATAAATAGAGTTTAACATTTCGTTCGTCATACATCCTATCATAAAAGTCCAAAGGAACAATATTTTAACATTTTTAATATTTCCAAACGACATGTATTATGTAATTTTAACATCAAATTTGTGTTTCGTTTGGCTCCGAAATTTCGGAAAACATTTCATGGTAGGCCCTCTGTAGTTTGGCTCCAATATATAAAAACAGTATACAAAAAATGCAAATCCAAAAATATACCAGTTTAACACATTAGTTATTACAAATTTGCTTTTTCTGGCACAAAATAAACTACAAAATAAAACATGATGAAACGAAACATCACTAGAAATAGTTATTAAGTAGAAAGTTCTGTGATTGCATCTGTTAACTGCTAACGGAATTGATTTTTAACTATGTAGTTAAAAAATATTTAGTTTGAAGGCGATTGTAGGATCATTGTTGAATGGTCGTAAGACTTATCGGTTTGCTGGTGAGCCTTATAAATGTGAATGACGTCTAATAGCCTGGTCATCATCATCATCATCATCATCATCATCATCGTCGTCGTCGTCATTCTACCCTTATTTCAATTATTATTTGAGGTCGACATAATATGTTTTTTATCCATATTGCAAAAAGATTTGGCGTATACTTTTACGAACGACCGCCTTGGCTTGGTTTGGTCAAATCAAATCGTCATAAATATTAGCGTAGGGTACTTTCATGCCGGCCAGTTAACAAGGCTAACAATTCGATTTTAAAAAAAAAAATATTTAGTAATAATAATAATAAAGTAAAAAAAAAGAAATTGGGCGGTGTTTTGGCTGTGAATTAAATATAATATTGACAGGAAAATACTACATTTAAAAAAATAATATGTATTTTTTTTTTCGAAAAAAAAGACTATAGATCAAAATGTAATCGATTCCAATAAAAAATTTACTGTTATCAATTTAAATTCTACATCTTTATTTCAGGTTTTCTATCGCATACACGTTTGGGCATTCACATTTACTGTACTAAAATAAAACGCTCCTCACCAGCAAACGGATGAGTCTAAGGCCAACGACAAGTGAAAAACTGATATTCCTATACACGCTACCACGGGTTTTGTAAGAGAAGCGATACCTAGTGTATTTCTTATTCGTTCTCACGCGATAGCGTGAATGTATTTTGAAATGGGAACGTTTCTCACTTATCTAGGGTCTTAACAAACGCATCGACGACTAGTTGGCATTTATAATATGTATAATAAGTATGTAATATGTATATTTGTATGTTGATGCCATGTGCCAGCAATGCATAACGTGATTCTAATATCTAGTTCTATAATGTAAGTAATATATCATGATGTTGAACTGTTTCACAAATGTTTAATGTACATTAATTACACTATAATTATTTCATTTTTTTTTATATAGTGCTGTAAATACTTGGATATCGCGCGAGTCGAGTACTGTATTCGGATAATTTTTAAGACCTATTTTTTTTTTACGTTTAATCATTTTCACTAGCCCACTATTCCATTTTTTATCTAAATCTTCCATGAAATGTGTGATTTTATGAAATTGTGTGACTCGTAATCGACTGGCCCCTGCATTTGTACTAACGCGTGGCTGTTTGTTATTGTTGTAGGCAGCGAAGCAATGTTTCTGTTGTTCCTTTTTATTTCGTATTACTAAAATTTTATCAATGTACAATTTGTTAAATTCTTCTCTAGTGTTGTATATATATATATATATATAATTATGAATTTAAATGACGCTGTGACAACTCGTGAAGTGTAACTTCATATAAATTTTATCTTAGGCTTAAGTTTGATACAAAGAACCTTGTATATTTTGAGAATTGGCGTACTCACTTTGACGTCGATATCATTTTCGCTCCCTACAACAAGCGTAGTTAAACGATCATCCATGTAAATAGTACATGCTTGAAAGACTTACTTCTGTATTATATAGATTAAGAGATACCATCAATAATCCGGAGTTTAGGAGACAATCGGTGTTTGTTGCGGTGTTACCAGTTTGTCTATGGTTTGAACTAGTTAAAAACGGCGTCGGTAATCCGTAATTTGTTCCTGCACGTTTAGGGATTCATTTGTAGATTTAAAATCGATACGCAGGTCGCATGGTGAATAAGAGGGCGTTGCAGTTTTTACGATTGTAAACATGTAGTGTTGAAGTATTTTTTTTTGTTTTTGACTTTTGAAGATCGGGGTTCTATTTTTTTTTTTTTTTTTAATTTATAAGTGCATCAATTGTGTATCAGTAATGTGCAAAACGATTCTCCCCGCACTGATTGTTTTTTTTTTTGTAATATTTTGTAAAACTGTTTCGTCAAAACTTGACAATTCCATACGTTCGATGTATAAAAATGTTTTGTGTCGACAGTTATTTTTACACATCAGCCTTTTTAGACGAGTGGCAAACGAATCTGTCGATAGGTACATTATCGTTAATGCATACATGAAATAGAACGAGACAGCAACATCTCGTGTCCTTTTAATTTTTTTATGCGTGCGTCAATGAAAACTTGACGCACGCAAGTTCTTAAGTGGATTTATAGACGTTGTATACTACATACTGACAGACTGGCAATGCAATCACAAAAACTAAACAAGAAAATGGTTACATTAGTGTGCGTAGAATATAAATATGTGCATGTAACAGGTTTGAATTTATAAGGGGATTGAAGTTGCAAAAATAGTAAAAATGCACGTATTTTGTTATAATTTTCATTTCAGTCTTGGATATTCAGAACTTTGTTTAGATAAAATTAGATATATCTTTCCACTAATTTTTGTACAAAATATATTCGATTGATCTATAATATTGCATTTAAAAAGATAAATGTTTATAGCGTAAATACGTAATAAATGCCCATTTTGTAGAATTTTTCATTTGATACTAATTAAATTTATTTAAAACTAATTATATTTTAAGTCGTAAACAAATTTGCTATCGTCCCGCCAAATCAGCTTCGACCCTATATTACAAGCTTGTAGTGCCCTATTTGTCTATCTCGTTCTAACATATACTTTATTGTTTTTTTTTTTTTTACATTGCCAATCTATATACTTTATTTGCCATTTGTTTAACGGGCTGATATGTATAACTATTTTATCGACACTCAGTAGGTACATCGAAGGCATTTATTAATTAGCTAAATTATTAAAATTAAGGTTGTTTTCGGAAATTGTTCAAAAAAGACGTCTCTTGCCTCGCGACTTGCAATTGTTTTACATACGAACTTATTTAAAACTTATACCTTTCAACCAATTTTAAAAAGAAAGTGGTCTTCTTAATTGTGTCGTATTTTTTATGTTTGTTACCTCGTAACTCCGTCAGTAATAAATCAATTTGGATTTTTTTTTTATCTGAAAGACTTAGAACTTAGACTTGGTCCTATAGAAATTTTATCAAAATCGGTTCTCAGTAGTTTAGTTTTTAAACAAAATAACAGATTCTGTCACAATTTAAATCGCTTTTTTTTTTTATAGAACACAATTTTAAATTATATGTGCACTTCATTTCAAGCTTACTAAATGTTGAACAATCAGCTTGATTGATACTTTAGAGAAAAATTGGTGTCGAGTACATGAAATACAGTTTGATTTCTCTATTGTATGCAGCGCGTATAATGTTAAAAAAATTGAACATTAATGTTTACAGACAAATCTCCCGAACGGCGTTCTTGTCGTGCTATTTTGTCTACCATAGCCTAGTAGCCTAATAATATAGAATAGATATTGCGACGGTGATATTACAAAGAAATATGTTAAGATATAAAAGCTTTATGAAGACAATTTATCGAAAATAACTTATCAATTGCCCAATATTGAAACAGGGTTAGATGTACGAATGTAGTGTAAAGACATTTTTAGAAATGATAGTATTGTAATACGCGGGGACTTGTGACTTTGATTTTTGACTTATAAATTACATAACTCTTGAGATTCATATTTTACTGCAGCTAATTAATTTTCCTAATAGGTACACAGCCCACTTAGACAAGTGAGAAACTAATCTGTCGACAGATACGTTTTCGTTTCAGTATGTGTAATGATAGAGACAACAATGTCATCTTCGTTGTGTAATAATAGGCGTCTAATGAAAGTTTATTTGCCCATAGATTGGTTGGCCACTTGTCTAGGAGGGTAAATGTGATACATGTGAAATGAGGTGTGGAAATGTAAAGAAAAAAAATATTTGGAAATTATCCAGTTTTTAAGACTTGTCTCACTTGCCAATTGCCTATAATGATATAGGGTGGTTTCATGTAAAACTGAATTTTTGTGCTTTATTGTACGCTATTTTTTCTTTTTACTCAAAAATAACTGCGCTGAGTAAGCGAACACCTATGTTTGTATATAAAGACTGAAAAGGAGGACAATTTGCGATTGTCTGTCACTGTAACTCTGGATTGTTATCACAAAATATAATTGTAAAAATGTACCTAAATTTTTTAATAATTAAACTACAATGAATTATATTCCTTTTTTTTTCATTGCACATTTTCCAAACTTACATAATTAACTTACAAAATAATTCGATTTGTCTCGTATTTCCGAACAGATATAACAGTGAAATCTTCGAGAAAGCATTATTCCTAAATGTCGGCAAAACACTTTCAATTCTTCCAGTGTTCCGGGTGTTCATAGGCGGTTGTATTCACAGTCAGGGCGATTAAAATCACACTAGTCATAATAGTATGTTTTGTAGAACCCATAAATTTTATGGAACCTCCCTCACCGAGGGCGTAAAGTATTTTTTTATACAACTTAGAACGGCAAAAAATCTGACGACCCATCCTATGGAAAGTGGTAATGGTCCCCTATAGACATGAACATAACAGAGTATATTGTTTCGTCCATCATACCTCCCATGCGTTGCCATTCCTGAGGACTAAGATGTTCTTTTTTTGATGGGTGAAAATGGTATGGTAACCCCGCCTGCGCTAACAGGATACGCTGGCGGAGCTCTAGTAAAGGGTGATAGATGAGAATGAAAACAGGTCAGTTAGCCCATCATGATGAATTTATCAGGAATTAACCATGATAGTTTCCAGGTGGAACCGCGAGGAGGTTGACCTGGTTGGGTATATTGCTAGCAATGGGATTCTCAATCTCCATTACTAACAATCCCTTTCCCCCCAGCGCTAAGGTTGGTTATGCCTCTGCACCTTGTAAATTCACTGTCATATCCCACTCTTCAAACCGTAACACGAATGGGACAGAATCTACATCGGCAGATTATGTAAAGTATTTTTTAATTATCTTAACTGTGGAAGTCCTTATCACTGGTTAATCGACTAGAGTTGTCTACAGTCTATGAGCTTCCATCATCATTTTCATCATACCAGCCTTTAACTGTCCACTGCTGAGCATAAGCCTACTCTTTGGGGGATTTTGCCAGTAGTTGGCACGCTTGGCAGGAGGATTGGCAACAGCAGTTAGGCTTTGAAGATGTTTTAAGAGGGACGGTACTGCCCATCCCTCGCCCTCCCTTAGTCGCCTCTTAAGACACCCACGGGAATGGAAGGGGTGGCCTATTCTATACTGAGATCACACAGCAATTCCGAGCTTCCATATTAGTCATAAATCTCCAACCTTTATTTAGTCCACACACATTGATTATTAATATAGTTTCATTATCAGTTATAACTAATTAATAGAATTACAAACTCGTGTACTAAAACTAGGTAGGTTTAAGGAATAGTAGTGAAAAATAAACACGCAATAATATCAAAATACATTTATTTAAAAAATGACTATAAAGGAACCGAGTTAATATTATAAGGCACTGATTTTGCCCGACTAATTTATGGCTTACGACTGGACCGATCAGTTCATAAATAACAGCGGCAGCAGAAATTAGAAATACTCGTAATCACAAGGTGTAAATTGGAACTTCTTTCCTTTAATTCACTTTAAATTACGGCACAAATTTAAAATTAACGTAATCAATGGCCGCTACAAAAAAAATACGTCTTATTATTCATATAAAAATGTCCAAATGCAGAAAAGATTTTTAACCGCGAAATTTTCAATTTAGTATATTTTAATGTATCAATTAGATAAATTATAATTATTTTATTCAAAAAGCCCATTGCTAAATCTATACCTTGTCAAGTCAACCTCGACAGGTCCTTGGAAACCATATTGATTAAATCCTAGCGAATTTGTCACGATGGACTTATTGAGGTTATTTCATCACCAACAGCGCAAGCAGGGTTGCCATTCCTTTTTTATGCTTTAAAATTTATTTCAATACATTACAATTGCTGCCACTGTACTAACTGGTCATTATCCAAACATCTACATGATTCGTTTATGTATAAAAACTTGTATACAAAATGTTTTTATTAAACATCTAAAATTTAGATGTTTAAAAAACGAAAAGAAACTTTACTTTTCTTATAAACAGTTCAACAAGCGAATTACTAATCTGAATACCTAATATAAATTACTATACTTATATAGGCACCTTTGATTCAGCTTAAAAATAAATAAAATTATAGATAGTGTGGGTATTAAATTGGGGGAAAAATACAGTATATTCAAATAGGACCACGCCCTAAATATTGGCCCTAAAATAGTCCCTCTATGCGAATCATAATACAATCATATATAATTATAATACAAAATAATTAATTAATAGTAATATATTATACAGGGGGACCGGGTGGAGGTCGATCCATTTATTGGTATCCCGCCAGTATAAACTGAATTACCGAGAGTGTGTACGGATTTACAATTCAATTTCACAAAACGAATATTCCTCAGCTGGACATACGAAAGAGTAGTATCATGATTAATATAAAGTACTATTTTAATCCTTTATATCCTCTCATCATTTATTCTGGTTTAATTGGGCATGAAAAAGACAAAATATGCTATTTATTCAGGTGAAGATGAAAGGATAAATAAATGTGTTTGGGATCGTTATATTAAGTACTATAAGTTACCTCGACTAAAACTATCACGTCGTTGTATATTATTATATTGTTAGATAAAGAGTTAAACTCATACGGAGATAGGCAAAGTAGTTAAAAAAAACACTAATATACCTATTATTGTAATAGTATATAGTATGTAATTATGTTTTTGATTTCCGCGCATTGTTTGAGAAAAGTACTATACAAGCCTTGGCCACAACTATGCATTGATGGATTAACGTATGTGTGCCTCGGCTACGCCTTGGCCCACATTTGCACGTTCGTCCAGCAATGCCTCAGTTGCGGGCCGCTGCAGTAATATACTATTAATTCCCAAACTAACAATGTAAGCAGAATTTGAGATAGCTTCAGTCGAAGATAAAACGTTTTAAAAATAAAGTATATAATTAGAAATATATAATTGGCATGTGTGTTTAATAAAATAAACAATACAAATACAGGAAAGTACAAATCATACAAACGTCTGTGTAACATTTTCTTATATGGCATACAAAAAAATACTAAGTACTTTGTACGTATAATTAAATACAATTATCACATTTAAACAATTATGATCATTAAATATATTTAGGGGAAATACCAAAATCGAACGAACATAAATAACGGAAATTCACTTATAATTACAATAATCTGATAAAAAATGAAGTAAGTATAAAAATATTTGTAATCATTCTAGAAAATGTTTTATCTCCACTTATCACTCTTTGTATTAGCGACTGAGTGAAGCAAAATTATTTTTATTTAAGTTGAATGTGCCATTTTTTCACTAACATGACTAATTATTACGCTTACTTAAAATAAATTAGTAAAAAAAAATCTGGTAATAGATAATAGACATAACCTGATCAAAAATATACGATGCCAATTTAAAAGATTGTTTTCGAGTATCTATGGTTATCTTATATTTTTGTTTAGGCTATGGTCGAATTTGATATTAATGATTTTAATATAATACAAATTGTCGTTGTTACGTTTGATTATTGGTGCGAAGAGTTGGAACGACAGTATCACAATACTGGTTTACGTCCTCAAGGCGTTGCGACCTGAAAAAACGTATGAAACATTAGTATCACCAATCGATGTGATTGCACGATGATTTTGTCGACATGTTTGTGAAAAATCTACCAGAGGGAGACTTTGTAAAAAGGTCGATTGCTTGGGTACCTCTGTCCCATTTTCTACCGTAAAGCAGTTGTGTTTGCATGGCTGTGTTTCGGTTTGAAGGGTCGGATATGGCGTGAATTTACAGGGTACAGAGGAATAACACCTGAGTCCTCAGGAATGGCACCGCATGGGGGGTATCATGGGCGAGTCGCCTATAGATTAGCAGTACCATGGACATAACAGAGTATACTGTTTCACGCATAATACCCCCTATGCGTTGCCATTCCTGAGGACTCAGGTGTTATTCCTCTGTACCCTGTAAATTGACGCCATATCCCACCCTTCAAACCGAAACACAGCCATGCAAACACAACTGCTTCACGGTTGAAACACGAATGGGACAGAGGTACCCAAGCAATCGACTTTTGTACAAAGTCTCCCTCTGGTATTATATTACAGGGATGGAAGTTTCATGTGCTTCTAAGTATAAAAAAATTACCGTATGGTGCTGTGAAAAGTGCATACACTTTTATCCATTATATATTACATACTATAAAATGTGGATACTTACAACAAGTAAATTGCCGCTTTTAGCGCGGTGGATGGTCGGCTGGGGTCCGTTGATCACCTCGATGGTGCCGCCTTGTTTGCCGTTCACCAAATTGTGAGCGATCCTGCAACAGAGAAATGAGGTTAATAGAAAAATGTAGTAAAATTTTATACTTAGGTAGTTTATATATTTTATTCTTACATTATATAGATAGAGCCTAAAAAACGGGTCAATTTTATGTCAGCTAATTGTCAAATTAGCCGACTCGTTTTTTTAATCGGTATTGTATATACCCATAAAATGTATCTTGACGTATTATTTAATAAATAAAATTAGTGTTTACACATTAAAAAGAGGCAGAATTTATAAAAGAAAATAAATATAGAAGTTATAAAGGAAACACCCATAACTATTTATCATGCAAAATTGTATGAAAAAGTTGACCCGCTTTTCTCGAAGTGTTTCTGACACTCTATTTATATAATCTAAGATGTATCTTTTTATTTCCTGTTGAATAAATTATTATTATTATTGTTATAAAAAAAAAACTCACATCCTAGTGTCCACGATCTCAATGAGGTCCGGCTTCTTGGTGTAGTCCGTGACGATGGTCAGCGCCTCGATCAGGTGCGACACCGATATTATCAAATCTCCCTACGAACAGAGAAGAAGAATGTTTTTATACCCTCTGTGTGGTAACACATGCTTGAGCATAACATTTCCCTAAGAGTTTTGCCAGTAATTACCACGATTAGCAAGCGGCTATCGCGTCCCTCTTATTATATTACTAAAACATGTAGTCGCTTGCTAGACGTGGCAACTATTGGCAAAACCACCCAAGGGGGACACTTCGTTACGTTCAGCAGTGGACAGTTAAAGGCTGATATATAAAAAATATCTGTAAAGCTCACCAAAAATACATACGTATTTTTTTAGACATATCAATATATATATATATATATATATATATATATATATATATATATTGTAATTTTATAATAAACATTAAAAATGCAATTCTGCGTAATTTATTACCACCCTTTGAAATTCTGCGGTAGTACAGTGAATTAAGTCCAGTCGTGAACTTGCAAACTACTTCATTGAGCATTTATATAATCACTACAAAACATAACTTGTCTTTTTCTCAATGTCCTCTACCCAAAGGTTGTCTGAAAGAGATTGCTTAGCGATAAGGCCGCCTTTTGTATCACTTCTCATTAATATTTACTGTATTTGTTATTTCTCTTTTTACTTGGCGCAAAGTGTAAATAAATAAAATAAATAAATAACCGATCTCACCTTATCCTTCTTCAGCTCCTGCGGTATCTTGATGAGCACGAGGCTGTCCGACTCGTTGGTGACGATGACGTGCAGCTTGTCGAGCGGCAGCCGGTGCTTGAGCTTGTACGTCTTGCGGCCGGCCGCGTCCAGCACGTACAGCGCCTTGTTAGACGCGATCAGGGACCGGTCGCGCGGCTTGTACTTACGCCGGTCGTATTTCACCGCCTCACATGAGTACTGTGGAAACCATTGTTCTATTATAACAAGTAGTCAATGGTTTTTTTTAAATAAATGACAATTGAGTGGTGACCCCGCCTGCGCTAACGGTATACGCTGGCGGGGCACCAGTGAGGGATGAAAAGGCAGGTCAATTAGCCTATTGTGATATTGAATACACTAGGAATTTAGCACGATGGTTTCCAGGGGGGACCACGTGGAGGTCAACCTGATAGGGTATATTGCTAGCAATGTGACTGGTAGTCCGCATTACTTACAAACTCTCCCTCCCCCCAGTAGCCAATGTTAGAACTAGCGTCCGATTTTAATTTTGCCATTTCAAATTTTGCCAAGAACATTAATGTTAGATCCACACTAAAATATCAGGTGGTCTACCATCATCATCTTCCTACCCTTATCCCAATTATTATTTGGGGTCGGCGTAATATGGTTTTATACATATTACTAAAGGATTTAGCTTATAGTTTTACGACCGGCCGCCTGCCTGACGTCAACCCTCTTTGGGAAATCGACCCAGTAAATGGAGCTTTACATTTTGTTCATCATAATTCCTATCCTAATAGTCCAGAGGAACGATATTTTAACATTTTTAATAATTTTAAAAGGCATGTATTATGTATTTTTAACATCAAATTTCTGTTTCGTTCGTCCCCGAAATTTCGGAAAATATTTCATGGTAGGCCCCCTGGTATCAGTTCGTTTTCGGTTCGCTCTTAGTATCATCACCATCATATGATGATGATGATGATAAAGCTTTATATACATAGGACCTGTCAGAATATTAACGATGGGGTCTTTGTTGGCTTCAATGTTGAGTCTGAGACTCCTTAATCACTTTGTCTCATTCCATATTCTTATGATACTTAGAATGGTAAACAAATGGTGAAGTCACTTATATGTATGTATTAAATGTAATGTAACTTGTATACAATAATGATTTTGCATGCTTTAGACTATAAGGCGAACATTTGTACTTCACAATGGATCAATATCTGTAAAAACAATGTTCTGGCAAAAAAACAAATCTATCTTTTTTTTTTATACAACTTAGAATGGCAAACAAGCTGACGGTCCACCTGGTGGAAAGTGGTAACCGTCACCTATAGACATGAGCAGTACCATGGACATAACAGAGTGTACTGTTTCGCCCATGATACCCCAATGCCTCGCCATTCCTGAGGACTCAGGTGTTATTCCTCTGTACCCTGTAAATTCACGCCATCTATCTAACGGTCTACCTGATGGAAAGTAGTAAAAGTTGCCTATAGACATGTACAGCACCATAGATATCACAGAATCACATATGTTGCCATTCCTGAGGACTAGAGTGTTTTTTTTTAATGGATGATAATGGAATGGTAACCCCGTCTGCGCTATCGGTATACACTGGTGGGGTATCAGTAAGAGGTGATAGGTGCGGATGAAAAGGCAGGTCAGTTAATGTATCGTGACGAATTCCACGATAAATTAATCACGATGGATGGTTGGGTGGAACCGCGAGGAAATCGACCATCATTGCTATCAATATACCTTATCAAAGGTATATCGATAGCAATGGGGACTAACCTCCCCATTAGTAAAAATCCCTTCCTCCCGGACTATAGTGTTAAGTCTCCGTATTTCATTCATTCCATTCTGTTCTATCATACTACGAAGTATACTCACAATGAGCTGTTCCCCGGCGGGCCACAGGGGCGACGCCATGAAGGTATTCCTCAGGGTCTGGTGCTCAAGCGTGAGCCGGTCGTCCGTGAACCTGTCCTTGATGCTGCTCGGATAGCTGTTCTTCTTGCCTAAGTGATAAAACAGATTGATTTATATAAGTGTTGAAGATTCTTTATTTTAATAGCCATATATTCTTTTTATTTTAACTACTAACCCTATTATTTATTTTGGGGGGAAAGGGATTGTTAGTAATGGAGATTGAGAATCCCATTGCTAGCAATATACCCAACCATGTCGACCTCGCGGCTCTCCTTGGACACTATCATGGTTAATTCCTGATAAATTCATCATGATGGGCTAACTGGCCTGTTTTCATTCTCATCTATCACCCTTCACTGGTGCTCCGCCAGCGTATCCCGTTAGCGCAGGCGGGGTTACCATACCATTTTCACCCATAAATAACCCCCTATTATTCATAAAAACTCGTACAAACCTATTTTAATTAGTTATGCCACTTTTTTTCAATTGGAAATTCAGTGAAAAAGAAAAAGATAAAACACTTCAATAACTAAAAGAGGTTTGGCATTGTTATGAATAAGTGGTTGAGTTTACATTTACCATCGCGCAATAATTAAATAAATAAATAATAAATTTTACTATAATAATAATAATTAATAAAATTATAATTATAATTAAATTAATAATAATAAAATAAAAATAATTAATATGTAAATCAGTGTGTCCCAACCTTTTTTGTGCCATGCCCCGCTTGAACATTTCTAAAATTTTTATGCCACCATACATAATTTTTCCTGACGACTCTAATCGCCCAGTTGATATTTTGGTAACGTCAAACGAAATTATACCTAATAAATATTTACAGCATTTTTTTATTTACTTTTTTGTTAAATTTGGCGCCGATATCTACTCGTAGCATTGCATTTAAATGTCCCGGAGCAAAAGAGTTAAAATCGTTTCAAGTCCATTTTTTAATTGCCCCCCCTTAAATATCAAATTGCCCTCTTATGGGGCGTGGGCCCCACGTTGGGAAACACTGATCCAAATGTAAATGGCTGACCTTTGAACATGCTCTCCGCGAGCACTTTGAGCTCGAACTGCTTCTTCTGGTCCGCGGTGAGCGCGAGCCGGTAGCGACGTGATAACAACGCCCGGTGCAACCTCTGTAGCTCCCTGACGATGAAAGTTTATAACAAAAATAGAATACAAAAGACCTTATAAAAAATCACATTCGAATATTGTAAAATTATTGAAAATAAAAAAAAAAATTTGCCAATTTCACTTTGGATGATATTTTATGATTTTAACAATATGTTGCTATGGAATAAAAAAATTCATATACGCATAGGAACTTTGAGAACTTAGATCATTTTTTATAAATTTTAATTGCAACATTGTTTTAAAAATTCTTATGGTATTTTAGATGACTTTAATACAGCTTCTAGTTGCGGGTAATGGAATTATACTCTTTAACTAATGTTACCATAAACGGATCTTACCCCTCTCCTCGTGTCTATTAACACTACGAAAATAATTGATAACAAAAATTTTAACTTGATGAAAGAATCCCATGTGTTTACCTGGAGGCTTCTTGGCAGGTCGCAGGGCAGACCGGCCATGAAAGGTCGAGGATCTTGGTGGGCAGTTGGGTTGCCAGTCTTTTCAGCCAGTGCACCTTCGCGATGCCGAGGAAACGACGGTTCTCCGGGGTCTCGGGGCCGTTGCGGGTGATAAAACCTTAATGACATATAAAGTATTCAAATAAGTTGACTTATAAAATAGAAATAACCAGATTTGAACTGAGGTAAATTTTATATGAAAGCCTTTATCTTTATTCAACTCACGTTTCTGTCGTGAGGCAACTTGCATGGCTGGGGGGAAAGGGATTGTTAGCAATGGAGTTTGACAGCCCCATTGCTAGCAATATGCCTTATTAGGTCGACCTCCACGTGGTTCCCCCTGGAAAGCATCGTGAACAATTCTTGTTGAATTCGTCACGATGGGCTAACTGACCTGCTTCATACTCATCTATCATCCTTCACTGGTGCCCCGCCGGTGTATACCGATAGCGCGGGTGGGGATACCATTTCATTATCGTCCATTAAAAAACTTGCATGGCTGTGTTTTGGTTTCGAAGCGTGAGATATGATTACAAAGTATAGAGCCGAATCGAATTATCCGTAGATACAATGCTTTATACAATGAGGTCCCGGGTTCAAAAATCGATCGGGCCAGACCTTTTTAAAGAACAAAACTTTTCTAAATTGTCCCGGGTTGGGTATTCTGGATTATGCCCCAAGATGTTCGTTGACTGGTTCTTCACATACACCGCATGAGAACCCTTATTTATTAATTTAAAACCATCTTTCTCCACAAGTATGGCAATGCATTGAATACAAGCAGAATTAAATTAATTGATCCCTACCAGAGGGAGACTTTGTACAAAAGTCGATTGCTTGGGTACCTCTGTCCCATTCGTGTTTCAACCGTGAAGCAGTTGTGTTTGCATGGCTGTGTTTCAGTTTGAAGGGTGGGATATGGTGTGAATTTACCGAGTACAGAGAAATATCACCTGAGTCCTCAGGAATGGCAACGCATGGGGGGTATCATGGGCGGAACAGTATACTCTGTTATGTCCATGGTACTGCTCATGTCTATAGGCGACGGTTACCACTTTCCATCAGGTGGGCCATCAGCTTGTTTGCCATTCTAAGTTGTATTAAAAAAATCCTACTTCTCATCACTTAGGGCCAGATAGGGTACTTTGCAAGTACTTGCGCTTCTAATCTTTGTTGCTAATAATCATCTTTTTCAGATGACATTTGTTCACACTAGGGGTAGGGAATATATAGCATTATCTATATATTTCAGTTGAAATATCTATGTACTGGTGCAATAATGACTATGTTTTGGATATTGCATAACAGACTTTTAACATATTCGAAAATAGATATCCAGCCGATATGGGCGATATCGAAATGGGGTTTTTTTTTATGGGTGAAAATGGTATGGTAACCCCGTCTGCGCTAACGGTATACGCTGGCGGAGCACCAGTGAAGGGTGATAGATGAGAATGAAAACAGGCCAGTTAGCCCATCATGATGAATTCATCAGGAATTAACCATGATAGTTTCCAGGGGGAATCGCGAGGAGGTCACCCTGGTTGGGTATATTGCTAGCAATGGGATTCCCAGTCTCCATTACTAACAATCCCTTCCCCCCACTATCGAAATGGGTTATGACCTTTTTACCGCCATCAATGTCAAGAGGACCTCAATATATAGATATCGGATCAGTAACCATATGCCACCCATGCCTAGTTCAGATTTCCTTTAATACAATTCTCTCTCTCACCTGAAATGAAGGCCCTGATGACGAGGGCTGCCTTCTTTCTCCTCTCCTTCAGCCTCTGCGCGAGGAACCTTCGCACCCACTTCTCTATCACGATAGCGGCTGCTCTCATCCTGAGGTACTCCCGTCTCTGCCGGTACCCTCGCCAGCGGCTCTGGATAATGGTGGCTATGTCGTTCTTCTTCACTTGATACGCGTCTTCAGTCTCGAATAGTGTTTTCGGGAAGCGGATGAAGATTTTCGAGCTGGAATGATTTTGTTGGTAAAGAACTCGTGTTTCAACCGTGAAGCAGTTGTGTTTGCATGGCTGTGTTTCGGTTTAAAGGGTGGGATATGGCGTGAATTTACAGGGTACAGAGGAATAACACCTGAGTCCTCAGGAATAGCAACGTATGGGGGGGTATCATGGGTGAAACAGTATACTCTGTTATGTCCATGGTACTGCTCATGTGTATAGGCGACGGTTACCACTTTCCATCAGGTGGGCCGTCAGTTTGTTTGCCATTCTAAGTTTTATATAAAAAAAAACGAACTTATTTTTGCTATTTTTGGACTGATTTCAATAATTATTTTTTGCAGTTGATAAAATTTACTTGTTGTTGTTTTATGTTAATTTTGACACGCTAATAATTGCTGTTTCTTTCCGTAGTAAAATTCGATAATTCGACTATTTAAATTTTGTATCTCTATATAGGTTGGTAGTTTAGAGCAAGCACAAAAGATTATGGAAAGGTCGCAGTGTCACAGGTTTTTCTGCCTGAAAAAAGCCCGTCTTTCAATAATATTTTTTTTATTTATATATATATAATTAGAAAGTGAATACAGTCCTTTTTAAATTGTTCTCTTTTAACTTACTTGCCCATCCTGTACTCTTCCCTTTCGTATTTCATTGCCTCGACGAGTTTCTGCACGCCATCTCGCGGCGGTCCGTGGAAATTCGGCCATGTCTCAGCGCTCAGGCACTTGTACCTGTTAATTTTAGAAATTTATTAGTTCATATAACATAATCAATGACATACAGATTTATAAATATATTTTAAATAAGTATACTAGAGTTAAAGAAGTTATAATCGCCATTACTAAAATAATATTTAAAGTTTTGTTTCAATCACTAATTGACTTTGGTTCATACATACATACATATCTGTCACGCCTGTCTCCCATTAGGGTAGGCAGAAACAATGGAACGCCAAATGCTTCGATTCAAACAAACCTCTTTCGCTTCTTCCACATTCATCAATCTTGTCATACACGCTCGCCGGTTACGGGTACTTTTAATTTGGCCCTTCTTCAGCACGTCGCCTATTTGGTCGACATACGTCCGTCTAGGGCGGCCCCTACCGACATCTCCATTCATTCTTGCTCGATAAATCTCTTTCGTAATTCTTCTTTCATCCATCCTCTCCAAATGACCAAACCAACGCAACATTCCTTTTTCAATTTTTGTCACTACATCGTCTTTCAGTCCACACTTCTCTCTAATCACACTGTTTCTTACTCTATCTTTTAAAGTAATACCACACATACTTCTCAAAGCTCTCATCTGTACAGCATATATCTTACTTTCATGCTTCTTCTGCCATACCCACGATTCGCTTCCATACATGAGTGTTGGTGTCAGTACTCCTTGAATTATAGCAAGGCGAGCTTTGCTCGATACATTTTTACTTGACATAATCGAGAGCAGTGCACCGTTAACACTGTTTCCCGCTTTTACTCTCCTCTCAATATCTCTGTCACACTTCCCATCCCTCGTAAACAAAGAACCTAAATATAGAAACTCACTCACTTGCTCCACTTTTTCATCTCCTATCATAATCTGGCATGCCGTTAAACTTTCATTCCTCTCAAAAACCATTACCTTCGTCTTCTTCGCATTTATTTTCATACCTTTTCTTGCATACGCTTCATTCATTATAGTCACCATTTGTTGTAATTCATACTCCGACGATGCAAAAAGCACTTGGTCGTCGGCGTATAAAAGAGTCTTAAACAGAGACTCATTCATCCTGAATCCACAATTAGATCCTTTCAAATCGGTCAAGCAACTGTCCATAAATAGGTTGAACAGCCAAGGAGACGCTACACAGCCCTGTCTAACACCACTGACTGACTTTGGTTCAAACACTTATAAATCATAATAATTGTTAATTAAAATTTAAAATAAAAAATTTGTTAAACTAAAATATTGAGAATAAATTTAAAGTTTTCTTTTACTACATTTCAGATAAGCCGTTGACAAAAAGAATCAATTATAATTCTTTACAGAATCTTATGGCAAAGTTTTCGACTGTTTATTAGAGATAAAAACAATGTAACCTCTCAAGGAATGCCTCATATGTGCGCCTGTAAGCGAAGCCGGCGCGGCGCACGCGCAGGTTTTCCATCAGTCCGAGGTATTTCACTTGGTGAGAAATTAGCTTTTCGTCGAATTGCACTAAAATGAAAATAATACAATAATTTACATTAGCATTTTAAATACTTTGACATTTTTGTATCAATATAATAGCCTATTAAGAGTATTCGAGGGATGGGCAGTAGCGTTCCTCTTAAAACATCACCAAAAGTCTATTGCAGTTGCCAATCCGCCTGCCAAACATGGCAACTATTGAGACCCCCCCCCCCCCCTTATAGGGGAATCTTATATTCCAGCATGCGGCATGCTCATTTGCCCTATTCAGATCCTTTTTTTATCGAGATTAAAAGAAAAAAAAAAGCAACTACATATTTCTTAAATTGGGGCAAACAATACATACTTATAAAATTTCATTAAAATCAGTTGAGCTGTTATGGAGATTAATGTGAAGGGCAGGAATATCGTGACTAGGCATTTTTATAAATTAAGATTTAGTAATCTCTGGTTTAGATTTACTCTAGCACTTTACTCGTTTATTTTTTAAAGCATTTTATTTGTCAAGTATTTAATCTTTAAAAAGTCAATTGTTGATACTCACTTGGCATCTTGGCGTCGTTGGGCTTTATACACCTGATGTAGGAGGGCTCCTTGCTGCTCAGGATCTTGATGAGATCGTTCAGTGAATTTTTGAACTGCGTGATCGCCGTTTCGGGCCGTTTCTTACTTAATAGGTTGTACTCCTAAAATGTTAAGATAAAAATTTTGTTGAGCGTATCCACATGTGACGTATCGACTGTTTTATGTTCAGCACATATTAAATCTTAGTTATGTTTATATCGATATTTCGCTTTATCTCTTTCATTTAATATTCCTATTAATTAATCTTATTCCAACAATGTTAAAAATATTGACAATCCAATAGACTCAAGTCATTTGCATAGTTTTGTTTCACTCTTGTAGTTGTCATAGTTTTATTTCATTCTTGTTTCTATCGCCAAACGATTACTTGCATTGTTGAATTATTCGAAGAGTGCGATAGGAAACATGTCTATTATTGCTCTTTACTATATACTTTCAAACTGAACAGCCAAATTAAGTTTTTGATTTTAAACCAAAGTTTAAATTATATTAAGTAATTTAATTTAATTTTTTTTTTAAATCAAATGACCAATTTTCAACCAAGATTGCGAATAAAACACGTATTGTAGGGTCTACAATGTACTTTATCAATTATTAACATCTTTCATAATAATATTGTAGAATGCATTAAATAAATTTAATTTAATTTCATATTTACTTGCATACACCCCCTTAAGAAGACTTCCGGATGAAATCGAATTCATTGTCATAAACAACAAACACAGTAAGTTCGTTAAATTTCACGTTGTGCACGCATATAGTTATTGTATTAAAAAAATAAAAAATGTACGTAAATTTATGAAAATAATACTGCGAAAAACCTACCCAATCTGGCAACACTGGATGGAAAAATAGGTTTACACATTATTACTGACCTTGAAGCAGTTAGCCACGATGCTGTTGCCGCTGGAGGCCATCAGGGTCTGAATATCCCTGAACAGCAGGTCGTTGTTCTTCTCAAGGAAGGTGTTCACATTATATGTGACCTCGCCGGCGTAGTGCTTCAGGCAAAACTCCTGGTAGATGGAATGGAGAAATGATCGAGAGTCATCAAGCTGTTTGTCATTTTTATAGTAAGTACAGAATAAGTAAGTTAAAGGAGGGCAATTAAGTCTATAATTATATGAATTTGTAAACAACGTGAAATTTTAACATTCATTATGATATGAATCTTTTTTTTTTATACAACTTAGAATGGCAAGCAAGCTGACGGCCCACCTGATGAAAAGCGGTAAGCGTCGCCTATAGACATGAGCAGTACCATGGACATAACAAAGTATACTTTTTCGCTCACGATACCCCCCATGCGTTGCCATTCCTGAGGACTCAGGTGTTATTCCTCTGTACCCAGTAAATCCACGTCATATCCCACCCTTCAAACCGAAACACAGCCATGCAAACACAACTGCTTCATGGTTGAAACACGAATGGGACAGAGGTATCCAAGCAATCGACTTTTGTACAAAGTCTCCCTCTGGTGAAATCTGATCATTAAATCTTTAATTCTTCAAGCACAGAGGTCATACGTAAATTTATTTCCATGTAAAAAACATAGAACTTTCAATAATTTTGTATATTTAAAAAAAAATTACTTGGGTATTTATATAATGTAATAGTTTAAAATGGTTGCCAAAATTCTTATTTCAGTATTAACAAATTTAGATAATCAGCTGTTAACAAAGATTTTTGTTATAGAACTTTTGTTAACCTTTTTTTATATAATATTGTAAACAACTCACATCTCGCCCCATGATTTTCTGGGTCCTAGTGTCAGCCTTCCTGTGGGATTTGTAATGGGGGTGCTGATCCAGATGCTGGGTCAAGCGCTCCAGTAAACTGCTGTCGGTCGCATCTCCCGGCCTGAGGCATTCGTCATCAAGGATCGCAATTATACCTGGGAAGAATTTAACTTCATCATCATTTTGTCTCTTTTAGGTTAAGTTTTGTAGGGCAATAGATTTTTTGACTAATCACTACATACGAGTCTGTCTGGATACCTTTTTAATGTCCATTGCAGAAAAAAAAACATAGCTGTCAAATTTACTTTCTTAATCATTTTTCCTTTAATTTTGAACATGAATCACCTTGATTTATATCACCAATAAAAAAAATCATGCAAAGAAGGGTTAAATCTTTAAAACTACGCAACGGATTTTGAAACGGTTTTTTTTAATAGATAGTGGGTCAAGAGGAAGGTTTATATGTATAATAGATTCATAATATTGTAAAGAAACATTGATAATTTTAAAGGTTTCTAATGGGTCGGCTGTTCGGCGCTATTTAGTATCAGCATTGCACCCGTGCGAAGCCGGGGCGGGTCGCTAGTTTTATATAATACTGAGAATTTCCCAAGAGACTACAGCATGGGGTTCTTTAAAAGGGGGGTAAAGAGGTTTTTTCAGGGTCGGCTACGCACGCATAATACCTCTGGTATTGCAGGTGTTCATAGGCTACGGTAACCACTTACCATCAGGTGGGCCGTATGCTTGTTTGCCACCTCAGTGATATAAAAAAAAAAGAATAGCAAACAAATAAGTAAGATTTTTGTGTTAGTCGCCTGAACGTAGTTACATCTATCTTCAGTAGTACTTACAACTGATTGGAAAACATGATTTTATCCTCCATTACAGTTCAATTATTTTAGTATTACGAAGGTGGCAAACGAGCACATAGCCCGTCTGATGGTAAACGGTCACTGTAGTCTATGGACGCCTGCAACACTAAGGTCATGTTGCCGACCTTGAAGAAACCTTAATATACCCTTTTTGAAGAATCCCATACTGTAGTCTCAAGGAAAAGCCTCGGCAGGGAGCTCATTCCACAGCTTGAGGGTTCACAGGGAGAAAATTTCTTTGAAACCGCATTATACTTATATATTATTTCCTTAAATACTTTCAAATACTCTAAGTTATTATGTGACATATATATACATCAAAGAACAGACTATTTGGTACAGTCAAATGCAGTGTAAGATTTATTACAGGAAATTGATGGATGAAGATGACTCGGCAATGTTTCCTTGACAGTCTGTGGGCACGGCTCAAATAGTAAAGTAGACATCAAACCTTTGTGTTTGGCTTCAATCAGGTCGCAAATGATGATGTTGTTGAAATACTCGACCGGCTCCCATGTGATGCCCTCGCGGAGGTACTCCTCCTGCTCCGACTTGAGGGTCAGCTGGATGAACAGTTGCTGGAGTTTCTCGTTGCAGAAGTTGATGCAGAACTGTTCAAAACTTGTAAAGGAAGGATGGAATTGATTTTCTGCCGATCTTGATTATATATTATTTCTCAACGAATATTTTTTTCGATTGCTTAGGTACCTCTGTCCCATTGGTGTTTCAACCGTGAAGCAGTTGTGTTTGCATGGCTGTGTTTCGCATGGCAGAGATATGGCATGAATTTATAGGGCACAGAGGAATAACACCTGAGTCCTCAGGAATGGCAACGCATGGGGGGTATCATGGGCGAAACAGTATACTCTGTTATGTCCATGGTACTGCTCATGTCTATAGGCGACAGTTACCACTTTCCATGGCCGTCAGCTTGTTTGCCATTCTAAGTTGTATAAAAAAAAGATAAGCTGTTTACGTAATAGTAAGCTATAACTACAGGCGTAATATTAAAGGCCAAAGCCATGCCAACGTTTGTGGCATGAAGATTTTAAGTCTTAATATCCAGTAACTTTCATCTTGAATAACTGATAATCAATATTCTAAACAGTATTTTTTATCTTACTAATATAATAAAATTGTAAATAGACGATGCCCGTATATGGGAGTCTTTTAAGGAAACTTGATAAGAGGGGTCTCAATAAAAAAAGAAAGTAAAATTTTATTTAAACTTCTCAATAGAAGTTTAAATATTATTTTTTTGAAATATTGTCTATCTGTTTGTCTGTAGGTATATTTGTTCCAGTATCACGTTAAAATAACTGTTCCAGATTAGATACGGTTTTAGTTGAGCGTTATGTTTACATAGTGTTTTCTTTTTTTATACAACTTAGAATGGCAAGCAAGCTGCCGACCTACCTGATGGAAAGTGGTAACCGTCGCCTATAGACATGAGCAGTACCATGGACATAACAGAGTATACTGTTTCGCCCATGATACCCCCCCATGCGTTGCCATTCCTGAGGATTCAGATGTTATTCCTCTGTACCCTGTAAATTCACGCCATAACCCACCCTTCAAACCGAAACACAGCTGTGCAAACACAACTGCTTCACGGTTGAAACACGAATGCGACAGAGGTACCCAAGCAATCGACTTTTGTACAAAGTCTCCCTCTGGTATACAGTATACAGTATTTATACACTATTAATAAATTCTGTATCTCACCTATTTTTGGGGAAGATCTCAAAACCATAGATATCCAGAATGCCGATGACAGACGACATGGCAATTTTATCCTTAGGCTCCAGAGAGGCATTCAGTCTCGCCACCAGCCAGTTGAAGTGTTTGCCGTAGATGGCTTTGGCTAGTGCATCCCTGGCGTATTGCGATTGCTCCACATCCAATGGAGTATTGACGACGTCATGACTCGCTTCGATGGTACGGCTGGTCAGCACTTCACGGAGTTTCGTCGCATCCACTTTGAGAAGCTGTTGAGGAATGGGCATTTAATGTTATAATAAGATACCGAAGGATCTTTTGGATCTATCTTTTAATATGTTTAAAACTAAACATTTACTCGGAGGACAAATGTGCATGGTGTTAGTCGATCATGTACGGGCTTCTTAACGATATGATATATTTAAATAAATACACATAATGTTAACAGAGACCAGTATAGTATTATATTATCTGTGACAGAGATTTAAAAATAGTAACTGATGAGTTTCTTGCGGGCTCTTCTCAACAGATAACAACTTTTTGAACATTCATAAAAAAATGGTGATTTAAAAGTGCTTGTAAACAAGTATATTTCAATAAAAGTGATATTCTTTTGGTATACTCTGGCGGAGCACCAGTGAGAAATTCTGAATTTGACAGGTTCGTTAAAAGGTTATTTTTATATGGTTTTTAACTTCACTTACGTATGGGTTAAATCTTGCAAAACTACTCAAATTTTGTATACATAATATAAAATTCAATGATATTACAATATTGCTCAAGTCTGATTTGGTTATTATAGTTAATATTGAGACTCTGAGATTACTTGTTGTATTATTTAGACAAAAAATAGGTTTACAAAATTATAGAGATCAGAATTAATGTTTAGTATATTTATATTTATAGTATTCTATCAATATATAAATTTAAAAAATGTCGTTAAATTCCATCTATACATCTGTATTGATGCCACGTACACGTTTATTTGTTTAAAAACTAGGCTATTTGACGAAATCTAAAAATTTCGATACATTTTTGCAAAAATATTGAAAAGATATAAATATTTGAAAGTCAAGTGATCTGTTAAACATAAAAATAACAGACAAATCGCTTTTGATAATAGTTTTTAATATAGTCATTGTCATATACAATTGTTACTCACAAATGGAGCATTAAGCGAATATCAAGTTGATAAAAATAAAACATTAACAAAAATATTATTTGAAAGGAAATTACACCATATCCGAACTTCATCGCGTACGATAAGTGATGAGCACATTGTATTTTAATATAATATAAATAGAATATATATATATATATATATATATACACACACATTTTTATTCGGTAGAGCAAGTCAGACAATAGCGTTCATAAGTAGAGTGCTAGGCATATTTACATAAACATTCTAAAACAATGGACCTAGTTACGCGACTTGCGGTACAACCACCTCAATCAATAGTCATTGAAGCGAATGAATGTATTGATAATGAAGATCATGATACTCACGAAGATAATAGAAATTGTTATCACTTTTCCAAATTAATCAATATTAGGTAAAAGAACGGAATAATGAAATTTGTTTGAAGCTACTTTTAAAAGAAGTAAATATTAAATTCGTTTAAATATAGTTTTTTATAGTTGTATATAGTCATAAACTATAAAACGTAACTATAAAAAAGTTTGCCGTGTGGTTCTGCTATAGAATGAGCCACTCCTTTCTTTCCTTTGGTTATCGTAAGAGGCGACTCATCATCATCATCATCTTCCTGCCCTTATCCCAATTATTATTTGGGGTCGACGTAATATGTTTTTATCCATATTACTTAAGGATTTGGTTTATAGTTTTACGACCGGCCGCCTGCCTGACGTAAAAGGCGACTAAGGGAATTTAATCGTTGAAGGATGAGCAGCAGCGTCCTTCTTAAAACATTACCAAAGCCTGCGGTTGCCAACCAGACTACCAAGCGTGGCAACCACTAGCAAAACTTCCCCTCTATATTCATTTTTTTTATCTTTATTTGGTCTCCCAGCTATTGTTACATTGATAAGATTTAATATTAAAATTACTGTCTATTTATTCTTAGTGCACAATCATTTTAAAGAATTAGTGGATAGTTAACAGCTGACATGATGATGATGAAAAAACAGATCAGTTAGCCCACTGTGATGAAAACACCTAGAATTCAGCAAGATGGTTTCCAGGGGGACCACGTGGAGACCTACCTGACAGGGTATATTACTGCCAATGGGACTGGAAGTCCGCATTACTAAAAATCCCTTCTTTTACCTACGTACGTTTTAGTACGGTTGGAGTGTAAAAGAAGCAAATGAGATTTAAATAATAAGTTTATATATAACAATAATCTGTTGTATGTGTGCTGTTAAGTATGTGTATGTTATGTATATATTTAATTGTGTATATATTATATATGTATGTGTATGTATGTATATATGTTTGTATATAATAATATTTATATAATAGTGCGCCACCTACCCTTTGTCTTTTTCTCAATGTCCTCTACCCAAAGGTTGTCTGGAAGAGATTGCTTAGCGATAAGGCCGCCTTTTGTACCACTTCTCATTAATATTTACTGTATTTGTTATTTCTCTTTTTACTTGGTGCAATAAAGTGTAAATAAATAAATAAATAAATAAATAACTTATTATACTTACTTCAGCTACATTTTCTGTATTGGGATCGTGATTCAAAATCTCAGCATATCCCTCATTGTTTTTCACAAACTTGATGTTCCCGAGATGTAGGACTGTGGCTACGATAGCAAAGATCTCGCCTTGCTCCGCTTCACCAATTTCAATGACCTTCATAGCTTCCTGCACTATCCGGAACTGCTCTGCGTCATGGTTCTTCTGGCTAACGGGACTTGTCTATAATGAATTAAAAGTATTTTAATATTTGGGTTTTAGTATTTTGATTTCGGTTTTTCGGAAGTAAGATTAAGTAGAAGGGATTTCATGGAAATGTTGTAGTCTAGGTGGTTTTGGAATAACTTTCAGGTAATGATAGCTACCTAATAAATTTTGTGATAATAATATGATAGAACTTTGCTATTGTAAAATATCATATATATTATGAATAATTGTTTGAGGAAGAAGACAAAAGAATCAAGAAACGTTAAAATTCGAAAATAATTTTAGAACTTTTTAAAATTTTTGCTACTTTTAACTTTTTTTAATGGGCAAATGATTTCGTTTTGACCGTGGCTTGGCTTCTTCAAGAAAAATATTTTGATATACAAATATGATCCTTGGGGAACATTTCTCAATTTTTTAAGTTCTATTTGATTTGCTATCAGTTTTTTTATGTCAATATTTTTTATTATATCACTTTGAATTTTGGATTTCAAATTTGTATATTAACTCTACAGGTATGTACAGTAAAGAGATAGTACTTACAATATCAGTGGTATATTTGTAAGCGTCTGGCCTATTTTGCAGCCTTAGTCGGCTCATCAAAGCAGCATCACCGCCTGCTAGAAGCTGGTAGAATATGTGGAAGTTCCTCTCTCCATCCATATGGCTCACGACTCTTGACTTTTCCAGTAGATAGTTTAGGATATGCCCTCCTTCTGGTCCACCTTCATAATTAAACTGGATGTCCATATATTTGCCGAAACGACTGGAGTTGTCATTCCTGTGTGTTTTGGCGTTGCCGAAGGCTTCCAATAGTGGGTTGCTTTGGAGAAGTTTGTCTTTAACTGTCTCGACATTTTGCAAATGGTTGGTGCGAGCCGCTATGTATTCGAGGATCTTTTTGGATGCCTCTGTCTTGCCGGAACCTGATTCACCTGTTAAATATCATTTTATATGAAGTTTGACAACCTTTGTAGTAAAATGTAATATTCAAAGAAAGGAGTTCTAGTGTTCAACAATATATATACATATCTTTATATCAGCCTTTAACTAACCACTGCTGAATATATGTTGAACATATATCTCTCTTGGAAGGGTTTTGCTAGTAGTTGTCACGCTTGGTAGGTGGATTGGCAACCGCAATTAAACTTTAGAGATGTTTTGAGAGGGACGCTGCTGCCCATCCCTCACCTTCCCTTAGTCGCCTCTTGCGGCATTGAATAATCCACTTCTTCCTTTCCCGTTGGTTTCGTAAGAGGTGACTAAAGGAACTTAAACATCACCGACAACCTAACTGCGGTTGCCAATCCGCTTGTCAAGCGTGGCAACTTTTTTTTATATATTACTTAGAAAGGCAAACAAGCTGACGGCGCATCTGATGGAAAGTGGTAACCGTCGCCTATAGACATGAGCAGTACCATGGACATAACAAAGTATACTGTTTCGCCCATGATACCCCCAATGCGTTGCCATTCCTGAGGACTCAGGTATTATTTGGATTGGAAAAACTCCTCTTAAGGAGGAGGCCTATATTCAGCAGTTTATAGTTGACAGCTGATGTAACGATTTAAGAATAGAGTTTTTTAGTTCTCGGTTCTTCTGGTTCTGCCCGTAAAGGACTGAACATAGAAATCGTTATCCTAATCTTAATCGCAAGTGAGGGAGACATTGTAAAAAGTCGATTGCTTGGTTACCTCTGTCCCATTCGTATTTCAACCGTGAAGCAGTTGTGTTTGCATGGCTGTTTCGGTTTGAAGGGTGGGATATGGCGTGAATTTACTGGGTACAGAGGAAGAACACCTGAGGCTTCAGGAATGGCAACGCATGGGGGGTACCATGGGCGAAACAGTATACTCCGTTATGTCCATGGTACTGCTCATATTTAAAGGCGACGGTTACCGTTTTCCATCAGGTGGGCCGTCAGCTTGTTTGCCATTCTAAGTTGTATAAAAAAATTCACCACGATGGGTCAACTGATTTCACTATATCATCACTTACTGGTACCTCGCCAGGGTATACAAATAGTCCAAGCGGTGTTACCATTTCATTATAGTCCATTAAAAAAAATATACAATATTTTGTACCACATGTTATTGGTCTATGAAGTTTAAATAAATAAATGTTATCATCTTACCCGAGATTAATATACATTGCTCTCTGTGTTCATATACAAGCGATCTGTACGCGTTGTCTGCAATTGCGAATCTGAAAAAGAGAAATGTAATAGAATGGGATTTATTTACTTAAATACACGGAAAAGAATCATACATAAATCAGCAGCTGATCAGACAATAAATGAGGAAGAAAGATCCGCAATTGGCGACACTCTTAGAATGGCAAACAAGCTACTGAGCCTTCTAATTGAAAGTGGTAACCTTTTTTTTAATGGATGATAATAGAATAGTAACCGCGCCTGCGCTATCGGTATACGCTGGCGGGGCACCAGTAAGGGATGACAGGTGATGATAAAAATGTCAGGTCAGTTAGCCTATCGTGACGAATTCCATAAGAATTAAGCACGACGGTTTCCAGAAAGTACCACGTGGAGGTCAACCTGATAGGGTGTATGAAAATGATAACTGACGCCTATAGACTCGAACAGCACCATAGACATTACATTATAATGCAGATGTCTATGGTACTGTCTGTAATTTCACTGCCATAACCCACCCATTCGTATGCTCCCGGCATAGTATAAGCCACTCCTTCCTTTCCCGTAGGTGTCGTCAAAGGCAACTTAATGGTAAGGCTGGTATGGTGATAATGATCCTACCCATCAAAACAAACAGCCAAGCAATCACAACTGTTTCACAAGAGAAACTCGAGTGGAATCGACGGGTTCCAAACTCATCAATGTTTTCAATCTAAAGTGGTAACTGCTGTTACAGCATGATATAAGCATTACAGACTATTAGGGCTGTTTATCAAGTGGCAGGTATAATGTCGCTCCTAATGACTATATTATCGACTGATAACTAATTGATAATGTCCGATAATGATAAGAGGAGGATATGTGACAACCTTATTTGACTTACTGCAATATACTTTTTTTATTTATTTATTCTTTATTAACCACATTACAAAAAAAATGTCTGGCAAAAATACTATATAGCATTCTCTCCCAGTCAACCTTTGGCTAAACAGAAATTTTAATATGCGGCGAAAAAAATTACAACACATACAATAGAGATTATATAAATATACATACATGAATATATTAAACAAATATTACATAAATATACAAATATGTAATAAAAATACATACATACAAATCTAAATATACATATATAAATATACCTACATACTTATAGATTATATACGATAAAACAAATAAAAAACGATAGGGATCAAAAGTTTCTTTCTACATATTTATTTAATACTGGCTTTCTGCCCGCTACTTCGTTACGCTTGGATTACAGAAATAGGAAAATCAATTAAATAGACTTCTAGATGGAATATCAAGGTATGACATACAACAGATTTTAAGTTAGATCTTCAGGAATCATATTTAAATTTTTTTTTATTGGATGAAAATGGAGTGGTAACCCCGCCTGCGCTAACGGGATACGCTGGCGGGGCACCAGTGAAGGGTTATAGATGAGAATGAAAACAGGCCTGTTAGCCCATCATGATGAATTCATCAGGAGTTAATCATGTTGTTTCCAGGGGGAACCGCGAGGAGGTCGACCTGGTTGGGTATATTGTTAGCAATGGGATTCTTAGTCTCCATTACTAACAATCCCTTTTCCCCCTATTCAATATATTAGCCATTTACTGTTCACTGCTCAACATAGGCCTTCCCCAAAACGGGGAAGTTGCCAGTAGTTGACACGCTTGGCAGGCAGATTGGCAACTACAGTTAGATTTGGTGATGTTTTAAGACGAACGTTACTGCCCATCCCTCGACTATTAAGTTCCCTTAATCGTTTCTTACAACACACACGGGAAAGTAAGGGGTGGCTCATTGTATACCCGGACCACACAGACGATAGAACTTCAGAAATACAATTATAAAACTGCATCCAATTTGGTCCAATTAATTTTTGCGTTATTTCGGTATTAACATATAGAAAAATAGACAAAATTTCAAAAAATTGTTTCGCCATCTTCTTGCCTTAAGTCCCGTCATATTCATTACTAGCGACCGGTCCCGGCGTCGCACGGGTGGACATTTTTACATATTAAAAAGTGGCCATTAAGGCTGCACACGCGTTAGAAGTTTAAAAATGGAGTAACTTCTCCCGTTTTCCCAACATTTCCCTTTACTGCTCTGCTCCTATTGATCGTAGCGTGATGAAAAGTATACTATAACCTGCCCAGGAGTATGAAGAATAATTGTACCAAGTTTCGTTAAAATCTGTCAAGTAGTTTTTGTTTCTATAACGAACATACAGACAGACAGACAAAAATTTTACTGATTGCATTTCTGGCATCAGTATCGATCACTAATCACTCCCTGATAGTTATTTTGGAAATATATTTCATGTACAGAATTGACCTCTCTACAGATTTATTATAAGTATAGATTATTAATTTAATTACTGTATTACGCTAGAAAGATTAAACATTCTCCCACTATTCTTCTGGTATACCACGATGGTGGCAAACAAGCATACAGTTCGTCTGATGGTAAACGGTCACTGTAGCCTATGAACGTCTGCAACACTAGAGGTGTCACGTGCGCGTTGCCGATTCTGAAGAAACCTTAAATACCCTATGTGAAAAGCCCCATACTTTAGTATCTAGGAACCCCTCAGTTCATTCCATAGCCTGAGGGTTCGCGGGAGAAAATTCCTTTGGAATCATACTGTACGTGAGTATTTAAATTTAAATTCAAGCGTGTGTGGATGAATTCCCTGTCGATGTACGCCATCTAGTCTGTTTAATTAGAACTTAATGTAGTGGTAACTAGGTTTTATTGAAATTATCACAGAAATAATCACTTAAGGAAATTAGTAACAAATACAAATATAAATAAAATAAAATAAATTAAAAAAAGCCTTTTATTTCCCATTATAAAGAAATAAAAAAAAAATATATTACATGCAATTTCATTCAATAACAATTTTTTTCTTAATAAAATAAATTTTTAAAAAATATTCAATCGATTACATAAATTATTCATTTTTTTATATATATTATTATTATTATTATATCTTTTCCTAAATCCTTTTGTAAATACAAATATACAATCAGTTAATTGATTTTTAATTTGTACCATTATTGGGCATCAGTAAACCGACTTAAAATCGAGGCTAATTATATTCCTTTGTTTAAAATATCATAAAATTTTATCGATACAAATTATACATACTTTAGGTAACTAAAATTTTAAAAGTAACTTTAAAATTAGCACCACGTTACTCTAAACAATTGGCGGACGAACCTACACAATTGTCGATAGATACGTTTGCGCTGCTGTATGCATGAGATAGCACAAGATTCCAATATCTGGCCTCTTGTACTTTTTCATTTGCATAGTAAAATTCCTATAAACTATAATATATAAGTTTCCTATGACATTGTCAGCGTGAATCAGTACATAAAACATCTTAAATGTTAAAATAGGGTTTAACCTATCCATGTACCAAATCATTCAAAACCATTCAAAAACATCAAATATATGTAATTCTTTTTGTTTATAACAACAGTAGGTATACAAAAAACTAGAATGTCTAAAAACTATACTTATAATAAATTCAAATATATATCAAATTAACTATCACGCTGTTGCGTTTATAGAAACAAAAAACACGGATTTTAACGAAACTTGGTACAATTATATTATCGTACAATCAAATTTACATCAAAAATGAGGAAGGCCTCGCGGGTCTTTGCAGTACACATTTTTTTTCATTTATATTAGTTTTTAATTGGCCACTATTCAACATATGCTATGTGCCTCTCTTTTGATGTGTTTTGCTAATAGTTGCCACGCTTGACAGGTGAATTGGCAACTACAGTTAGGCTTTTGAGATGTTTTAAGAGGGACGCTGCTGACCAACATATATACTCGTGCTTATTACTAAATTATATATATATTAGTACATATATACTTGTATTTACAAAACTACGGAACACGAATACGGTATTTACAGGGGGGAAAGGGATTGTTAGTAATAAAGACTAAAAATCCCATAAAAATATACCCAATCACGTCGACCTCCTCGCAGTTCCCGTGGAAACTATCAAAATATTCCTGATGAATTCATCATGATGGGCTAACTGGCCTGTTTTCATTATCATCCATTACCCTTTACTGGTGCTCCGCCAGCGTATCCTGTTAGCGCAGGCGAGGTTACCATACCATTTTTACCCATAAAAAAAAATACGGTACTTACACGTGTGGTGGTGCCTCGAAAAACGCTTTCTTGTAGTACTGCTGGATCTTCTCCTCTGTGTAAATTGGCAGGTTCTTGTATGGGTTTACGGAGATCAACACATTGCCGATGTATGTCTGAAGGACAACGAGTAATATATTAATATGTTATAGTAGTTCTTCAAACTAAAATATTGTAATAAAAACTACAGGTGTTGTTAAAAAAAGGGACAAAGAGGTTTCTTCAGGGTCGGTACCACGTGACACCACGGTATATATATATATATATATATATATATATATATATATATATATATATATATATATATATATATATATATATATATATATATATATTGCACTTGAACAATAGATACAGCTATTAGTTTAACAACTTGTTAACTTAGGGAGGGCTTATTTCTAAAAGAGATTTCTTCCAGCCAATTAGCCAGATATCTTTCAAAATAAAATAAACAATAAATAAAATATATGATGAAACACCCAAAATATGTTTGCCGGACAACACTTCAGCTCCACGTTAAGTTAGCACTTACAATTGTGCTGACCTTACTTATGATTTTAGTATATCTAAACTACGCTCTACCACTTGTAAATGTATAATAAAGTTTTTTTTTTTATTACAAAATCCGTCGCCACATTTATTTCACGTATAATGCCCGTGGTATTGCAGGCGTTCATAAGCTACGGTAAATGCTTAACATCAGGTGGGCCATATGCTTGTTTACCACCTTAGTGGTATGTAAAAAAACAAGGATTTTGTAGAATCTATCACTGATAGATATGATAATAGAACTAATCACAGACTTACATAAATAATGTTCTCCCTGAACCGCTTCCTGAGGTTGTCTATGAAGGCAGCCTCGGAGCGGTAGTCCTCGAGCAAGATGAAGTCCTGAACGCCGACGCGCTCCCGGTGCTGGAGTGCGTGCTCCATGTGGCCCTGGATGGAAAACGGACGTTGGAGCCTGCAACGAAACATGCATCTGGTTAATGCCATATCTCCCGTGACAATTGTATGTTTTTGTTTCCATAAAATTGGCTTATTAATCTATATTTACATATCGCATGGGGGTATCATGGGTGAAACAGTATATTCAGTTATGTCCATGGTACTGCTCATGTATATAGGCGACGGTTACCACTTTCCATCAGGTGGGCCGTCAGCTTGTTTGCCATACTAAGTTGTATAAAAAAATAAATAAAAAAAAAAAAAAAAATAAAAAAAAAACACTGTGTCTTGGTAATCCCTTATGGATTCCCGCGATACGGGTTCGCCTAGTGTGGGGTCCAATGTATTCACATTGTAAATTTTATGTGTAAATATAAATAAATAAACAATATATAAAAATAATAGATTTAAATACATATATATTTATATATGTTTAATTATCACACATCTAATAATAAATTAAAAATTGTGTCTCACAAACAAAACCGACTTCAGTTGTGATAAAACTACTGAATTACTTAAAAACTAATTTAAAATTTTAACTACTAAACTAATTTTAATAAATATTTCTTTAGGATCAATCTGTAAGTATTTAATTACAAATAAAAAAAGAATTTTGAAAAGACAGTAATAAAAATAAAACAAGCGTTACTTATAATTATTTAGCTAGATACAAAATAAAAATCCGTTAATTTAAAATAATTCATTCATTGAATACATACTATCTACTAATGTTATACATTATTATATGAAGTAAGTAAAACTAGGCACTCGTAATGTGAATTGGTGTAAAAGCTTACCGCAAACTCTCTATTCTAAACAGCAAAACTCTCTCATTTCCGTAACCCATTGTGACTTACACTTATACATGTAATGTTATTAAGAAACTCACGTCGACTAAATGTACATTCTCACAAAATATCACGGCATTAACTTTTATAAGCGCATAAACAAATACATTAGGTTAATGATAATTAGTATCCTGGGAAAATAAACAAAGCGCACAAATAGAAATGGCAGTTATTTACAAATTTGTTTGTAGTTATTATTATTATTATTGTAATAGTTTATTGCTAATTATAAACTACAATGTTTATATTTTTATTTTTTAATTTAAACTTTTATTTTTGTTCAACGATAATAATTGCCAGTGTCCGGAATAAAATTTGTTTTAAATTTCGAACGATATTTTTTATTTACAGCCAGCATAGTATTATAATATTATCTACGACAATACTAAAAGAACCATTCTAAAAACAATTTTGGTGTATGATGAGGTGTATATGTATATTATTTAAATTAATATAATAAAAAGAAAAGCTAATTATCAGCGAGTAACATGGGCTATATCAACACGTTTGTCACCGTCACAATTGACATTGTTGATCTTTTTTATGGAGCAATTCAAATTTCTATTAGTCCCTACACAGAATTCTAAATTTGAATTTGTCATTCGATTTTGCATTTTAATTCCAAATTTAAATATTTTCAATTCACGTGTCTATGAATCATCTCGTTGTCCACTGGCGGTGATGAGATTACTGGACAATATTATTATGGTCACGAATTCACGATTGAAGTAGAGGTTTTTTTTTGCAAAGCAAAATCTACTTGTTATTATTAATGTCGTCCTTCCGTGGTAGTGGCGTGGTACTTAAGAAAATTAATGTATTCTAGTACGGTTGTCCATTAATAGCTACCGGAACGGATATCCGTCGATGTCGATTCTTTGGATGGCTAAGTGATTGATGCTAGTATGCCATATTTAAACCATAGACAATTCTTGTGTAAAGAAGTTCATTGCTTAAATGTTAAAACAGCTAGACGGTTTTTTATGAAATTTGGTACACGGGTAGATTATATCCTAATTTAACAAACAATGATATGTACTTTATATACAGGTATACGCGAGTAAAGCCATGGAATGCAACTAGTTATTCATAAACAAACTAAGACCGTAGCACGAGCGGTATTTAGTCCCTCTGCGGCTGCTAAATTGGTAAGCGTTTGATATTTGTGGATATAATGTCAACTTCGCTAAATATCACAGTATATGTCGCGAGATTTCCCACAATGACAACAGGGAATTGTCATACAGGAGGGCTTCATTTGTAAAACGCCTTGCAACCTGTTTTCAGGGTTCAGTAATAAAAATATTTGTTTTTATGCAACTTAGAATAGCAAACAAGCTGACGGCCCACCTGATGGAATGTGGTAACCGTCGCCTATAGACATGAGCAGTACCATGGACATAACAGAGTATACTGTTTCGCCCATGATACCCCCCATGCGTTGTTATTCCAGAGGACTCAGGTTTTATTCCTCTGTACCCTGTAAATTCACTGCGATATCCCACCCTTCAAACCGAAACACAGCCATGCAAACACAAGATAAAAGGAATCCTTATGGTGCGACTTTACTCGTCTGCCCGTCTGTCACAGCGCTATATCTCAGCTGCTACTAATGCTATCGATTTAAAATTTGCTACTATTTTATATATTATTGCTCTGCACAAATTACAATGGAAATAATCGTAAAATGTTTTGTTTTTTTGCTAAGGAGTCCAAAAATGGGTATTCAAAGTTTCAAAAATGAAGCTAATATTCCAAGTGGGATATCATATTGTTGTATCAGCCGTTAATTGTCCATTGCTGAACATAGCCTCTCCCATAAGGGGGGTCTTGCCGGTAGTTGCCACGTTTGGCAGGCGGGTTGGCAACCGCAGTTTGGCTTTTGATGTTTTAAAAGGGACACTGCTTTTCATCCTTCTACTATAAACTCCCTTAATCACCTCTTACGACATCTACGGGAAAGGAAGGGGTAGCCTATTTTATGCCGGGAGATACACAACTTGGGATATTATATGAAAAAACTATATTTGTACATTTTAAAACAAATTTTTATTTATTAAAAAAACATTTTCACATTTACTGTCGTCTTATTCAAATTGAGTCACATTTAATTGACATATTATACGTTTTTTTAAAACGCCCCTTTTTCAATGTTGCAAGTAATTTAATTAAAAATTACCCAGATCAGCAGGTTAACTCTTGCATTTAATATCGATATCAATCTAATTTTATATTTAATGACAATTTTGTACTTCACTCACGAAATAACCATTAGGATTGAAGGTAAAATTTGGATCAGTTTGCAATACTTTGCATTAGCAAGTTGCACTAATATGAATCTATCAGAACAGTATGTAACCATTATGCTGCCAGTATTGCAAGTCGAGAGCATGAAACGTTTTAATTCCAATATCGATCTATTGGAATTTATCTCAAAAGTAACTCCACAGGTCGAAAAATTAAAATTGAATTGGAAACTGTTTTTTCTGATATAATATAAATAAAAACGGCGCTGGTAGGAGAGGAGGCCAGCGACAATAATAAAATAATATTAAGAGAGGCTTAGCAATATATTTTCCTAAGACAATCACAATATAACCATAGTAAGTCAATCAAATAGAAAAAAAAAAATAGATATCAAAAAGACATATTCATAATATAAAAATATAATTCTAAAAAGGTAAATTATATAAAAAGAGGTCTGTCGCCAACAATAGATATTCATATGTATGCATTGCTTACAAATTAATTTACATGCATTATTTAAAAAGCCGGCCATTTTAAATTACTTCAAAATGAAAATTTATTTTACGTTCATACTTGGATATCAAAGTAATTACACAAAGATAAACATCATTAGAAATATTTAAACAATATTATCTTGTTTTTCCAAATATATTTTTAAATTTTTTTTCTATTTATATTCTTAATAATTATTTATCATTTTTATTTTTCTAAATTATCGTATAATTAAATGTAATTTCTCCCATATTTTGAGTAATAAATATATGTCATGGTAACACTCTTCACGCACACATAAATAAAAAAGTTGACCTATTTTTGGCGAAGCATTTGTATTGAGACACTATAGGTATAATCTACTACGAACACATGACATTCCTGCTAAAGTGACTGTTTACTCGCATCACGTGTATACCGTTTATCAGACGGGCTATAACATATTCCTATTCGCCACCTTAGTTGCATCAAAACAACATACTAAGCGTATTAAGTATTGCATAAATTTTTAAATAAAACAAATCATGACAATTCATGACAACACAGGGGGTCTACCATGAAATGAAATTCTGAATTTTCGGGCTTAATTTCGTGTTTTTGTTCGTACCAATATCGACCCTATAAATGAGCTTAACATTTCATTTATCATAAATCCTACCATAAATGTCGAAAGGAACGATACTTTAGCATTTTTAATATTCTTAAACGGTATGTATTAAGTAATTTTAACATCAAATTTTTGTATCGTTCGGATCCGAAATAGCGGAAAACATTTCATGGTAGGCCCTCTGACTGATTTCAACTACTCTTTATATATAAATGTAATTTTTTTTTTCTATATTTTATTTTTTATTTTCATGTTGTTATTACTTGTAATGTAAGTATATGTAAGTGTTATGGATTATTGAAATAAATTTTCATTCATTCATTAATTTATTTATTTATCTTTATATTTTTAAATATTTAGAACAGTTTAAATTTAGTACTGATATTAAGTTAAATAGTTTTTTTTACATGGATGGTAATGGAATGGTTGCTTCACCTGCGTTAACGGTATAGGCTAGCGGGGCACCAGTGAAGGATAATGAAGAAAGACAAAAGCAGGTCCGTTTTTTTTCTATGGATGATAATGGAATAGTAACCCCGCCTGCGCTATCGGTATACACCGGCGGGGCACCAGTAAGGGAGGATAAATGAAAATGAAAGAGCAGGTCAGTTAGCCCATCGTGATAAATACACCTGGAATTTAACACGATGGTTTCCAGGAGGGATACGTGGAGGTCGACCTGATGGGGTATATTGCTAGCAATGGGACTGGTAGTCCGCATTACTAACAATCTGCCCTCCCAAGCAGGTCCGTTGACCCATCAACATTAACCACAATGGTTTTCAGGGGGTAACCGTTTGGAGGTCCACCCAGCAGAGT